GTAATGTACAAACAAATAGAAAAGTTTCAATTCCTTGTTAAATTTTGTCATAAAATACAATTATCGGGAAATATGATTATCGTTAGACATAGGTAGATTCCGGTTTTATTTGAAAGTCTTTCCCCCCGGTAGAATTTTTTCAATATTTGATATTTGTAAGATAATTCATTATATAATATAATAAGCAAATTTGGTGATGTACAAACAAATAGAAAAGTTTCAATTCCTTGTTGCATTTTGTCATAAAATACCATTAACGGGAATTGTGATTATCGTTAGACATAGGTAGATTCCGGTTTTATTTTAAAGTCTTTCCCCCCGGTAGAATTTTTTTATTTTTCAGTATTTATAAGATGAGTCACTATTTTATATAATAGGCAAATTTCGTGATGTACAAACAAATAGAAAAGTTTCAATTCCTTGTTGCATTTTGTCATAAAATACCATTATCGGGAAATATGATTATCGTTAGACATAGGTAGATTCCGGTTTTATTTTAAAGTCTTTCCCCCCGGTAGAATTTTTTCATTTTTTAGTATTTATAAGATGAGTCACTATTCTATTTAATAGGCAAATTTCGTGATGTACAAATTGATAGAAAAGTTTCAATTCCTTGTTGCATTTTGTCATAAAATACCATTATCGGGAATTATGATTATCGTTAGACATAGGTAGATTCCGGTTTTATTTTAAAGTCTTTCCCCCCGGTAGAATTTTTTTATTTTTCAGTATTTATAAGATGAGTTACTATTTTATATAATAGGCAAATTTCGTGATGTACAAATTGATAGAAAAGATTCAATTCCTTGTTGCATTTTGTAATAAAATACCATTGTCGGGAAATAGAATTATCGTTGGACATAAGTAGATTTCGGTTTTATTTGAAAGTCTTTCCCCCCGGTAGAATTTTTTTATTTTTCAGTATTTATAAGATGATTCACTATTTTATATAATAGGCAAATTTCGTGATGTACAAATTGATAGAAAAGTTTCAATTCCTTGTTGCATTTTGTCATAAAATACAATTATCGGGAAATATGATTATCGTTAGACATAGGAATATTCCGGTTTTATTTTAAAGTCTTTCCCCCGGTAGAATTTTTTCAATATTTGATATTTGTAAGATAATTCATTATATAATATAATAAGCAAATTTCGTGATGTACAAACAAATAGAAAAGTTTCAATTCCTTGTTGCATTTTGTCATAAAATACCATTATCGGGAATTATGATTATCGTTAGACATAGGTAGATTCCGGTTTTATTTTAAAGTCTTTCCCCCAGGTAGAATTTTTTTATTTTTCGATATGTGAAAGATAATTCACTATATAATATAGTAAGCAAATTTCGTGATGTACAAACAAATAGAAAAGTTTCAATTCCTTGTTGCATTTTGTCATAAAATACCATTATCGGGAAATATGATTATCGTTAGACATAGGTAGATTCCGGTTTTATTTTAAAGTCTTTCCCCCCGGTAGAATTTTTTAATATTTGATATTTGTAAGATAATTCATTATATAATATAATAAGCAAATTTCGTGATGTAAAAACAAATAGAAAAGTTTCAATTCCTTGTTGCATTTTGTCATAAAATACCATTATCGGGAAATATGATTATCGTTAGACATAGGTAGATTCCGGTTTTATTTTAAAGTCTTTCCCCCCGGTAGATTTTTTTCATTTTTTAGTATTTATAAGATGAGTCACTATTCTATATAATAGGCAAATTTCGTGATGTACAAATTGATAGAAAAGTTTCAATTCCTTGTTGCATTTTGTAATAAAATACCATTGTCGGGAAATAGAATTATCGTTGGACATAAGTAGATTTCGGTTTCATTTGAAAGTCTTTCCCCCCGGTAGAATTTTTTTATTTTTCAGTATTTATAAGATGAGTCACTATTTTATATAATAGGCAAATTTCGTGATGTACAAATTGATAGAAAAGTTTCAATTCCTTGTTGCATTTTGTCATAAAATACCATTATCGGGAATTATGATTATCGTTAGACATAGGCAGATTCCGGTTTTATTTTAAAGTCTTTCCCCCCGGTAGAATTTTTTATTTTTCAGTATTTATAGGATGAGTTACTATTTTATATAATAGGCAAATTTCGTGATGTACAAATTGATAGAAAAGATTCAATTCCTTGTTGCATTTTGTAATAAAATACCATTGTCGGGAAATAGAATTATCGTTGGACATAAGTAGATTTCGGTTTTATTTGAAAGTCTTTCCCCCCGGTAGAATTTTTTTATTTTTCAGTATTTATAAGATGATTCACTATTTTATATAATAGGCAAATTTCGTGATGTACAAATTGATAGAAAAGTTTCAATTCCTTGTTGCATTTTGTCATAAAATACCATTATCGGGAAATATGATTATCGTTAGACATAGGTAGATTCCGGTTTTATTTTAAAGTCTTTCCCTCCGGTAGAATTTTTTCATTATTTAGTATTTATAAGATGAGTCACTATTCTATATAATAGGCAAATTTCGTGATGTACAAATTGATGGAAAAGTTTCAATTCCTTGTTGCATTTTGTCATAAAATACCATTATCGGGAATTATGATTATCGTTAGACATAGGTAGATTCCGGTTTTTATTTTAAAGTCTTTCCCCCCGGTAGAATTTTTTTATTTTTCAATATGTGAAAGATAATTCACTATATAATATAGTAAGCAAATTTCGTGATGTACAAACAAATAGAAAAGTTTCAATTCCTTGTTGCATTTTGTCATAAAATACCATTATCGGGAAATATGATTATCGTTAGACATAGGTAGATTCCGGTTTTATTTTAAAGTCTTTCCCCCCGGTAGAATTTTTTCATTATTTAGTATTTATAAGATGAGTCACTATTCTATATAATAGGCAAATTTCGTGATGTACAAATTGATAGAAAAGTTTCAATTCCTTGTTGCATTTTGTCATAAAATACCATTATCGGGAATTATGATTATCGTTAGACATAGGTAGATTCCGGTTTTTATTTTAAAGTCTTTCCCCCCGATAGAATTTTTTTATTTTTCAGTATTTATAAGATGAGTTACTATTTTATATAATAGGCAAATTTCGTGATGTACAAATTGATAGAAAAGATTCAATTCCTTGTTGCATTTTGTAATAAAATACCATTGTCGGGAAATAGAATTATCGTTGGACATAAGTAGATTTCGGTTTTATTTGAAAGTCTTTCCCCCCGGTAGAATTTTTTTATTTTTCAGTATTTATAAGATGATTCACTATTTTATATAATAGGCAAATTTCGTGATGTACAAATTGATAGAAAAGTTTCAATTCCTTGTTGCATTTTGTCATAAAATACCATTATCGGGAATTGTGATTATCGTTAGACATAGGTAGATTCCGGTTTTATTTTAAAGTCTTTCCCCCCGGTAGAATTTTTTCAATATTTGATATTTGTAAGATAATTCATTATATAATATAATAAGCAAATTTGGTGATGTACAAACAAATAGAAAAGTTTCAATTCCTTGTTACATTTTGTCATAAAATACAATTATCGGGAAATATGATTATCGTTAGACATAGATAGATTCCGGTTTTATTTTAAAGTCTTTCCCCCCGGTAGAATTTTTTTATTTTTTAATATGTGAAAGATAATTCACTATATAATATAGTAAGCAAATTTCGTGATGTACAAACAAATAGAAAAGTTTCAATTCCTTGTTGCATTTTGTCATAAAATACCATTATCGGGAATTATGATTATCGTTAGACATAGGTAGATTCCGGTTTTATTTTAAAGTCTTTCCCCCCGGTAGAATTTTTTCAATATTCGATATTTGTAAGATAATTCATTATATAATATAATAAGCAAATTTCGTGACGTACAAACAAATAGAAAAATTTCAATTTCTTGTTGCATTTTGTCATAAATTACTATTATCGGGAATTATGATTATCGTCAGATATAGGTAGATTCCGGTTTTATTTTAAAGTCTTTCCCCCAGGTAAATTTTTTTATTTTTTAGTATTTGTAAGATAATTCACTATATAATATATTAAACAAATGTCGTGATGTACAAATTAATAGAAAAGTTTCAATTCTCTGTTGCATTTTGTCATAAAATACCATTGTCGGGAAATAGAATTATCTTTATACATAGGTACATTCTTTTTTATTTTAAAGTCTTTCCCCCCGGTAGAATTTTTAAATTTTTCGTTATTTGTTGGATAATTGGATATATAATGTAATAAGTCGATTTCATGGCGTACAAAGTATTAGAAGTGCCGAAATCAGACTTCAAAGCCATCAAGACAGTGTAACTCTTTGGGTAAATGTTACTTAATTTGCTTTTGAATTTGCTTGTTCAATCTTTATTTTAAAAGATGTATTTGTGCAAATCAGATTCGATTTGTTCATATCTCATTCTTATTGATGGAAATGAATAGGTTTGGTATTTCGCTTAGATATAATTTTTTTTGTTGTTAAACCTTCCTGTGAATTCATGCTTGTCCACCTATATATCTGGCAACAGTGATTAGAGATATCATTGTTCAGCTGATTTCGATTTATTTTCCCGGCAATTGTGGCTATTTTGTGCCATCAATTGCCGGACTTTGAGAGGTTCTGGCGCTGAGTTAAACATGGATATATGTAATTTAGTAATCTGTGAAAGTTTAGGATGCCTTAACTTACGGTGAAACATTGTCAGAACGTCAGCCCACACTCGTGTGACGCTAGCCCACACTCGTAGGATGCCAGCCCACACTCGTGTGACGCTAGCCCACACTCGTGTGACGCTGGCCCACACTCGTTTTTGTCAGGCCATACTAGGGGTAACTGGGCCGTGCTTGGTATTGTATTTGCGTTGTGTATATCAGATATGGTCTCTATATTGTCAGAGTCACCAAGTTTTTATGTAATTACGTTTATAAAGTCAGTAAAATAGTTGGTTAACCCCTTGACGTCAGGCTGAGTGTGGGCTGAGCGAGTGTGGGCTGGGGTAACTTTGGTCAGTAGATGGGTTTCTAATTAGATTGAAAACTATAGTTGATATTACATACAAATCAAGAAAAACAGCCATAGAAGTAGACCAAAAATTATGGAATATGAAAAAAGGGGGCAGAAGAGATTTACCCATGCATAGGCTGTATATAGCGGAAAACATTCCTATAACTATACATGGAGTACCTTTCCCAATGAAAGATGAAGCAATAAAAGAACATTTTGAAGAAAACTATGGAAAAATTACAAATAAAATAGAACAATTAACAGATGACAAAGGCATGAAAAATGGAATGAGAAGAATTTTCTTGAAAACCTCAGACATAATCAATAATCCAGTTAAAAGTTATATAAAAATCAAAGGGCATACTCTATTTGTTAAATACTGGAACCAAAAACCTACTTGCAGAATTTGTGGCAGCGAAGACCATTTGATGGAGAAATGTGAAAGGTATATACCAAGAAATGAAAGAATTGAAGTTAAAAGAAGAGAAACTAAAGAAACAATGGTTGAAAAACCAGAAATATCAGGACAAACAACAGTGAATGAAACAAGCAATGAATATGAAACGACAGACCAAGATATTACAATTTTGAAAAGTAAAGAATTAGTAACATTTAAAAACCCAAGATTAAACATAAAAGATAAACCAATGAATAAGAAAACATCAGATGGATCTGGGAGCATAGAAAACGAAAAAGATGAAAATATTCAAAGTACTCCAGCAAATTACATCGTAATCACAAATGATGAAAATGGCGACAGTGAAACAAAATTCAGATCTGAATTATTTGGTAACTTATCAGAAATCAGTGCAGAAGATAGTGATAAAGAAATTAGAGATGTTTCTGTAAATACAGAATCACAACAAGATATTATGCCATTGGATGCTTCTAAAAATAACGATGAAGAAAGCAAAAAAGAATCCAGTGTAGGAAGCACCATAGAATATATAAAAACAATAAACATTGACATAAATAAAGATAGCGTAACTAAAAATTCGGATGAAAATAGTACTAAGTCGCCTAAAAGTCAAAGTCCAAAAAAGAAGAAAAAAAGACTAAAAAGTCGAACAATGACACTTGAACAAGCAAGAAAATTTATAGACGAAGAAATGGATACAGATTGATATTCATTGTTAAACACAAATTGTTAAATCTCCAATTAATTGACTCTAAATAATTGTAATGGTAATTTTTCTTTCTGCTCTTACTCTGAATGTGAACGGTATCCGGGATGACCAAAAAAGAAGAAACTTATTTAATGAACTCTCCAAACGGAATGCAGACATCATTTTTATACAAGAAACTCACAGCACACCAGAGGTAGAAAGGAAATGGAGCAAAGAATGGACATTTGGAAACAGTATTTGGAACTCGGCATCATCAAACTCTAGAGGAGTAGCAATACTACTCAAATCAAAATTAAATAGTTTTGAATTACAAAACATTTTATGGGATAACGACGGAAGAACATTAGCAGCAGATATTAATGTATATGGTGAAAAACTACATTTAGTAAACATATATGCACCATGTAGAACTAATAATAATATACAAGACAATTTTTATGATGGGTTATACAGATTTATTTTTTCACAACATACAATAATTTTAGGGGGGGACACAAATTGTGTACATGACATTGATAGAGATAGAACTGGTAATATTAAAAGACCGAGACGAGAATATGTCTCAGACACTCTAAATGAATTGATTGAATGTTTTGAGCTAACTGATTCCATTGAATTAATTTCTAATGTAACACCATTTTATACCTGGCGTAATTACCAAGTTCAAGCCAGACTAGATAGGTTTTATGTTACATCCAATGAAACTATTGTCCAAAAAATAATGTGTGAACCAACTATTTATTCTGATCACGATGTGTATTTAATAATGATTGAAATTAAAACAAAAATGGAAGAACGTGGAAAGGGCTATTGGAAAAATAATGTTAGAGTGTATGATGAAGAAGAATATATTTCAGAATTAAAAAATAAATGGGACAATTGGATCACATTACAGTGGCTATTTCCAACTAAAGCTGAGTGGTGGATTGAGATAAAAGAAAAAATCAAAAACTTAACAATTAGATTTTCTGTCAAAATGGCCAAGAAAGAAAGAGAAGAATATAAAATTGAATTGGATAATTTGAAGTTATTGAAAAAAAAACTGGATAAAGGAGAAAGAGTGATGACAAGATTTAAACAAACAAAACAAAAATTAATCAGGATGCAGAAGAAAAAGAATGAGAAAATTGGTATACAAAGGAATGCAGAAGAGTATGATAGTCATGAGAAATGCAACAAATATTTTTTCAAATTATTCAAAACAAGACAGAAAGAATTAAGTATAAGGAAACTAATAAATAAAAATGGAGATGAATGTGAAACTATCCAAGATAAAATGAACATTGCGAAGGAATTTTACCAAGAATTGTATACCAAGAGACATTGTGATGAAACAAAACAAAGATTATTTTTAAACAAAGTGGATGAATCATATCGCAAAATAAACGAGGAACAAGCAAATAATTTAGAAGACATAATACAACTAGATGAGATAATGGGGGTCATCCAAAACTTAAAAGGAAACAAATCGCCGGGTCCTGATGGAATAACGATAGAATTTTATAAAAAGACCTGGGAAATTATTAAAGATGAATTTTTTGAAGTAATACAAGAAATATTTATAACAAATGATATGCCGAAAGAAATGAAAATGGGTTACATAACTTTACTATACAAAAAAGGAGAAGCAAATCTAATAAATAACTACAGACCAATAACTCTTTTAAATTCAGATTATAAAATATTTAGTAAAATTCTTGCCAACAGAATCAAAATAATTCTACCAGACATCATAGATAGACACCAAGGTGCTGTACCAGGGAGGAGGATAAGTGACACACTGTTAATTATTAGAAATATTTGTATACAAGAACAAAATAAAGTAGGGGAAAAGGCATTATTATCGTTAGATTTCATGAAAGCATATGATTCAGTAGATTTAGATTATTTATATAGAATTTTAGAAAGATTTGGCATAAAAAATAAATTTATCATGTTATTACACAGTCTATATGAAGGTGCTGAGACTAGAATACTAATAAACGGTTATTTAAGTGAAAAAATCAAACCGGGAAGGGGAATTAGACAAGGTGACCCAATGAGTATTTTTATGTACATCATAGCAATAGAACCTTTGTTAATTAGTATAAACTTGAATGGAAATGTTCAAGGAATCGTGACGCCAGGAAATATGGAACTGAAAAATTTAGGATTTGCAGACGATGTTACACTATTTTTAAATAAGGAAAGTTCTATAAATGAAGCATTAAAAGTTATCGATGAACATGAATTGGCTACTAGAATGAAATTGAATAGAATTAAAACGAAACTCAAACTCGGAATATGGACAAAGGACCCTTCATTTCAAGACATTACCATAGCAGATAAAATAGAAATATTAAGCGTCAAATTTGCCAATAATAATACTGGAAATTGGAACTGGAATAATTGTCTGGAGAGAGTGAAGAAAATAGCAGTTGATCTTCAAAAAATACCTCTTACTTTAGAAGGAAAATGTTTAATAATAAAGCTCAAGATATTACCTCAATTTTTGTTTTTATGTAAAATATTCCAGATGCCAAAAAATATAGCCAAAAAAGTGGATGAAATTATTGAAAAATTTGTATTCAATGGAAAAAGAAAGCTCAAAATAGAGACCATTTGTAAGCCAAAATGTATGGGGGGATACGATATAATGAATATTCCAATTTTTACAATGTCTATGTATATTATATGTGTTTTTGAATATATAGAAACTATAGAAAATAATGTGATATTTAGTGACAGAACTATCAATTTTAATTACTTAGAATATAACATAGGGCAACAATTATGTGTTTATTTAGGTCTACCATTGAATAATAGTATATTACATAGATTTAGTCCACATGAATATTATAAAAGCGTAATTGATTTTATGAAAACTTATAGTTTAAATATGAATGATATTGAAATGGGTGAACATAGAATTATATATGATAAAGTTTTAAAAAGTATTAATGGGGAAAGACTTGTAATTATCCGTAATTCAAATCTCAGTATAACTTGTAACAGTATTCATAATAAAATTTTGGCAAATTATATGAGGACCTTCAACTATAAGTTAATATGGGATATTCTACCCTTGAAAACAAAACCAGAGATCAAAAGAGTAGCAGGAAATGAATTATGTTTATTATGTAATATAGAACCTGAGTTTGTGTCACATATTTTTATGTTTTGTGAGTTTACTCAGAAAATTTATGATGAATTTGTTTCCTTAATTATATTAAAATTAATTAGAATAAATTTTGTTATAAATTATGATTCTTGTATGTTATTGAATTTTAATGATCCTTTATTTAGTCATATAACAGCATTAGATTTGAATGCAATTATTCTTTTATTATCAATAGTGCGATATAAAATTTGGATAATGAGAAATTCTATAATATTTGAAAATAAAACACCTGACATTGCTATCCTTAAAAAACAGATAAAAATGGCCCTAATGTATAGAAAAAATATAGAAAATTCCAGAGTAGACAAACCCTTTGAAAAAGAATTACAAAATTTATGTAAAGCATTAATTTAGATATTAAATCAGGTTTATAATAAGTTTTTTGTATTTACTAATTTTGTGTATTTCCTTTCATGTTGTATTATATCATTGTAATTATTAAAAAAACATTATTATCGTTGGATACTTATTACTGATGAAACAAACTGGAAATACTGTGAAACTCAATTTAACAAATGGATCATGAATGGAATGTGGACTATAATTTATTTTATTTGTTTATTTATTTTTTACATATTTATTGAAATCACTCAATGAGTGAACCAATTAAAAAAAAAAAAAAAAAAAAAAAAAAAGGATAAGGATAAGATTTACATATTTCTCCCGGGGGAGAGGAAAGCCGATAAGACGGCTTATCCATATGGCGAACCACGGCCTCTCGTCCGGTTACCATTCCAAGTCGGGTATGGGATTAGTTTTACTGCTGTACTGTATTGTTTTGTTTTTTCGGAAGCATGGACTTGGTGATGGAGGAAGCCGTAACCGACCAGCGGTTACGTGAACCACCCAACGACGGCGAGGAGTCCAGCAATCTTCTCGTACATAACCATCCCTGCATTTTATTCGAATCTGCAAACCCACGCAGAGTAGTTAGAGGTGCGGTGACGAGCGTATTCCTAACGCTTAGCCCGTTGAGCCACACCGCCGCGCCATTTCAGGAAAATTTTGGGGTCTGGTATAGTTTAGTACCACATGCACTTCTAGTTAGCCTGGCTCAACAATTTTTGCATATGTCAATCCTTACCTGACTACGTCAGCGAAAAATTACGTCATCTCGACGTCGCAGTGGCGTAATAAGGCCCACCAAAGTATGCGGAGGGTCGTCCAAATCGCGCAGACGATCACCCGAAATCGAGCAAGCTATTTCTCTCGTTTCCTTGTCACAACGATCACGATAGGAGAGAGATCGCCGGCTTTAGCGAGTTCGTTATCGGAGGCGCAGATGCCATTTCGGGCTATCGTAATTATAATTTGGCAAGCCCTATGACGTGATGGTGACGTCGTAGTGACGTAATTTTTGGATGGCATAGTCGCGGCGGTGTGGCTCAACGGGCTAAGCGTTAGGAATACGCTCGCCACCGCACCTCTAATTACTCTGCGTGGGTTCGCAGGTTCGAATCCCATGCAGGGATGGTTATGTGCGAGAGGATTGCTGGACTCCTCGCCGTCGTTGGGTGGTTCACGTAACCGCTGGTCGGTTACGGCTTCCTCCACCACCAAGTCCATGCTTCTGAAAACAAACAATACAGTAAAAACTAATCCCATACCCGACTTGGAATGGTAACCGGACGAGAGGCCGTGGTTCGCCATATGGATAAGCCGTCTTATCGGCTTTCCTCTCCCCCGGGATAAATATGTGAATCCTATCCTATCCTAGTCAGGTGGTGGTTAGGAATAAAATATGCAAATTTCGGGTCTCGTGTAGTAGTAGGTCAAAAATCAAATCCCTACGACATCACGGCATAGAGCTTGCCAAATATACGCACGATCGACCGAAACGGCATTGGCGCCGACGATAAAAAACTGACTGACGTTATCGGTCTCTCTCCTATTGGAATCGTTGCGACGAGAAAACGAGAGAACCAACTGTTCGATTTCGGGTGCTCGTTTGCGCGTCTTGGATGGCAGTTCGTATAGTTTGAAGGGCTCCATTACGTCACTGTGACGTCGTAATGACGTAATTTTTGGATGGTTTAGTCAGTTGGGGGTTAGGATTGATACGTGAAAAATTTTTTATGCTACGCCCACTAGAAGTATGTTAGGTAGGAAAGTACATGGGACCCCAAAATTCGTTATGCTACGCCCAATGAAAGTACTTGTGGTACTAAACTATACTAGACCCAAATTTTGTTCAGGTAGGTAGTTACCATACATGATGGCTGCTACATCAGGTGGTCGGTATTGCCTGCAGCGTTTCAAAAGTTTTCATTCAAGATCGACTGCAACAAAAAAGTTTATAAGAAGAATCAATGTTAAAGTTACAGGTGACAGGTACCGAACTCAATTTGGGAATTTTTATAAAATTATTAAAATGGCGAGGCAATTCTTGTTTCAGTATTTCTAATTACAATTATTATTCTAATTTATTTTTTACTTATTTATTTTTTTGTTTGTTTACTATAAAATTCATCTAAAGCTCTTTTTTTCTAACTTTATTATAGCCCTACTGCCCTATGGTTGTGTGTGTGAATTGATTCAATAATTTTAGGTGAGTGAACACGTACCCACTCCTTTTGGACAAAACCTTCCATCCTATATTCTGTACGTTTTAAACCTTATCCACGGTTTTGTTTGCTCTCCTGATTTCATAATCAGTTTTACCTATTTGTTTTTATCAATCATTTAATTGCCTTTATGCTGATTATGGAGTCGAAATAAACTTATTTATCTAAATAACAAGCCAGTATTATCCATATAAGCTCTTGAATGCTACAGTAAAATTTGTTTTTGGATTATTTTTTTCCGAGGAATCCAATGGTGACGTGTTTACGTTTTGATTCCTTTTAGTTGAATATGCAGTACCCGTTTGTGCCGATATGGAGGCCCAGACTATCGCGTGAAGGGGGTTTACACATACTGTCGCTCACTGTCACACATAACATTTATTGTGTGGCCATTCTTGGAACTGCCTTAGAAGCTTAAATCAACTTATAATTTTGTACAATCCTAATCTGCTGAATGCTTTATAAAGTGTGTTTCAATAGTTTTACAATCACAGATATGAAGCACAAATTATGGATGGGAATGCAATGGCTAAAGAAATTCGTGGAGAGGTCAAGAAAGAGATTAATGCATGGGTTGAAAGTGGTAAACGTGCTCCTCACTTGACTGCTGTTCTGGTAGCAGATGATCCAGCTAGCCAAGCTTATGTGAAAAATAAAATGAAAGCTTGTAAAGATGTTGGTAAGGTCAGATTGATTTCCGGATGAAAGACAAAGTTTCTTTATGTTACTTCAAGCAAAATTGTTCTAATTTCATTATTCATTCCTAAATATAAAGTCATTGAAATTATCTGATGCATTGGTACATCCAATTTGCTGCCAAATTGTATAAATATGTTATTAGTTGCAGTGTTATGGACTGTTTTTAAGATTTGAATGTGCTTTTCCGTAAATTGGTTACTAGGTAAACGAGCACCTATTATTTTTGTGAATTATATATTGTTAGAAAATATGTTTCTGTCTATAAATTCATCACCCTAAATAATAATTAGATTTTGTTTTCATATAAACGAAAATACTGCTAACAAAAATTTACAACTCGTATTAGATTGACATTTATGTCATCAAAAGGCACTTTAGTTGCCAGTATTATCCCATTTTTTCATGTGTGGCTTTTCCATTAGTTATTCGTACCTCTATATGCAAATAGTTAGGAGTTCAATAATTTAACCCCAAAGTCATAAACAAGTATAATTTATATAAATTTCAACACCCTGAAATGCCGCTTGCTAAAATAACCAATTTTTCATCAAGGCATTACAAGCAATACTGTTCTCAAGCCTGGATCAATTTCACAAGAAGAATTGTTATCACTGGTTGATGAAGTAAATCAGGATAATACTGTTGATGGCTTACTTGTTCAGCTACCTCTTCCAGAACATATTGGTATGTTACTTGTATGTTTGATGATAGGTTTACATATTAAATGAATATTTAATCCTGACCTATTTTATTATGGTGTATTTAGTTTCATCATGTTGAATTTGAGATCAACTTTCATTTTACAAATATATAAAATATAAATTGATATTAAATGTCATTTGGAAGATTTTACTGTTTTAAATGGTAATTTTGCTTTTTCGTAATAATATTTTCAAAATTTTTGAACCTATGATGATAACAATTAGTTTTTTTGAATTCACCAATTTTTGTAACTGTGTTAATGAGGCTCTCTGAAAGTTCATCAGAGTGAAATTAACCACAGTAGTAAATAAAGGGTTTCGCGTTTATATCTTGACTAAGAGGAGAAAGCATTGCATTGCAGTGTGGCTGTAGTATTTGAGATGTCTGTCTCAGAAGTTTGATTGTTCTTTTTTTGAAATTTGTGTGCTTGGTATGGGGTTATAAAGAAATATTTGTACTTCATAAAACAGTTTAATATATATTTTCACAGATGAAAGGACAATATGTAATGCAGTAAAACCAGAAAAAGATGTTGACGGTTTTCATGTAACAAATGTAGGAAGGTTATGTCTTGATATTCCCTCCATTCTTCCTGCAACCCCTGCTGGAATATGGGAACTGCTAAAAAGAACAGGTTATTCTTTTAAAATTATAATAAAAAACATATTTTATGACTGTAGATTAGACACGAATTCCGTTCAGTCATGCTGGTGTCTGTTATTTATCATTCTTGGAGGTGAAGAAGGTCATATGAAGTCAGTAACTATTCATATTGGCCGATACTAGCCTCCTATATTAATGAAGCTTTTGAACAGGAGTCATACTGTAGATTTTTGTATGTTTCCTACTATAATAGCACACAGATTAAGTGTTTTGTTGAGGACACAATTTCTTTGTTGTAATTTTTGTAATATGATCTTGCAACAATGCAACCATTGTATAGTCTTTTGGAAATAGAAAAGCCCGAATCGAACACGTGAAATTTTTTAGTTTTAAGTAGTTAACATTAATCATTAAAATTATCATACCACAGGAGTTGAAACATTTGCAAAAACTGCTGTTGTTTGTGGCAGATCAAAAAACGTGGGAATGCCGATTGCAATGCTATTACACACAGATCACAGACATGAGAGACCAGGAGGTAACCCGTCTTATTATTATAGATTGTCAAATTTGATATAACTTGCTTCCAAGTATAGTACATTTATAGGTAGCCTACTTGTTTCTGGTCATAATATATTGGATATCCTGGGGATTATTGCTTTCCTAAATTAATAAGCATGAGTGTATAAAGATTATCGTCATACTCAAAACGAGGTTCAAACAAGTTCTGACTACATCATAACAAAAACGGCAGTTCTGGCAACAGTGGCCAGTATATTTTTGTCAATTTCAAAAAATGTTCTCATGTTTATGTTATGTCAACATGAGTTTTCTATTCAATCTATAACCCAAAAGATTAATTGTGCGTTTTCTCTTTAGGTGACGCTACTGTTACAATAACTCACAGATACACACCAAGAGACCAGTTGAAACTTTTTACGAAAACAGCTGATATAGTAGTTGTAGCGGCAGGTTGGCATTTCTGTTTGCAAGATTCTTTGACACCGATGGTTTATCTAAACATGGTAGAATAACTGCTCAAATTATTGAATCAGACTAATATTTGCAATATTATCAAATCAGCTTTTGACATGGTAATGGTTATTTCCTATTTTCAACCAGTAATTATTCATTTTTTGACACCCTACCCATGAGTTGTAATCGAAAATTGGCTGTTGGCACTACCTTTCTAATTAAGCTTAGCCTATCCAATTTATTGCGCCTTTATTTTTAAGTGGCTGACAATGAGCAAATTAAATTATTTGACTGATTAGAATTAAAGCTCAATTAAGTCCCTTTTCACCTCTGATATCGATGTATTTATGTCAACTCTATTCCATTTCGACTTCAGTAAAATATTTGGACGTGTAAAGAAAGTTATGTGAGACAGGAAACTCACATAGACTGTTACAAACATCCTATATCAAATCATAGTCAGCACAGAAGTCACACTGAGTAATGTGTTTGATTTTTACTACAACATTGAACAATTTTTACTTTTTATTTGAAAACACCAATTTTTTGTTTCTATCAAAACAGCAATGATGAATAAATTTAGTACACATCCATGATTGCAATTTCGCTATGAAATTATGATTATGAATTTTTCTAAGTAAATTAATCCAGTTGATATTTTTGGGTAGAATTCTTCGATCTCAAAAGTATTTTACAGAGTATCTAATCCTTTGGCAGTCACCTATGGAAGATGTGTTGAAGGCACTAATTTAGACTTATATAAGACCTATTGCCAAACTATCAAATTTTACTCTGTAAATGTCTGACATCTGTGAGCAACTTACGTTTTGTTGAAGGAATACCTGGATTGATAACCGCTGATATGGTGAAGGAAGGTTCATGCATTATTGACGTTGGAATTAACAGGGTCAAAGATGAAAAAACAGGGAAAACAAAACTGGTTGGAGATGTTGATTTTGAAGGTTTGGTTAGGATTTTTATATCTATCTGTCAGAGAAAAAAAAGACGATGAGAATGTGATTTGGGCTCGGTGGTGTGGCGCATCGTGCTAAGCATTAGGAATACAATTGCCCCCACACATCTGATTATCCTGCGTGGGTTGACAGGTTCGAATCCCATGCGGGGATGGTTATGTGCGAGAGAATTGCTGGACTCCTCGCCGCCGCAGGGTGGTTCATGAAATCGCTGGTCTGTTACGGCTTCCTCCACCATCAAGTCCATGCATCTGAAAACAAATAACTGACTAGCTAATTCCATACCCGAAATGGATTGGTAACCGAACGACAGGTCGTGCTTCGCCATATGATTAATTGGCTTATCGGCTTTTATCTTCCCGGGGATAAATATGTAAATCTTATCTTATTTTTCATAATGTCCGACTATTGATAACTGCAGAAAACTAATCAAAATCTATTATCATTTTCCTGCGGCCTCAATGAAAATGTGAATTTTTTTGTGTTGGACATGGCTCAGTTTAGAATATATTCAATCTTCCATATTCAAAAATACTATTTCAGAATATTTGGAATAGTGAACTATTAGGATATACTCGTCCCTGATTCCACATACATGGATATGAATGGCAGAAGAATCAATCTTCAAATTTATTTATAATTTCTCTACAATTTGGTGTATCAGAGGAAATATACATCAATATATTTGATTGTTAAGAAAATAATGATGTTGTAGGCCTACTACTCTATCAATGGTCCAATTAATATCTCAAAGAGTTTTTTTTCAACAGGTGTCAAGAAAGTAGCTGGCTATATAACACCTGTACCTGGAGGAGTTGGTCCTATGACTGTAGCTATGGTGTGTAAGAATACATTATCTGCGGCCAAGGGAGAAATAGAGTTTTAACTCATTTCACAATTGCACATATCACTGTAGTTAGTGATCAGGCTCAGGAATCTATTTTTAGTATTTTATTACTAAATACTCTTGGATATAACTCTTCAATTCACTTCAAAATTAAATATTCTCTCATGTTGAATTTTATCACATTATTTATGTCGACTTTTGCCTTTCTGAAATAGAGGTGTTTGAATTATTATAATCATTTCAATTCGGCTTTAGTAGAGCATAAAATTGTCACACTACAGCCACTTATTCATCGTATTTACTGCATTTAGAGTAGTAGTTTGAAGATTGATTCTGTATAGGTAAACTACATTTAAGCAAGTGAACCAACCGATCCCTAAAAAATTGTGTGTATTATTCACTTGTGACAGTATAGTTATCAAATTTTTTATTTTAATGATGGACTATTTGTATTAGTACCTTTTCTTTTTTAGTCCGTAGTGCTTGTATAATTTTTTCTTTAATTTGCATGCATGAGTTTCATCCATAAGTTTCTATAATTGTTTTTAATTGTGATAAATTTTTTCTTCTCGCCATGTTCATGTTAAGTTCCAAGTCTGTGAAGTTCCAGTAGAATTAGATTTTTTTATTTTTTGGAGTTTCTTTTTATAACTATGAAAATGTATTGCCCTCATTCTACTGCTTTAGTAAAAACAATTCTGGTACAACAATATCTTTTTAGTAAACATTGCTATTCAACAAATTTAATCCTAACAAACTGGACATTTTTATGAAATGTTTTATACCCGACTATCTATGGTTGATTTTGATCATTATGTGGTTTGAAAATCTTTTATGATATTAGCTGTATTCATTGGCCAGCTAAGTCTCGTTAATGAATGATGTCTTGAAGTAAGTTGTATTTTGAATCGTGTTGTAATTATGTCTTGTCCAACGGGATAATGTTCAGCATTTTCTTTGTTTTATTTGATAGTGACCATATTGATTGTGAAGTTTCTTTTAAGTAAAAACTAATCAATTTATCATGATGAGAATCATGAGAATCTTTGCGACACACTTGAAAAGTTGGAGTGAATGAAGTACTACTTACAAGATAAATTACAAATGATTCACATTTTTGTTTTAATTATTTTTCTGCAAATCTGCAAAATTTTTCTCACCTTCATATACAATCAATTGATTTTAAAATTGAACATTTATACACAATTTTCTCGCTTATCCAAATTGACACTGTGGAGTTAAAAGTCGTGCAGTCTTATGTCAGACGTATAAAACAATGCTCCAATTTCACAGTCCTGGTTATTGTTGCACAATAACTGAAAATAGTTAAACTGGTTAGAGTAATTTTTGAGAAAATGACGAGTTTCCTTTGTTGCTTTCGATATAAACTTGCATTGGATAAACAAAATCTTGAACTTTCACTTCGATTTGTGTAGATATTTTCAATTTTTGCAGTGTTTGATGTTTTGTTTTCAAATAATTTCAACAGATCAGTGTTTGTGTAGCATTTACGGTTTCAAGTTCTCTCTACAAAACCAATTATGTTTATGCCCCTAAATTTCATTAGAAGATTAGATTAGAATATTACCTCATTCTGTCCTATATTTTCATGGTACTGGAATTTCTCTAATTGATATCTCACTATTTTACCTGATACGATACTCTACTTTGTAACCCAGTTTGTACGAATAAAATTTCAGTTTCTTGCAGAACTTCACAATTGTTTTAACATAAATTTCCCATCTCATAATTGAGCATTGATAGTTTTGTTGAAAGTTTCTTCAAGTGTCTATTTTCTGGGAGTAGATATTCTTCAGTGACCAAATTTGTACTCTGCACGACTTATTCTTTTGCTATGGTAATGGTTACCTTTTCCATGTGAAACTGCAGGAATTTTTGAAACTGATAGCACTATTTCTCAATAAAAAGCTCTCATATTAGACTCATGATAGCCTTCGATTATGCTGGTTTTTGTTGGAACGCAGAAAGCCCGTTTTGGACCAGTGCATGAAAGAGATACCTGGATTTTGATAAATTTCAAAATTCTAGTATTTTGATGAAACCTGAATAGCCATCATATTCACATTCAACTAGACTTAAATATTGGAAATATTTTATGCATGTATTTGATATAGAGCTAAACCTTTTTATATGGCGTGACTCCTTACATCAGTGGCCACTAATGCAGCCTATTGTATGCCTTTCGCTTCTAGTACAGGTCAACACAAGCAGCTACTACTCGGTTGTTTAGAAAAAAAAAGGTGTGTAAAGTTCGCACAACAATACTTGGAAAACCTCGACGATTACAAAGATTAAATTCACACATATCGCATGCAAAACTAAAATCGAGTAATCGTTTTGCTTAAGTTGCTCGACTCGAGTTACCGAACCTTCCATAGTGACGAAATATGGTAAACTTGGAGGGTAGTCGAATTTTCGCGCGGTCCCCAGCAACTCGACATTTTTGATGGTTGGCTACGGTCAGTAAACAGGAAAACAAATGTTTAGGTTGCTGATTTCAAATTGACCAAGGTCATTGGAGTCGGATACACGGAGTAATCGAGATATAATAGACATCGCGACTGGTAATATTTAACACTGCAATCAAACAATCAAGTCAATGCTTCCGAAAAACAAGTAACTAACTTATCCGTACCCGACATGGAATGGTAACCAGACGAGAGGCCGTGGTTCGCTATAAGGTTAAGCCGTCTTATCGGATTTCCTTTCTCCCGGGTTAAAGATGTAAATTCTATCCTAATTAATATGCCGGATGAATAAGTCCAGCAATCAATCAATCGTAGATAATGTGAGGTCATAGGACTATAAGCCTGTTTTTAGCAACAAGTTTATTAATAGAAGCAACTTTAGCAACTACACAGCGAAGATTATGATCAAGTGTTCGAAGTTGTGATTCGTATTTTGAGTTGATTCCAAGCAGCCCTGGAAAGGGTGGTTCAGGCACCCATGTTGAAACAACAATAAACATATAGAACCATTAGTATGTAGTTGCAACATCAGATGTTTCAGTATAACACACTAGGACTGTCATTAATCAATATATATATATATTTGATTATTTTTCCTATTTGAAAATTTATTCATATCTGACTTCAAATAATTGCAATACTCATGTCATACTGTTATAAAAAGCCATTAGTCGTTGATATAAAAATAGATTTGCGTAGAATATTTATTTGACATCGAAGTTGCTTCACAACAACAAATTGGTGCTAATTATGGGTCAAACGCTTGATTATGGCTTCATTGGCCAACCACTTCGAAATATTTTGAACCAGTTGACCAAATTGTCGTACCATGGTCAATAAATCTACAATCACTGCAACTTGCAATGAATCTGACATTCACATGGAAGATTCACACCTTCGAGATTATCGAAGTAGTTGCCGTAGTAATATATCAATCGCAATCTCGACCAACAGCAATCAAAAAGCTACGAACAAAGGATGAGGAATTTAATGAGTTCAAATACAAGCAATCTGAAATTGTCACAACTTTTATTGAATCCCAAGAGATGTTGTCATAGGCAAGGAAGAAATACCATTTTTGGTGCTAAAGATTTTTCAAGTTGGACCTGGCTCACTTTCGGCGTCTTCCGACAAAGAAGAAATATTTTTCGGTGAAGCGAAACTGGGATGTTCATTTAGTGATAACATGATTATTATACTCTCAATTTTGTAGCTTTGACAAGAAACTTTATTATTTGATTTGATTAATGATTTTACATTTGTTTGATTTTGATAATTTCAGAAACACTTGTTTGACAACCTATCGCCCGAATAGGTGGAATTCATTTTCCAAAATGTGATAATAACACTAAATGCTTTCAAAAGGGAAAACTAACACAAAATTCTATTTGTGAAAAAAGCTGAGTAAATGGTTAACCTTAATGATTATATTGGTATCTTGAGCACTAACCTACGCGTTTACAAATTCGTATTCACAATTATACCTTGTCCCTACGATACAAGAAAAAACACTTTAATTTATTCATTCTCTGTCATTGATCCGCACCGTAAATCATAATTGGAATATATTGATTGATTGGAACTTATGTTGAAACAGACCACGATTTCTACCTGTTCGATCTGACATTTAATTATTTTAATCAATCTTTGTCGAAGCAGGCCATCGAAATGATCTTTATGTAAGGTTGTCGGCAGGTAGATACCTCAATTTGGACAATCGCACCATTGAATCTATGTAAAACCAGTTTTCAAAAATGTATTCGATCTTTTGATGTCTAATACCTTCGCGTAACAATCTTCTATCACCGTAGTAGGAGAAATAAACAAACAAAGAAATTTATGCTATTCAAGAATATGACAAGTATTCTAGTGGGAACTCCATTTTTCAAGTGATGTAACGACACGTTTTGACGCACAACCCTGAACCGTGCTTCTTTCTCGTGCGCTTTTCTCACGCATCACTAGTTCGATCCCTTCCCAGCAACCAGCATCCGCACGAGTTGTCGGAATAAGCCTAGAAATTATCGATGAATCGTCAAGCACGGTCATCATATCAATCGTGCATCAAAGACATTTTTCATCTTTGGTCGGATATCTAGTGAAATATCTTCTACATGTAAAGTTTGTCAGATCAATATCTATGGCAGCAATATTTCTCCTTTGAACACCGACGTCGATTAGAACGCAGACTACGCCCTAGTATTTGTATATTGGATAGCAACCAGGCAGGGCGGAATTACCATTAGGCAAGGTAGGCTGAAGCCTAGGAGTCTTTAGCCTTTGGAGCCTCGCGATTCAATTTTGAACTATTACTTATTTTAAAAGCCAGTTACAGAATAAAACCGAACTGAAATTTGATAAAAACTGGTTCATGTTAATAATTCTTGTTCCAAATAATTAAATTACCGTTTGAAAGAGCAAATTAAATAACGTCGAATAAATGAAATTTGAAATGCTCTACCCCTCTGACCTTAAAAACAAATTGAATTAATTGAACAGTTTTACCTTTATATATCAATACTAATTTATCCAAGTAACAACGAATCTAAGAATTATTGTATTTTCTAGTAATTTCGGATTGTTTTATCGTAGACCCGTTTATTTGAAAAAAAATGGAAGGATTATTTTATTTATTATCAATGTATTATTTATCAGTAGTTGGGCCACACCTCCACCTCTCGCGACCAGAAACGTATGTTCTTAGCGTACGTATCTTGCCTTAGGTAGAAATTTCTCTATAACACACATTCTAAAGGGTACTTTATGTCGTCACTAAGGACCCCAATGAGCTATGGCGTCATCATTTAAGAGGCCTCATAAATGGCACAGCTTAGGTCCTCTGATGTGAATTATGCCTACATTGGTATCATAAAGTTTCTGATATCGTAGTTACTAGGGATGAATTTGTGTTATAATTAGCATAAGTTATGATCTTCCAGCATTTCATACAATAAAATTACCCAGTCAATAACAAGGGTATATAAAATAAAACTAGCCTTGAACAGGGCCATGAGGGAGAGTAAAGCAATCATAGGCATATGTTAGAGACGCACATATCGGACATGAAAACGTGGTATTACTTAGGAGACTCTAAAGAATGCATTGTTCTGAGCTCTATGCCCGATAAATATTGAATACATTATGTTATTACACGAACTGGGCCCATGGATCCTATTGCTAAATTGTTGTTATTTTGGGTACAGTTGTTCATGTTATTGTGATCGTAAAAATTCCCTTTCTCGAACTTTCTGTCAATATATTTAGGCAATGCTCTCTCGTTTTTTTCTGCATTCATATGCAACCTTATACAGATGGTTGTTGCTTGAAAAACTAGCATTCGCTACACAAAGAGCGTAGATTGATTATGATCCTATATTATATATATGCAAATATGGATATTTTTAACTAGATTGCTCGTGACAAAAAAACAAACAGACGTTCACGTATTTAAGTCATGATGGTTGTCACAGCGATACCATTGGTTTACAAAATGTTTGATTGATAATTGTCGTATCATTTTTCAATTGCGTGCGTCAGTAAAATGCATAATTCACTTGTGTTTCGACGTAGATGAGATTAAAGTATATTTTCAAAATGTGTCCATAACAATAGATCCAATCTTGTAAGTTTAATACGAATATGTTTTATAACTCAAATCTGAGAAGCATCGGTAGATAAATGTTTCATGCCGTCATCGCGATATACATAAATTACTCACAAAATACAAAGAAGATGAGCATTTTGAAAACTGTATTCCCAAAGCAAATTTGGACGAACGTATATCGATCATTTTTCCATTCGTTATTTCGTTTCGTATTGATATTAAACTCTTCCACCGATTTGGGTTAGGAAATATAGCCCGCGTTTTTGTGGTCATTCAGAAAGACGAAAAATGCTTATCGCATTCAACATGATTTATGTGATTATTGATTACCGTAGGTTATCAAAACAATATCATTTAGAAGTAAGCCGCATTCGAGTCGTTGCAAGATTCTCAATTCTTGTTTCAGAGAATTATATTGCTATTTCGATTATTTTGTAATTAGTACGTGTAACATTTACCGTTCCAACGTTCCAAGTTCTTCAGATGTGAATGGTAATCTATTTGCTTTTTCAATGCACGAATGCATATCTCAATATTTGATCGCGGATGTGTGGCAGTAACATATTAATATTACTATATTTATTACGCAAATACTCCAGAGCAAATTTTCCATAGCCCTACGTTTTATTCATACGCAGTGGTCATCAATGCACTGACGTACGCGTACCGAACATGCGTAGTGAGCAAGATGTCCTAATATGGCAAATAAGTAAGTAAACCGGCCGGTGCGTATAAAACAGGCGTGTCAGTTTATATTTAACTTTGGTTTGTAATGCATTAAATTACGGTTCATTTGGTATTGATTATGTACATACGCACGGCGATGGCTGATTAATTATTATCCATTAATTTTTTTCATGCCTTTCAGTCAAGTTAGGACAGCTATTGTGGACTCTTTTCGAGTGCGTATTCATCGAATATGAAATCACATCTTGAATGATATCGGTATGTTGTAAGTTGGTGCACCTAGCTGGTATAGTGGACTGTCCATAGAAAAGAAACGACAAAATATCTTGCAAATTTCCTTGGTTAATATAACTTAATACTTTGAAAAGCATTGCAGTGCTGGCAATTGCGCCAGGTTTAGATGGTATCGAACAAATCATGGTGATTTATGTATCGCAAATTTCTACATTCATTCCAGTCGCTACATTCATTCAACACGTTTCACTTCTATGCATTTGGGAATATATGTCTTTCTATATATATACCTTCAGATTGAAGATATCGGTAAAGGTTCAGTTGGGTATATCGAAGTTATTGTTGACAAGTTTTATTTTCAGTAGACGTCAAGGAATATATATGTATATATATATATTAATATATTTACCGGTAGTTATTTTTTCTGACTACTCGAGAGGAACCTAATAAAGCGTAATCATGTAAAATACTCCTTAGTAGGCAAGATTAAGAAGGAACAGACTGTAGTAAATTGTATAGAGTGTTTGAGTAATTTATCCATTACATTGATAAATATGAGTTAAGCATGGGCCACAAGTGGGTGCGGTTGTACGAAGATTTATTTAAATTGCTTAACGGGCCAAATTACTCTAGCAAAACTAAAAAAAATGTTTCAATTTGCGATTATGAATTTCCATGGGAAAATAATTCTAGTCGGGTTATATGAGTTCCATATTGAACGCAGCCAGACATCCCACGCCCATATATGTGTGATGCAGAGGTGCGAATTTATAGCCTGAATTAAAGCTTTCCATCCGCGTCGACATAACGCGTGAGCGCTTTATTTACCAGTAGTGTTATTTTGTTTTGTAATGATCAGTTTGAAATAGCCACAGTTATATAAAATTGTGATTTGATTCAAGGCAAACCGAAGAAAGTGAAACATGTATAGAACGTGTCATCAATTATTAGGGATGTAGCAACTGTACAAAATTTTGCTTAAAAAATTCTGCAATATTGGTAACGCAATGTAAAAATTGTTGTTCCCGCGCATGTACGCAATGCAAAATCGGATTGGCAAAGATTGGGTTTACTCTGAACGCCATAATAGAAGAGAATGGTTGTATTTTACTACAGACACATTACCGACAAAACCGCTTGGTTATTGATTTTTTTCGCGTTGGTGGGCGGAGCACTCGCAGAGAAAAGATTAAGAACAGACTGCTAGCGAGTGTATGCAAAGATTTCTTAGCGACCAAAAGTAAATCAAGTGTAAATAATGAGGCGCATTTAAATTTACTTGGAAATATTGCCAGACAATGAACTTTCGGTGCTCCCGAAGTATGCGAACCAAGATGGCGGACATCGGAACGTAACATGGGTAACAGGTTAGGGTTAGGTGATAATTTTTTTCCAATTTTCCTTATTTTAGTCCTATTATCAGTTCGAAGACTAGCCAAGAGCCCCCCGTAGTATTTATACCTAAAATTATGGCCTAACCCTTAACCTAGTACACATATTACATTCCGATGTCCGCCATCTTGGTTCGCATACTTCGGGAGCCCCGAACTTTCATTGGTGCTAGATTTTCTTCTGCTCTTTCGAATCTGAATAAGGTCAAGTAGGTATATCGGCCTTGATTTTTATTCAACCATGAAGGTAAATTACGGCAATGTAAACATCAACGCATGATCATGTTGTGAATTTTGCCGTCGACAGCTGCTCTATCTTAGACTACTATACCGGTGTCTATAAATAAACCACAAGCGGCATAGTATGTACCCTGAGGACCTTTCTAACAATTGCGGATGGTACCTCGTTCTATTGCGACTCTCCTCGTGAGTTGAGACAGATATATAAATTCCAGAAAGCACCTTGATTGAATCATGTTTTATGCTTAAATGGATATAGCGCTAGGTCTCGTATTATACTTTTAAGAAGTTCTACTCGCCGGAAACTTTAAAATCATTTCTGGTCGAAAATCGATCGCTTATTAGAAAGTTGGAGTTATAAGTGTCACGCGTGCGATTTCTATTTTCTCGTGAATTAAATTGCTACATTGTAGATTTCCACATCAATTTATCAGTCAATGGAGGTGATAGCAAAATCGAACTATTTGCTGGATATAAGGACGCCTGTCTCAGTCGTAATTGTCTTACGTAAGCTTCAGCAAAATTTACCAATGTAGAATTGATTCGACGTTTTTAAAAATGATGTAGTTACGTAACGTATTGTTTACTGATTCTCCCCATGTTTCATATTGCAGGAAACAATATACAAGTATCATTTTGACATTGATATGTAGAGATATTGTTGCCCTAGGCACCTATTACACTCGTAATTGCAGGTTGTCGTACGCAGGGAAAGCTGAGTTGAAAGCTAAATGCTCCTGCAAAATTACATACTTTATTATTGTTTAAAATTCTACAAATTATCAGGATATCATTTCGAATAAATATTTCTCTGGTGAACAGCTGAAATCGGTAGTCAGACATGGAATCCGAAGTTTATCATTGTCGTTGTTTACCGTGGTCTTCTCAAATTCTGATATAGTTTAACGCTGACTATACCGTTTTTAAATTTGAGGTTGTGGGTTTTAATTACAATAATTTTGCTCAAACCACAAATTTAGTCTTCAGGAAAATAAATTCGATGTGACCACAGTTTTTTCCACAGATCGAATTAATTTCCAACTGTAATAGATTAAAGTTTGCAAATAACTACCAACCAAAATAATCCGATTATTTTTTTAACATATGTTTCTAACTGATGACGGGTATGAATATTATCTTTCATTCCCGGTGAAATTCGTCCGACGTCTATCTGCCGCCGTGGTTTCGTTTTCAATTATTCATTCTCTTTTCAATGAATTATCGATGGGAACGCTATAAAGAGGAATGTTGCAAATTGTAAAATTCTAAATGGTTATTTATTGCTCTCTGCGTAAGAACTAGATTTTGTTTTGTGCTTCCGTGTGGAAATATGTTCCAGATTTCGCGAACGTGATTGATAAGTCATCGATTGTTTACCAATAATAAATGGCGAGCGACAAAAGGTTCTCTTCGGGAAAGTAGATATGTAGCCTCGCTCAGTCCCAGGAGATCAATGCGCTAGGCTTGTGAAAAAGTACCTCTGCACCAAATTCCCAAGTCGATTTGAAAGTATTTCTTTTTTATAATGTGTCAAAACAATATTTCTATTCACACAGCTAAAGTAGATTTGTTCGTTCGTGTGTAAAAAGTAAACAATACAGAATGGGTACTAGTGAAGAAATTCAAAAAGCTGGAAAAGCTCCAGGTCTACAGGTTTGTTGCATTTAAGTAATTTTATAGGATGATTAAGTATCTGGGTTGATGTTTCACTAATTATATATTTTCAAATACTTTATAAGTAGTCGTTTATAATTAGATCATATTATATCCGATAAATTTCTGCAATCTAATTCTGCAATAGTTTATACAATAATTCTTCTCTTACAGATATGGAGAATCGAAAAATTTGAAATGGTTCCCGTGCCTGCTAAGGATTACGGTTACTTTTTCAAAGGAGACTCCTACATTGTCTTGAGTACCAAAGAGTTGAAATCGGGGAAGTTCGAATGGCATATTCATTATTGGCAAGGTATGTAGGGTTATGTTATTCAGTGATATAAGGCTTTGGCTATATAAGAGTGATAAGGCTTTGGCTACAAGATTCCTACCGGTGGTAGCAGAAATATAAATAACATTCATTTCATCTGAACTATGTATGCGCTATCATATGTCCACATCAAAATGAAAGTGTATCAATCTTTGGCATTTTTCTGTCAACACAGACATTTGGCATTTATCGTTTCCTGAAGGGGATTTTGTAAAAATGACCGGTCATGGTTTTGTTAAATTAATATTTACTTTTTGCGAAGCTCTTGTGATTCATTTCTAAGATAGCTTTGGGTAAGACCGCGAGAACGCAGGCTCGGAAATTATTAAATTTTGGGACCTTCTGAAGTATGCGCACCAAGATGGCGCACAACCTGACCTCAGGTTGTGTACAAGGTTGGGGTTCAGGTTGTGCGACATCTTGGTGCGCATACTTCAGGAGTACCAAATTTTGTTTATCCGGCGATCTAAAACTCCAATCCAAAGAACAATAACAATATTACTACTCTACTTAATCTTATTTTGGTCGAGATTTTTTACTGAACTTCTGGTTCAAATCTTGATATAATAATTGCACATCCATCCTCATTGAATTTCAGGCGTCGATAGTACGCAAGACGAAACTGGTTCAGTCGCTATATTGGCTGTAAAGGTTGATGATCACCTTGGCGGAGGCCCTGTACAGCATAGAGAAGTGCAAGGTTACGAATCAGCAATGTTCTCTGGATATTTCCGTCCAGCTATTCATTACAGGGTAAGAATTGCTTCTTGTTGGACACGAAATGAACCTATCGATCGTTTTGTCATTTCGTATTGTTATTATTGTTCTTATCACATGAAAAAAATCACTTTTATTATCAATCACTGGACTAGTGATCACCATTTTCAGTGATTAGTGCATTTTGACAGATTACATATTTATGTGAGTCTTGATGCACACTAACACGAATATATTCCGGTGACGTTCCGTCTGGCCATACTTCGTTTTAGCCTTCATTTCCATATGTTTGAGCAACGCTCCTTTGTTTGTTGAAATTATTCTTGCATTCGTGACTCAAATGTGGCATTAGTAGCAGAACACACTACCCCACAAAGTCTATTTATCAATAAAGGATACAATACTTAGACACGTACATTGTTAGCTTCCCAAGCAATGAGCTGAGCTATGTTTCGACGCAACTTCTTTATGTCTTATGTGTCAGTTCATCTGATCTGTGAGTCATCTAAGTAATTTGTCTAATTTCAAATGCTACAAAGATTCTGTGAATTTTACTTATTTGTGTGCAGGAAGGTGGTGTTGAAACTGGTTTCACTCATGCTGAGACGAATAAGGTAGAGGACGTGAATATGCTGCTTAGAGTGAAAGGCAAGAGACCTGTCAGAACTGAGGAGGTCCCAATGAAGTGGAAGAGTCTCACCGAGGGCGATTCCTACATATTCGACCAGGGAGAGGTAATCGAATATTTCACTAACATTCCTGAATTGCCTGATGAGGTTATAACAAATTTATTATTCTGAAACGTGGTGAGAAGTACGCATAAGTGATTGGAAACATATACATTTCTTCTCAGAACATGGATCACACACACCGACATCCCTTCATGGTGTATATATGTCACAGCCAATTATTTAATAAATCACATCTTACTCTTTGTACTTATAACTTTGAAATTAAAGTGAATCTCTCTACATATTTTAATCAGAAATTTTTACGAATAATTCGCGCGATGAGGCATGTGTTATCATTGGTCCTTGTTCGGCTCTTGTTATTATCTTAGTTATAAAAGCCTGGTGGACGTTCGGTGCTCAACAATTTCCTGTTCGATTTCTTAAACACAGAAGTATTTTTGGACCAAGACATAATATTGCTAGGAAAGCTCAAAATTTTTGTCTGGCATTTGCTATAGATATATATAGCCTATAGCCAAATTTGATATTATTTTAGATTCTCAATTTCTCTTGATGGTTCAACACCCTAATAGATCTTGTTTTCCGACTTCTCTGAAATATCTGAGATTTGAATATGTCGTATACGATTAAATTAGAATGCGTTTATTCAAAAAAACATAACATAATATTTTGCAACTTTGTTTTGCAACGCAGGAAATCTACATTTGGTCTGGACCTGCCAGTAACCCATTCGAAAGAAACAAGGCAATTAACGTGGCAAATGCAATCAAAGATGAAAGACAAGGACGTGCAAATGTTTACAAGCTTGAAAGCAACGAAATTTCAAAAGTAATATATAACGTACATGTATTATTTTAGATGGCAAAATGAGACCAAACTAATACATGATACTTTTTTCATTAGAACCTCCTTTCAAATTTATATTATCGAATAGTAGCAGATACAACATACTCGATTGTGAGCCGTTTTGTCGCTCTTTATCCCAAGTCCAAATCATAGACTTTTTATATAATTAAATCTCCTTGACAATTTTGTAGATTTCAAATAGCAAGTTTGTTCGCATGTAGAGGAGGCCAATATAGTTTTTCTTAAACCTTACCCCTTATCATACGTTCCTTTTTAACTAACTGTTTTCGATTAGCTCAAGAAATTCTTTGATGAACCATATCCAGGCAGCATTGCTGCTAGTACTTCGGATGAAGAAGTGAACACCGATGACAGTGTGAAAGTAAGTTAAAATAAAGTTGAAACTAATTCGAAATAAACTCTTATTCTTTATTCATGCATTTGAAAGAGTTTTGAATGAACAGCTTTGAATAATCTTTTCACATGTAAATACCACTTCATTCAATTCTAGCTTTTCCAAATTTCCGACGACAGTGGAAAGATTGCAATCACTTTAGTTTCCGACCAACCCCCATTCTTGCAAAGTCAGTTGGATGGAGGAGACACTTACGTTGTAACCAATGCACGTACTAATCATGTGTATGTATGGAAAGGTAAGTTTTATCTAATGTTATTTCAAACACAGCCCGCATTGTATTTTATTGATTCAGTATTATCATGTGTTTCAATTTAATTTTTCAATTAGCTCGCTCTCATCCCTTTCTTTATATTGGTATGGTTCTTTTGCAATTTTATATGTTGGTGTTTATGTAAAATTGGATTTGGTCACCATCAAATAATATACTGTTGATTGTCTTGTGGTCTGGTGAAATTCATTGATAATTTGAATACAAAAATGCTTTTATCTGAATGGTGTTATTAAAAAAGCGCCAGATCGTCTATTGCAAATTTTTCTTCTTTCGTGAAATCCTGGCGTATATTGTTATATACAAACATTTCGTCATCTTTTTTGACAAGAAGATTTTTCACCAAGCTTTATAAGCCTTACAATGGCGTGCGTTAATGTATGTGTATCTGTAGCTTGAGCTTTGAAAATGATCTGATTTTCATAAGCTTCGTGTATTCGTCCATTCAGGCAAGGGTTCTTCTGCAAAAGAAAGAATGTCAGCTGGTACCCTTGGTAAAGATTTCTTGAAAAAAGTTGGAATGTCTGATAGAGCAGGTCTGACAACTATGGCCCAATATGGAGAAACTTCTGCTTTCAAGAATATGTTCAAGGGTAAGGTGATTTATTCTGTGCACGCACGTCCTGCTAATTTTATGGATTCTTATTAACTTGTACTTTTAATCTTAACCCCACTTGATCGCAATCTCAAGTCAATAAAGATCATTCTGTTTCAGATATGTGGTTTACGGTACCCAATTTTACTGGCCGCCAGGGTGCAGTACTAATAGTGTACTGTATAACAATATCAGGACTGATTTCTGAAAATATTCATAAAATATCCTGTTCGTTAAATGTATGTGATATACACATTGGATATAATAAATATATGACTTTTTCGATACAGACTGGAAGAATTCGAACGACCAGCAAGGTCTTGGTAAAACTTGGTCAATCAACAAGATTGCTAAAGTTGAGAAGGAGAATTTTGATGCGAGCACTCTGCACAATAATCCTGCAATAGCCGCTGAAACTCAGTTGGTTGATGACGGTAGTGGTCAATGCACGGTAAGGATTATGTAAAATCATTAATCAAAGTGAGAAATTTATATATACAATTGTTCTAATCAGAACTTAATAATTACCGATAGTCGGATCACAATTAAAACTCTCTAAAACATAATTTTTTTTACAAATGTCTATTTTACCCTAGATCTGGCGTGTAGAAGGATTCAGAAGAGCACTTGTAGATTCGAAAACTCATGGACAATTTTACGGAGGTGATTGCTACATCGTTAAGTACACTCCTCGCACTAGTAGAAATCATATTCTGTACTACTGGCGTGGAAACAAAGCAACCAGAGATGAAGTCACCGCACTTCCTCGTCTCACTATACAGACTCACGAAAAAGAATGCAACAATAATGCTACCCAGGTATTTTATTTTAAAACAAATAATTTCATAATTTGATTATGTTTCATTAACGTATTTGTTTCAATTTGACCAGGTGAGGGTAGTTCAAGGAAAAGAGCCAGATCATATGATGATGATGTTTGGTGGAAATCCACTCATCGTGCATGCTGGTGGCACCTCGAGAGCTGGCGGCCAGACTAAACCTGCTGACACGAGGTATTCTTATTTTATACTGTTCAATAAATATCTTTCAGCGTACAAATCAGAATATTTTTGAAATTATTGATAAAATCAGGGCATATGGTAGAAAAAGTTGACGTCAGCTTAATTATTTATCTCCAGAAACACGAACAGCAGAGATCGATCTTTCGTCTTAGGTAGTCACGTTTTTGTTTGTGATCATTGAAGACACCTTAACTTTGAACACTGCCCTAGACTAGTATTTACATAGACGTACGCAACTACTGTGATTGATAAATAGACCGGAAGTATGAAATTTCAGAAAATAGGTAAAAAAAATTGTATTTTACAGATTATTTCATATCAAGTCGTTCTATGGTGGATTTTGCCGTGCAGTAGAGGTTGCTTCTGAAGCTTCGTCACTTAACTCTAACGATGCTTTCTTGTTAATCACACCTGGTGCATCTTACGTTTGGGTTGGAAGCGGTAAGCTAATCAAGTTCAAAGCTGTTGTAATGTATGGCTATGATCCTTAAACCGAAATTAAAATTCTCAGGAGCTGTCGACAAAGAGGTGAAAGGATGCATGGACACCGCTCGTATATTGAAAGTTCCTACTCCCCAGAAATTTGAAGAAGGGTCGGAACCAGGAGACTTTTGGCAAAAACTTGGAGGCCAAGGCGAATATGCCAAAGATTGTAGAGAGGAGGTACAAATATATAGTGTACAACAACACATTATTGTTTTCAGAGCATGGAATATTAGTTTTTAAATATTATGAAGTCCTGTAAGTTGTTCAATAATGGAAGCCTCGGCTAACAAAGAAATTTATTAACTGTGAATATATTTGTAATTTCAGGATGACCGAAGAGAACCAGTTCTCTTCGAATGTTCCAACGCTACTGGAAACTTCAAAGTGGAAGTATGTGCAAGTCCCTGGATACAGGATGATCTTAATCCTGACAATGTTATGATGTTGGATGCGTGGACTATGGTGTACATTTGGATAGGTATGTTAAAAAGGGAAATTTAAAAATCAATTTAAAAAAAATTATAGTTAGGATTTGGCATTTATAATCTTATCAGATTGCAAATACTTCCAGCAACAGATTACACATTTCAAATCAAACTAATACAATAGCATGAGTATACCAAGTTTAAGAACTGCCAGAATGTGTCGGAATTGACATCCGTTGCAATATTGTATATTTTACACCATTACTATAATATTCTAACAATTCAAAACTGGAATCTTATAACAAATTGCATTTGGCTATTTTTGCGCCATACAAATTATATCTGATTATGCTATATATATCATATTTTACTCTCTCAAAACGGCGCATCGATTCATAGGTTCTATTGAACTATTGCAAACTTTTATAATGTATTTTTAGGTGTGACTTCGAACGAGGAAGAACGAATTGGGGCTTTGAAATCGGTTACGCAATACCTAAAAACCGATCCGAGTGATCGTGATGAAACTACTCCGGTTGCACAAGTACAACAGGGCAATGAACCTTTGACATTTAAGGGATTTTTCCAGGTATTTCTATTGAAACTGATATTCTTCATGATATCTAGTTGTGATATTGTCAAACTAGTTGAGTTGAAAAAATGCTAATTATATAAGCTTTAAATTATCCCAAAAATGCTAATATAAAAACGTATTATTAGCCGTGTCCTATAATTACAATATCATAATTTTTTTGGAGACACTGATTTATAATAAGAAAAATTTAGTAGCTTCGAATATTTTGGAAAGGTTTGTAAAAATTGGAATTTTTTAAAAAATAAAAAAAAAAAGAATATTACTATTATCAGTCTTTATTGCATCAAACTATTATATCTGTAGATGTAGATGGGGGAAACACACATTAATTTTCCTACATTTTTTAAGGGTTGGGACGACGGCAAATGGTCAAACTAGATGGTGGACATCTCAAGTCATACAACATTTTATGATTGAAGCGACTATTTTGTACAAAGCAAACGCTTTTATGAAACACCCACGTATAATGATATCTTCAATACTACCGAATTTGTGACTATATTTTGGGCAATTTAGTTTTTAGTGTACAAGTTATTTTTAGTAAAGCTATGCAGTTTTACTAGCCATATAATGACTTATTAATTCTGTTGTGAAATACCACCTTCACCATTGTAAATTGTTTGTAATGGTCTATGCTAATATGCCATAACATAAACAGCATACCACATAATATTATAACACGTTAGATCGTATTTTGTAGTCTACTTTTGTCCATTTTTGATGATAGATAATGACGTTTTAGGTTTTCTTGTTAAGATTTGCGAATCCATACTGATTATACCTTCTGTCGTATTATTTTTCTTTTACCTTTATACCTATGTACCTATATACGTACATGCGTTGATGATATTTTTCCAATTCACTATAACTATCCTTTAAACTGGGTTTTGGCACCAAAAATATATTTCAAATTTGATTTTGTGGCGTTCTATTTTGTTCATATACATCATGGTATTTAGTGAAAACGCTTTGTAGGATACTAAACACTAGCGTGACGGATGTGCCCTTTTTGCCGTATGAAACAGGCAATAGCGTAAGTCAAGCATCAATGTTTGGTTCTCATAACTTCATGCTTGCAACTAGTAAAAGATTTTCATATTTATCCGTGTTGGAGAGGAAAGTCGATAAGACGATAAAACCATATGGCAAACCACGGACTCTCTTCCGGTTACCGTCATAAATTTACATATTTATCCCGCCGGGAGAGGAAAGTCGATAATACTGTATAACCATATGATACTTGATGGTGAAGAAAGCCGTGACCGACCACCGGTTACGTGAACCACCCTACGGCGGCGAGGAGTTCAGCAATCCTCTCGCGCAAAACCATCCCTGCGTGGGATTCGAACATGCGAACCCACGCAGAGTAATCAGAGGTGCAGTGGCAAGCTTATTCCTAACGCTTAGCACGATGAGCGACACCGCCGCGTTGCTGAGTACTAAGAAAAATGAGCAAAACGTTGAGAACAATATCATATATAACCGGGTATATCATATTCATTTTCGTCCAAAACTTGGTAGGGGCGAGCGTTTTGAAGGCATCTTTTCAGCAATCACTCACCGAATCTAAGAATACTCTTTGAATGAAATCTGAGGGAAACTGGTCTTTCACTCTGATTGAGTTTCTAGTTTTTCTCAAATCAGTTATCTATGCTTGCACAAGCTTCGATACATAGAGATTTGCGTTTTTTTTATCAAATGCGTTATCAACATGTTCCCATTTCATCTCTGATCTCCTTTGTACATGATCACGGGAGATGACCTCGGTTGGTCCATACAAATTTGTGATCAAATCGGTCTTGGAGAGACTTTGATAAACTGAGCCTCGAGAGTAATATCAAAAAAATAGGCCAGATTCTGAAACTACTGGTCACCTGACATTTTCTAAATGAACTACGCTGACCTTGTCGAGGCTCGCTTCATTGTACACGAAGTGGATCTATAGATCGTTTGGATTACGTTGTTGTTGTTAATATTATTACTTATCGATTAGTATGTTGGATAGGTATTTGTCTGTCTGTCTGTCTGTCGTCTGTTAGATATCGCGATATCTCACGCAAACGAAGTTGAATCTGCCTCAAATGTTACATGTACATTCATCATATCTCGGACCAGAAGCATATCAATTTTGGATGAATTATGTGGTATAATTAGTGAGTTATTAATTAATTAGTGATGGGACACACGGTGTCACTATGGAGTGAGAGCGCTGTTTTGGGGGATCGCCTAACTTTCGATCGATAAGTCTTTGGTCTCCGACCGATATTCTCGTTTATTTGTTATTGTTGTGAAAAACACTATTCTCTTTTTACCTACTGGACAAATTGCTTCAAACTTTCATTGGTTAGAGTTGTTGTCGCAAGAAAGGATTACTTTTATTAAAGCCGATAATAAGACCTAATCATAGGGCGAAGTCTTTATTGTTCTCATCATTTGTTTTTCTATTTCTCTTGAGAGCCCCAACATTTAAGGCCATTCAGGCAGATCCACTGATTTGTATAATAGTTCAACATTCTTGTTTTAGTCCAAAAATTTCATATTCCAGTATTCCATCAGAGACAGTTGTTATGTGAATCTATGATCCCATCGTCCAATTTCCGCACCCGACGGCGGTCAGATCAGAAATGCGCTTAAGCCTGCGTTCATTTATATTTTATTATATCTTGTCGCTGTATGTTTATATGACTATATGTATATATATATTTGTGACCAGTTTTCATGCCACGCTACTTTCGAAATATGCCACGGTATAGGACAGGGAAGACGAACCACTGACCCGCAGGTCACAAAGTGACCCACCGAATTTTTTCGGTGACACGCCAAATCAGTAATTTATGAAAAAACATACTAACATTGCAATGATAAAGATTGGTAATAAAACTGGCCCTAATTTTATCTACGAATAAGTCTACTACCACAATGTATCAACAGTACCACATATGCAAACGAGGTGAAGTTGTACGTACCGTGGAAAAAAACACTATTGCGCAACTATCGGTGGTGAGTCGATGAAATTGAAGAATTAAAGGATAGAATTTGCAATAAAACGATTAATATTGGTATTATATGGTCCAAAATTTGAATTGAATGGCTTGCTGAAATTAATTAGAGTAAAAAATAAAATGTATCAAGATAGTTACAAAAATAAAAAATCTGAAAAGTTCAAGAAATACAAAACCTATAGAAAATGTCTTGAAAGCTCACTCTCGACTGCAAAAAAAACTACTTCAAAGAAAAATTGAAAGAATGTCAAAAAGCATTGCAAAAACTTTGGAGCAAATTCGTAATATTATAAACAAAAACTCATATCTTGCCATCATTCATCGAAATGAAAAATGAAAAACATTTTAATAGCAATATAATTTGTGATGTTATGAATAAACACTTCTCAGGTATCAGTTGTAAGCTTGCTTCATTGCAAAACTCTTTCTTTCTTTAGGAAACTATACCTTGCAAAGTGGAAAGTCTAATTAATAAATTAGATGCCAACAAGGCAGTAGGGCCAGATAGTATTCCGATCAGGCATATGAAGATTGCAAAATCAATTTTAGCTCCAACACTTACAAAAATTATCAACCAAAGTTTTAGGAAGGTCATTATCCGGAAATATTAAAATTAGCAAAAAGTAGTACCGATTCACCAAAAATGAACAAAATCTGACCCTAATAATTATTGACCTATTTCTCTCCGTTCTCAGTTTGCCAAAATTTATGAAAAAATTTTGTGTAATCGCCTTGTAGTCTACTATGACAAAACAAATGAATGAATCCCAATTTGGTTTCCGAAATGACTACTCGACCGAATTCGCAGTGATAAAATTGAAACGAAAAATATTTGAAAACTTGTCAAATGGCAAAGTTACCTGTGCTGTATTTTTAGACTTGGCTAAAGCTTTTGACAATGTGAACCATAAAATTTTACTTTGTAAAATTTCTCATTATGGAACCCGAGGTTTACCCCTCAAATTATTACACTCCTATCTAAGTGAGAGACAATAGTACATTAAATACATCGATGGTATCTCTTCGCTCGAATATATATCATGTGGTGTCCCACAGGGGAGTACTCTTGGACCGCTTCTATTTTTGGACACGTTTAGTGGACATAACGATCGTTTCAATATTATATTGTTATTATTTGTCTCCATCATTTTTAAAAAATCGCTTTTTTCTTCGAATACTGGACCAATTGCTTTGAAATTTTCAGTGAGTAAAGATTGATTTTTTTGCCAGAAGGCTATTACTTTTATTTATTTCTAAATTTCGCATGAAATCTGATATTTCGTCTAAAATTTTGCTGTATTATTTTATCCGTGGGAACACTGGATGTCCGGTTTGATCCTGTAAATTATTTTTACGCAAAACTCGGAATTTTTTGTGGTTACCGGTGGCGTCAAAGGTAAATACTGCTTCGCTCTGGTTAACGTGTCCATATATTTGAGCACAGCTCTCTTGCTAATATATATCAATGATTTACCAGCAGCAATTAGCTTGGACTCGACTCTTTTTGCAGACGATACCGCGCCCATTGAAAATGTATTAAGTATTTGGGTATAATCCTAGATGAGAACTTGTGATTGAAACCTCATATTGATCACTGATGTAAAAAGTTTCACAATCACCCGAAATATTGTATGAATTACGTAGAATCCTCGGTATCGATGCATTAAAAATTGTATATTATGGTCTTATATACTCTCATCTGAAATATGACATTATCAGTTGGGAAGGAACTATAAAACTACGCTAAAACCACTAGAAATTCTGCATAACAAGGCAATTCGCTTCACGCTATTTGCATTTTTCAACTTTTACAACTTTTTTACTAAAATTTCAACCATCCATATCCAAGTTACAAAACGGACTTACTTCATGCCTCGATGCTCACTTTCATTAACATAAAAATCGCTCTAAACAGAAGGCATTCTAATTTGGGGAAAAAAACGCCTAATATTAAAGAAAACTCACTCGCAACATTTAGTGAGCGTTTAAAAATTCATCTACTTGCTAGATATGGATAGATGAAAATATACTAGGTTTATTTCCTTACGTATTCAAGTTATATTATTATTGTATTGTTGCTACGTCTATGCTCTATCATTTTTGCCTTAATCTTAATTGAATTCAATAACAATTTCGTTCGTATAATAATAAATTTTGCCACTAGTGCCCAATCAGAAAAACAGCCTTTTTACATTCAAAATATAAAAATAATTGATCTGACTTTGACCCCCGGAAAATTCGTTTTATGCTATACCATTGCAAAATTTTTGGTGCTTATTTTAAGAGTTGTTTCGCGATTTGGCGCGAAACTGGAGTATATTTTCAAATCATCATTTTGAACAATATTGGTAGTATACGGTCCAAAAATGTATCAAGATAGTTACAAAAATAAAAAATCTGAAAGAAAAAAATTATAACAGCAATATCATTTGTGATGTTAGAATTAAACACTTCTCAGATATCGTCTGCAAGCTTGCATCTAAAATTGGGCCATCTCCAAAGAGATTGAAAGCATTCAACAACAGCATTCAATATGCCATTCCAATCTATTTAACTATATTATATGTCGTATATTTCAATTTAGTCGAAATAGTTTGTGCGGCCTCGACAATAAATCTAATTGCAAATTGTGTTGTAATTGTTTTCATCCTTTCATTTCGATAGTGACCGAAGTTTTTTCATTTCTTGCAGTTTAAAGTGTATAAAATTTTAATATCCATTTGGCCCGCCTCTAAAAAGGTTGCACGCCCCTGATTTAATGTATACCTGAATTTCCGAAACACAACCGAAAACTAACAAATAGAATTCAAAAACACGAAAACGAGGTATTGTTTACAACCACGCCTGAAAATCTACCCGAATGACAAAAGTGTCGGAGCGGATGCGAAAGGGCCCATTTTTATGTAACTTTTTGCATGTTGCTGTTTAGCCAATGTTACGAAGTAAACAGGGAATTCGATGCTCGGGAAAACATCCTATGGATGTCCGTATCTGTGCGAAATCGAAACATCTCAATGGACCCATCACGGGATAGATGAAATTTCTGTTCCCGTTTCGAAATGTTACATTGCGTGAAATTATAAACAGCGACTACATATGGTCTGTCTAAAAATTTCAATGTAGTGGCGCAATCATTCAGCGATACCGGTATAAGATTGCACCATGGACTCTAGCGAAATTATGTTTATTATGGTTTGATGGTTGCTGGTCTTACAAAACAGGTATGTAGGCGTATGTTAATAGTTTTTGATGAAGGCTTTATTTGTTTTATCCAATTTTCTTTATTCGGAATATGGGAATACAATGTATTGGGGTACTACCTACCAGTACCGCCACCGGTACCGTACCGGTACGTACAGGTACATCTCAGCATTGTCTGATTGTGGTACCGTACCGTAGGTCTGTAGGTTCACAGGTCCGTGCATGACAAAATAATCGAAAGATACATGACCCTATATCTGTATACTGGTATATGGACAGCCAGACAACTTTGACAGTCTGATGCAGATGTTAGAAATCAACAAGTGTCTGATCTGATTGCTCTGCTCTCTATGCAATACCGGTAGGCATTGCAACCTAATAACGTAAATACTGTAATATAGTAATAGGAGGTGACCAGAAAACATCTCAGCACAATTCGATACTGTAATAGGAGTTTTTGCCATTTAGCAGATCAACCACTGTTGTACACTAAATCAATGTTTCTTACACTGAATATCTACAGATCTATGCTTCATTGTTGTGTAAAATTCTTGATCTTACTTTGATAGTTCAACAATTTTGGATCATTTGAACATGCCTTGTCAATCATTTATTCATAAGTTAGCCAGTTTTGGTTCCCTTGGTTTCCCTTCCCCAGTAAAAATATGTGTTGAATGTGTTGAAAAATGTACTTACTACTGGACAAAGATTCAAATTTTTGTCCTCTCATATTTTTCATGTACATGTTACACTCTCAGCGGATGTGTTTTACTTTGGTTGATCTCGAATATTGATAATATGAGATGATTATCCCCATATGTTCAATATGTAGAGGTTCCTTTGTGCCAGAATTAAGATTGACAGTTTACAATTCTGTTTGTAAATGATTATGAGCAAAATTGCTGTTAATTCAAGGACAAAATGTAGTATTCTCCATTGACGTACCAACATGTTTTTCAGGAATTCTCTCAAGAAATCAAATGGCATCGTGTGTTCAAAGTGCACATGAAAGTTCAGATTTGTACGACCAACGGGTTGAATTTAGATTTTTTTCAAAATCTAAAGATGTTGCCCCAGGTAAAGGAAAAGGAGAAACCATCGATCCAAAATGTGTATACGATTTCAAAGAACTCGGCCAAATAAGAGATTGGAGAAAGAAGCTTTCTAACTTCTGGATATCTGAATTTGAAATAGATGGTTTGAAATGGGCAAGTGTAGAACATTTTTACCAGGCAAACAAGTATAAGAACAACTGCCCTGTTTTCTATAAGATGTTTTCTTTATCATACAAGCCACAAGCAGATGATCCAAAGTGGATAAAAGAACTTCCGGAAGATTTATCAACAAATCCTGCAGCTGCAAAATCCTTAGGTGGGAAAACTGGTAGATATCAAAAGATAGCATACCGACCCAAAAATCTTCTTCTAGATGCTGGATTTTTTGACAATGGTACCTCGGAAAAGATGATGGAAATGGGTCAAACTGCAAAGTATGAGCAAAATGCAGAACTACGAGAAGTGTTACTTGCAACAAAATATGCGAAACTTGTTCATATATCAAGGGGCATTCCGCCTACGACTTTCCACGACACCATGAGAATTCGCAAAAATCTACAGCAACATTGCATATGAATTTGCAATGAATTTGAATTTTTCTTCAGTCAATGAATCGATTGATTTAATGGAATGTCCAATATATTTATGTAATGTAATTGATGCTGAAGTTATCATTATGTTCTCTGTAAAGTCCAATTTATCTTCAAATGTAGCAAGTTGTATTTACTTTGAGGTGCATCAATTCATATTAGTTAAAATTATTTTAAAATAGGTGAACTCTTCGGTGACATGATTGTCCGAATCAATAGCTTTGAACGTTTTTAGCATAAGGTTTTTACTACCTGAAACAGTATTCTGAAAGTCATTGTTTTCAAAATTATAGACTGATCATGATTTAATATTTTAGTTTGGCATTTTTCTACTCTTTCTTCATTCTTTGAATATCAATTCAATTAAAATCGAAGTGGTAAATCTGTTCAGGTGATATTAATATCCTTGTGTATTGCAGATTTTTTCTATTTTAGCTGTGTCAATATATCGTCAATATAGTACTAATGATCAATTTATTACCAGTTTCATTTTTATAGTTTTCTTACACTTATAGTACACACAAAGTACCTATCTACTCTTATCAATGTATATGTGCAATAAATATATAAAATGATATATTTTGTGTTTGTATGCGAAAACAATGTACTAGTTATGGATGGCAGGCGTTTAATTACCACCCTGACCGATTCCACATTGAAATGCTGCGTGAAGTCGCATTTCGACGATGATGAATATTTTTCAAGTCCAAGCTCGGCGGCGTGGTTCATCGGGAAAAGCGTTGGGAATACGCACGCCTCTGATTATCCTGCGTAGGAGATAGTTATGTGCGAGAAGATTGCTGGACTCCTCGCCGCCGTGTGGTGGTGGCTCACGTAGCCGCTAGTCGGTTACGACTTCCTCCACCACGAAGTCCATGCATCTGAAACAAGTAACTGACTAACTAATCCCAAACCTAGGGTTACCATATTTTTGTGACCTCAAAGCGGTAGTAATAGTCGGGACGCGGCAGTGTTTTTCCAGATAAGAACATGTCATTGAATTAGACCAGTATTTCTCAATTTTTCATCCGTGGCCCCCGTTTTTCCAGATAAGAACATGTCATTGAATTAGACCAGTAATTCTCAATTTTTCATCCGTGGCCCCCATCCGAAGACTTTCACTACTCTCGTGTGGTGTTCTGCTATTCTATAAAAATACATAGATTTGATTTTAACACGTTTTCATCTGTTATTTTATGTGCCTCATTCAATATTAAAAAGATAACAAATGGCAGCGAAAGAATGAGTGAATTTAATAATGGAATTAAACAAATCACAGTCAAACAGTCGGGACGCGGCTGTGTTATTCTGGACACGAACATATCATTGAAATAGACCAGTGGTTCTCGGACTTTCATGATCGGCCCTCTTTCAAGCCTCTCATTATTAACTTGTGGTGTCCTGCTATTCTAGGAAAATATCCAATTTTGATATCAACGCGTTTTCATTTGTTCTCTTATGTAACTCATTCAATAATAAAAAAGCTAACAAATGACGGCGGAAGTGCATTACAATCATGTATATAATTAAACACTGGTGTTTCGAAATGAAAACTAAATTTTGTCTTCGAAACGAAACACAAGTTTGTCACAAACAGTAAAACATGGCACGATTATTACGCATCGAAATTAATGTATAATAGCCCATATTTTTTTCGAGGATTAATGCACAATTTTTGCTGTTTTCTATAATTGTAACTGTCGCTACCTAAACATTTATGAAATTTTCAAAATGTTATGTTGTCTTTCCTAATGTTTTTCTTGATATTTAACTTCTTTTTGCTACTGTTTTATTTTTTCCTTGTTCAAAACAGCATTGAAACTTTTCCTTCCAATGGAAATTTTTTCTAAAGTAAAACTTATTGGCTCCCTCATGTGAATTTTGAATTTGTTAAGTCTTTTTTCTAAATGTTGTTTAAAATTTTTAATTTATTCGTGTTGATGATATATTAAATTCCTTGTTCAGAAATTCTGTATTGTAATTTGTATATGATTTCGCCTCAACGAATAGGATCCGGATCCAGCACTAGCCCAGGGGTGGTCCACCTGCTTTCGATCGCGATCGACTTAAATCTTCAAGATAACTCGCGATCGGTAATGATAATGAAGGCATGCACAAAAACGAATGCGTACTGAATATACGGATAACTGAACACACGCATGGTTCCGTAGGCGCACTTTTATGTTCTATTCAATTTGTCAATTTGATTATGTAATTGTACCTGGAGTAAATTTTCATCATTTGTTAAGATTTATTCGAACCACACAACTCAGATCTAGAGCCTCCTTCATTTTTAGTCGTTAAGTGTTTAAAATTCCTTAAAAAAACCTTGCCAAGTATCCATATTATCTAACAGCGAAAAATAAATATTCTCAAACCATTAATGTTACATGACTGCTCAAACTTCAGTAATTTACAATTTCCTCCAAGTCCGATTCTTCGCTTTCTCGGCATCAGAATAAAATTGGTCATTGTGATGCCACTGCTACCATTGCGAATACTATTGGAGTGAGACAATAACATCTTTGCATACTATAACAACAACTTTCGCATACTGCCGAAGTTATTGTAGGATCGTTTCTCCTTGTTCGGTTACAGCTTCCTCTACCATCAAGTCCATGCTTCCGAAAACAATTGACTAGCTAAATACCCGACATGAACTGGTAACCGGGCAGAGGTCGTGGTTCGCCATATGATTAATCTGTCTTACCGGTTTTCCTCTCCCCGTGATAAATATGTGAATCCTATCTTGTATTCGACACGTTCATTGCTAAACCTTGGAAGCTGCGAATCTCTCATTTATTACGTAATATTATGCTCTATCGGACTTGCGCGGACTCAAATACTGTATGTGTATATCGTATTCTGCGCATGTGCAGTACTGTATTCGCCATGTTTTAATAAAACACACAACGGGTCCATGCATGAAACTGCTTTGAAGCATTTTTGGAGATATGTTATTAAATTCACTCAACATCAGACGCGATCGACTCCTCGAGACGTGGCGATCGGCGTGTTGGCCACCACTGCGAATAGCACAAAGGCATTGAGGAAGGATTGGGAGTTATTCTCTCGTAACCTCTACTGATAGTTAAATCACCATAAGCTTGTTTCGAAATGTATTGGATATCATTAGAGAGAATCCCACTTCGCGACAATAGGTTGAAGGAAATTGAGTCAGAAAATGTCAACCAATGCCTTCTTGAAAATAATGCGATATACATGTCGTTCTTCAGTTCCAGGAAAGTACTGTTTGATAGCAGTTTATTTTGCATTTTAATGGTTGGAAGTATCACGCGCGAATACACAATCCACATTTGTATCGGATTTCAAAAGCATTTTCATGTGCCATAGCATACATAGCCTACTTGTGTTGCCTCTTATACGGCGAAGCATTGTAATTTGTAACACCTCCAGTCTCTAGACCAGGGGTGGGCAAAATGTTTGAACCAGGGTCAAAAATTTTGCCCACTCAGACTGGCGGGCCATGTAAGTGTGACGTAAATAGTTACATTTTATGAACAATATATACAGTGTTACTAAGCAAAGATAGAAAACCATAAATCTCGTGCCAAAACTATATTTGACCGCAATCTCAACAAATTCCTTAAGTTATTTCAGCTGAAACATCAAAATTTGATTTCAGTATGGTTGTGGCAGCATCAGGCGGGCCAGATTGAATTACCCAACGGGTCAGATTTTGCCCGCGGGCCATACTTTGCCCATGCTAGCTAAAGTAGGGGCTCCCAACCTTTTTTATCTCAATTTCTCACTTTCGATTTAGGCTGAGTTTTTATTTCCCATTACCTTATTTCCCGTTACCTCATTTGATGGGGCTGCATATAACCATTGGAGATAGTCTTAGTGCAAAAAATGCATTGTGGAAGTTGCTCAAAATTTTTCCTTACAAACGTGAAAAGTAGCCGAGATGACTATGATCGTACTTTATTTTTACATAAGCCATTAATTACATTTTATTAACAATTTAGCAGAAGGGACGGGTCAAAAGCGCATGCCAACCCAATATCTCTGAGACATTTAAATAAAAACTGTTCTGTTTTGAGGCTCTGCAACGAAAATCTTCTTGCGTAACATTTAAAGCATTGGTGCTCGTTCGAGATATGTCTGTGAGGTTGTTATCGGCGGCCAAAAATCAAAATGAGTTACGTAGCACGATCAGAATATCATGTCAAACAACGTGATATTTTAGTAAAGTTTCCGTTAATTGAATGGGAGTCATTTCCGCTTCATGGCATAATTGTGATTTTCATTGTGTAAAATTTAATATTTCTGTTGTTGCACGTACATTTTTTAGAGGAGCGTTCTATTTCCCACCTGCATTCGCCAAATTTCCCACTAGTGAGAAATTTCCCACCGGTGGGGAACCACTGCTAGACTCTCTACTGGCCTCGAAACTAGATACATTGTGACGCAGAAAAGCCGATTGACTAGACGCGAACACTTTACGCCCAGCCTTCTCATAGCCCAACGATTACAAACGAATATGATTACAAATGAAATCGTTGAATTTTTCACTAAAATTGTCAAATATCCCCCAGTTTTGGAATCACTGACTTAAAGCGTCGAGCGTTGACAATGCGTTCTCTGGTGAATACGTTGTAATAAATGATATATAGCCTGATGTTTCCGACGGTTTTTGAGTGAATGGTAGCTCATATATTTGATCGGCAATTATTTGAAGACAAACAGATGAAAATAGTTGGCTTTTTTCCTCATCAACCAACCTAGACAGCTTTAAGTGTCGGCATCTACTGACGTGTGATGTACGGTCCCCTTTACCCACGAGTGAATATTCTTCACTTTGAGTGATTGTAGTTTCTCGCAACGGTACTCCCGTAGTGTGTGTACCAGGTAAGAGTTAGGCCATAATTTTATTCCGATTTTCCTTATTTTAGTTCTATCACGAGTTCGGGGACTGTCTGTAACACAACTTGATGCAAAGTAGTCGAACAAAATTAATTACTTCCATATTGGTACACACACTTCTGGAGCGACCTCGCAACTCTGTTATAGGTGTTCTTTCCTTGGGGCTCGGAACTGAGCTTTAACTTTTATATGAAAAAAAATACTGATGAACATCTGAACATATTTATCTGTGCGAGCTGCAACTAGCTTAGATCACAATATCCGACATATCAATTCAACTTTGAAATTATATTTGTGCGGTGAAATTAGTAATTCTATATGCAACCTAAAGAAGTCAACACATTAAAACAAAGAAATATCATTAAGCAAGTGGAGGACCTAATAGAGAAGGATGAATATAAATACTGTGCAATGCACACTCTTCTTATCTTACCTATCGAAAAAAAATTAAGAATCGATAAAACAAATGCGTAAAAAGACGAAGAATAAAACATTTTTCCTAATTGAAAACTCTAGCATTGCATTGGATCACGTCGCTGATTTGATTTTCCAAATGCCGTTAAAGGCAGATGCTACCCTAGTATAAGACGTCATAGTCTCCATACAACAGACGTTTTTATCAGTTCGTGTGTGAACCTATTATTCGTTAGTATTCATTCTGCATAAATATATAAAATTTCCTATGTAAAAAAAATTTAGTAACGATCCGCATCACCACAAAATGCATTTCTTTGTTGGATTCATGTAAGATCCCCGTTTGCATTGAAATGCCTCCGAAAATTTATCAAAGTTTTGAAGTGATCCGATTACCCTGCAATAAATCGAATAAAAAGTGTAAAATCAGTTTGGAATGGTATGGAAGTTGGTACATATGAGTGAAAAATAAAAATCGATATATATTTGATAAATGGGAATTACCCAAATTTGCATCTTAACTTGCGCTTAATCTCACCCTGACAAACTCGAACAATATTGAGTGACTTTTTTCGCCCTAATACGTTCAGGCTTCAGGTCAAGTTTTTGGTAACAAATAGTTAGAGGACTTCGAGCAAGTATTTTTCACAAATGTGGCTTAGGTGTGCATTCATAAGCTCTTGCTACTCCTTTTCGATCGCACAGCGTTTTTTATTCTATGCTAGTGGGAATGTTGCACGGACAGAAATAGCAAAACGGTGTATTTGTTGGTACAACCTACAAAACTACGGATTGAGCATACCTATATCTTCCGGGACTGTGTACGCTGTTGGCAACCGTATGTTCAGCTGCCTGGTGTGTATATTTTGCACAACGTACCTGTAAAACAAATCAGGTTTTTGTTTTAATTTTCATACCTACTAAACCGGACTAAGACTCAATTATAAATGATTTCAATGCGGGCAAGTTACTTACGTTTGCAAAACCCACAAAGAACATCTGATTATTTGTCAGTCCAGTAGCAGGTTCAATGTCTTCACCGGTAATGTTGTGTTTCTTCAACCAAATTTGATAACCCTGAGAAGCGTAGGCAAGATTAGTGAGATCGTAGGATTGGGGCAATATTACTGAAATATTGATCAACGATAGCACGGAATCAACCGCTCTTTGGAATTGGCTAAATTCTGATTTGTGTAAATTTGATTGTGTAAAATTAATCGATCCTTGTCATCAGCTACATACTTGGTACGATTCTCTTATTCCACCGTTGTCGGCTATATTTTCACCAAGTGTTTGACTTCCATCAATCTGAAATATAAGGTAAACACAAAATTATATTTCCTCATTCGACATTATGGGAGTAGATTCGAGAAGAAAGTTAATCGGTTCAAAGGCTGAAGCACTTGCTATAAATGTGCTGTATCGTATTACACTGGATATACCGTTTCCACCAGACTGCACAACAGAGAGAGAAGAAAATGGGGCAGAAAATTGCTTCCGTAAGACATCTTAGATTGTTTTTATATTTGTAACTAATCCGAAATGTGAAATATATGTACGCTCACTTTCGTTACTTACATATTCTCTTGCTGCCGGCCACCAGTAGTTGCTGTATTGTTTCTCAATGCAACCTGTTCTTTGATTGAATTGTTGAAGTGATTTATCTGACCACCAATTCTTGAGTTTACCAAATTTGTCGTGTTTGCGACCTCGGTTATCAAATCCGTGGGTGATTTCATGCCCTAGAATTGTTCCTATAGCACCGTATTGGAACATTCTACATAAAGCACACAGAATGTATTACGCAGCTGACTATCATATTTGTATAGGAAAACAGGGCTATAATTACGGTACGAGGTGTGGCTAAAAAGAAACGAGACTGACGTCACAGATTGCGCAACACGATTAACCATTGGTAATCAACACTTTTACAGTGTGGTGTAATATGTGTTCTTTGTTCAACAGCTTTTTTGACACAATATCGCAATTATTTTTGCTCTTTAGGAGCCATAGGTGAATGTGATTAATTGCTTGTTGAAAAAAATTGCCGTGCGAGATCTGATTGAGTTTTTTGGCGATAGGGGGTTCAATTGCAGAATGACGATTGAGCAATGAATTAACATTAAATTTTGTGTCAAACTTGGAAAAACGGCGACTGCGACTTTGAAGAAATTGTGTGATGTTTATGGAGATTCTTCCATGTCCAGAACAAGAGTTTTTGAATGGCACAAGCGATTTGTGGGATGCAGGGAGGATGTGGAGGATGATTCGAAGTCAGGAAGGCCTTGCACTTCCACAACTGATACCAACATCGAAAAGGTATCAGTTGTGAGTTCAGTTGTGAAAGGCAGTTGATTCGCAGCGACCGTCGCTCAACAATTCGCGTCATTGCGAAGTTGGAAAAGACAAAAAAAAACGGTTCGCACCAGTTTGGTTGACACTTTTGGCTTGTGAAAGGTGAGTGCCAAAATGGTGCCAAGGCTGTTGACTGAGGAGCAGAAAGCTCAACGATTAAATGTTGCCCAGTTGACATGCATTTTTCCAAGTTTGACACAAAATTTAATGTTAACTCTTTGCCCAATCGTCATTCTGCAATTGAACCCCCTATCGCCAAAAAACTCAATCAGATCTCGCACGGCAATTTTTTTTTCAACAAGCAATTAATCACATTCACCTACGACTCCTAAAGAGCAAAAATAATTGCGATATTGTGTCAAAAAAGCTGTTGAACAAAGAACACATATTACACCACACTGTAAACGTGTTGATTACCAATGGTTAATCGTGTTGCGCAATCTGTGACGTCAGTCTCGTTTCTTTTTAGCCACACCTCGTATGTATTTAAATAGAAGCAAATAAAATGAACAGAAATTCTCATTTTTTCAAAACAACCTCAGTTGGTAATACACAACCAAATGGCCTACTGTGAATAAAAAATTTTCTGTGGTATATTTTCCTACCTTGGAAATTTGTCTCCCCAGTAGAATGGGTACTGCATTTCTCCTGCTGGTAAAGCTGAATAATAAAACATTGTTTTCATATATATTTGTTTGCATCCAATATAAACTAGGCATCTCACAATGATTTAGTCTTCAGCGAGACGTGATTTGCGGTGTCTTTTCTTAGTTTTATCTATGATAGCCTACTGGCTAGTTATAAACAATTTGTATTAAAATATAATGTTACTAATAGTTCACATTTTTCGGCAATATTGATCTGAAAAAATATTAGTATCCATCAAACTGCACATCTATTCCTGCACATCTATTACTGACCCGTATCTCTGATATAGTCTGCCCAAGGTCATCACAATGAATATGTAAGACATTTCTGAAATTAACTACCTATGATGTACTTACTTATTGAGTTGTGAGACGGATTATAAAAAGCATTGACCATCGTGGGTCGAGTCGATGGTGATACTCTAGCATTAGCATCATAAGTTGTTCCTAATTTTTTAAATCCGTTTTGTGACATTTGCGTGAGAATCCGAACAACGTTTCCGAAATAATCATTCTTTTTCGCAAGTAGCTAAAAACAAGAAACATATTTTCAAATCAACAAATCCCATTACAAAAAGATTGCGCCGACACTTCGCCAAACGTTTGGCCAATGCATTAAATAAATGTATAATTTAGTAATAAGACTGCAAAGCAATCTCATCCAGTGTAAGTCAAATCAAATTTCGTCTTCATGATTAGATAATTTATGATATATATAAATTGTCCCAAAATGTAGGATGATCATGTGCGAGAGGATTGCTGGACTCCTCGCCGCCGTGGGGTGGTTTATGTAACCGCTGGTCGGTTACGGATTCCTCCACCATAAAGTTCATGCTTCCGAAAACGAATAACTAACTAATACCATACCGAACGAGAGGCCGTGGTTTGCCATATGATTAATCCGTCTTATCGGCTTTCCACTCTCCCGGAATAAATATGTAAATCCTTATGTAATACCCATCTCATACCTGTTTCCATTCATCATCTAAATAAGTATCGTTTTCATAAATCTGTTTGTTGTATCCGATATATGGTTTTATTGCCAATGCCTTCTCTTTTGCGTATTCTTTCGTTTTCTTGTCCATCCACGTCACTTCGGTTTTCAAAAGTTCTATAAATCCATTTCTTATGTTCTCAAACATATCTTTCGCCTGGATAAATATGTAAATAAATAAAGATGAAGTAAAAGGGAAATCCTCAATATCGACAGAAATTGTTAACATTGACTATTACTGGTAAATTAAATAAATATGAGCGAATAATGAAGTTATTATTAGATGTTTAGTTAATGACGATGCTAGCAGATTACGCCAATTTTTTCTTTTTCATCAGCAGTAGTGTGTTCAAGAAGCGTAGTCATTGCAATGCTTCAATACTCCCGAAGCGATAGACTCATTCATTAAGAAAATTGACACCAAGCGCTTGAAATCAAAAAGGCTTGTTACTTGTTGCAACAAAAAATAGTATTATTAAAATTGTATTTAAATTTCCTGCTTTAGCTTGTGAACGAGAAAGTACCGTATGCTTCTTTGCTGGTGAAAAGTATTTGTCGACAAACATTTTTCCTGTTGGTCCTTTCATCGAAAATATGGCATAGTTCGCACAAGTGTACCAGCGTTCACGAAGTTTCGTAGTACCGTAAAATGTTCTTTTATACTGAAGATATCTTTTCTGGAAGCTAATATCTAAATTTCGCATGCGATGTTTGACGATACGCCATACCATGTAATTCTGCACAACTCTAAAAGAGAAAAAAAAGAGTATTGTAAGTTAAAAATTGCCAAACTTCTTTTTTGTTAGAAAATGAGCTATGTTATCTTTGGTTGCTGTTATTTTAAGGATGTAATATTTTATGGTTGCGCAAAAACAAGTTATCAGTTACTCATCAATACAGATCAAATAAGTAGAAAGAAAATCGCTTTACTGTGGATCTGTTTTTTTCACGAATTTTATTAAATCCTTGAGATAAGCAATATTCCAGACTTGTACTTTCGTATCCGTTGTAATTGTACTTGTCCATATCATCCGTTTGAATAGTTTCAACCAGTTGATCTGTGGATGACAACAAAAAAAAAAGTTAACAATTTCTGGTTTTTACCGTCGGTAGAATTCCACAGGCTTGGTATGGTATTGGCACATCGTGCCTAATATTGCGAAAAAACTTGTGAGAAAGAATTGAATTGAGAATGATAATAACTTAAACTTAAAGCATATTCGTGCATCTAATCAACTATATTAAAGTAATATGAAAACGATTTTTTTGTGAGTTGTACTAATATTTTTCAAACTTACTCCAGGTATATCGTTATTCATTTCGGATATTGATTTAGTTGAAAGATAGTCCATATCGAGAATTTTCATGAGCGCGATTCTTGTCTCAAAATCTAAAACTTTCTTCATTTGTTCCTCCGCCCTATCTTCATCAGCCCCTAACATTACAGCCGTATCTTTCATTAAAGAAAAATAGGCCGCTTTTCTCTGAATGAAAATAGTAATTACTAAATTATTATGCCACGAACGATGTCACATTGGGTCTCTTCAAAATTATCCCGATTAATTCCGTTCTACGTTTCGGTAAATGCGCAATTTTTCGGGAAAAATAATTTAAAGAAGTCATTTACATTCAATTGCATCGCATCAGTAACAGTATTCTTAAATGTAGATATACAAGGCAAAAAAGAACGTCTATAATTTCTAAATATTTTAAATTTTGGAAATAAATTGACAAACAAGCCCTGTGACCAACTTGTTCCGTATAAAACTAACACACTAATTTTAGTTCCTTCTTCGAGGGTAACTTATATCATTGTATATATATATACAATTTTTATATATAATCTCAATAATACGAATGCGATAAAGTGGACTACAATTTTGAATTAAAAATATTACGTTTGCATATCTTGACTCAAAGTAATATCGATTTGGCATCGCCATCTTTCCTTTCCAAGTCTGAAATAAAAAGAATTTTAATTTTTTTTCAGCAAACGTACAGTTTATATTCTTTTAACCTCGGTGATAGGCTATCACAGCGTTACTTATAATTGAAAACAATTTGCTTTTAATTTAAGGCAGAAGTTGTAACTTTGCTTGAAATATATTTATATATAAAAATTTGCTTTCATCATAATACAAAGTGAAATTTTGCTACAAAACTGATAAAAACCATCACCGTAAACTTAAAAACCTATTCATTATCTATTATTGTTTCTTTTTTAATGGTACACTGTACCTGAAGTACGTATTGGCCTGAGCTTTTACCAACTCGAGTCGTGAAAAGGACATTGTTGTGATATCTTCCTCTCAGCGTTGCAAGAGTGGCCTCCAGATCAAATTGATCGGGAGACCAATCAGAACTGATGACCGGCCATGTTAAATCACCTTGCAGAAAATCAAGCAGCGGTTTTTTTCCAAGATCGTTGATTAGCTCTGAAAATGATTGATCAATATACTTATACTGTAGATTTGAAAATATTAGGGTTAAACTGATATATTTAATGCCAAAATATCAGTTCTTCAGATTTATACAATGAAAAATCTTTTAGCATGTCTTTCATTGCGTTGTATCGGAATTTCAAGATATACATACAATACGTCGAAGTACGTCGCGCTTTCTGGGTTTGGGTTTTCCGTCATTTTTAGCTTTTATATATATAGCTAAAAAGTAGAATGAGTCAACATTTACGCACAGCCTATAGAAAATAATGACATATGGTAATGGGAATGTAGAAATGATCAATATCACCAAATGTGACTCTAATGAAAATGAATGTTTGAAATGTAAAATTATAAATCATTTTCACCTGTGTTCATGCAAGATTTGTAAACGATTTTTGCCTTTTTAACAGCGCTTATGTCACTTTTACGAACCTTCTTTTCCAATAATTCTGCAAAAAGAAATGCAACGAATCAATATGCTTGAATTACATAGTTTTTGTTTTCCAATTTATTGTAGTTATTGTTAAGTACATGAAAACCGGTAATTTGTATTTTTTCAAACTGTAAAACGTGAATTCATTCAATACGTATATAGAAAAAAAATATATTCACACCTGCCATATTTCTTTTCACACGATTTCTCAGAACAGTGTAAGTTTGATATTTTCCACGACTGTCTGGTGGAAATGGTGTTTCAGTCAACCAACGACCACAACTGTATTTATAAAAGTCATCACACGGATTTACATTGTAGTCAATTTTGTCCATATAGTAGGCAGCTGAATAAAGTAGAGAAGTTTTCATCGTGATTAAAACACCAGAGATTATGACAAAACTGGGATACAAGTTCAAGTTAGAAATTACGATTTGAATTGGGATAATAAAATTGCTTTTAAATACATTATAGGTAAGCTTCAACTATGAATACAGCAATTATTCAACAATTGCCCCCCAATTTTGTTCCCAAAACGGAATTTTGATGAGTGATGATGCGCTCAATGATTGAAAACGATTTATCGGACAACAGCTATGATATCAATTTCAAAAATTGCTGGCGTGATTAACTGATCAGGACCATTTCAACTATCGATTGCTGTGTTTAGGAAATACAATAAAAACAATCGTTTACCCAAATTATATTAATACATTAAAATTTAATTTCAATATATGTACATTTTATTACAATATTAGTTATTACAATACCTGTAGAAACGCAGTTTGGTGATTTACAGGCAGTGGGCAACGGTTTTGACGACTTCCCTGAAAAAAAAGTACAATTTATGTTACGGAGAATTTCAATATCGTGAATATTTTAGTTCTTAACTATCCATTTTTATATTGGTGGAATACACTAAAAATCTCCTTACCTTTAATACATCTTTCTCCTGATTTAGAGTCACCTCTCAATTCATAGGTCCATCTATATTTAGTCGCGGCGCCGCAGAGTTCATAGTGAGGTACAGGATGTCTAAGATGATAACCTCCCTTGCAATTCAATCGACAAGCAATGACGTTACCGAGCAGTGTATTCTCGGTTGTGCACTTGTGAATAACGTTTCTACGTCCACGGAATTTTGAGCATGTCCCTTCAGTAAAACAAAAGTGAAATGTACCAAAATTGTACGATATTGAAAAATAATTATCTTCATCCACGTCCTAAACCAGTGGTTCCTACTGCAGGAGCGGCCCCAGCTACCCTTTGAGCGTTTTCAATGTAGAAGGACATAACTTAGATCAGAATGGCCATTGGTGGGAAACTGGGAATTAGGGGTCTATGGGCATCAGTTACACGTTTTTATTCAAAAGATGATGCTGATTTCTGATTTCTTTTACTTATTGAAAGGAAATATGCCACTATTTCGTCCGGCGACTTCGTGAAATTTTGTTGAATCCATAATCTAATTTTTTACCTAGTTGTCAAGCATTTCTTCTATTTTGATAATTGTACAACCAGAATATACTTTAAGTCACTCATGAAATTGAATTTGATATATGCCAACGGGTATTTCAAATATAAATATACATCAAATACACAATTTGATGCCTCGCTCCTCCGCTGATGGAACATCATACAGTATCCCGAAAGTTGTTTAAGTTTCCAGAGGCCGCATCAATAATTACTTGGAAATATCATGCAATCGTGACACAATCACAGTGAGTTTGTATAAGTTGTATTTACCGTATATGAAGGCCTATAGGTACTTATTTTCATGTGAATTGTATTAGGAAGGTCGTTTAGCAGTTAGCAAGTTTTCCGAAAGAGTGATCGTTCAGAAAGTTTGAGAAAATTTATCGTAGGCTGGACGCCAGCGGTCCAATTGGACTTGATAATAGCAATAAACAAACGTGGTAGGTTGTATCTTGAGCTGAAAGTATATAAATATCTCACAGAAAAATAAAAAACAGCTTCAATTGTGTGCTTGTGGTGCGTCAGTTCAAACGTGTGTTGGAGAAATCTGATGTTCTTTTCACAGTGACGTCTCACCAGATAGTGAAACTGAGTTAAAATTTAAATAAAACTATTTTGTTTCAAGCACGTGTTTCATATTTTGGAATTTGATAAAGTGTATGATTATTTGACCGACTCGCTATTTTTTGGCTATACAAATGTGTGTTTATCACGACTGGATTGCGTAGTAGCATAGTGACGCTCGGCTAAAATTAAGTACACCAGCAGTGACAATACCCTCATATTTAGTAGAAATTCAATGCTTTACATAAGCATTAAAATATATTAACACAAATCACAAGCGTGAAACTAGTATAAGCAACTTACACATGGAAATAGTCTAGCAATCCCATACGGATGGGAGTCATATCATGTGACAGGCAGTCACTGACATATATGGCGCTCTATATATGGAACAGCGTCATGGGTATTGTTTGCTTGATTTTAATATGTTAATAGCACATTAGCATTGACAATAGCGATACTCATTTCCCTGGTTTATATTTTCGCGTGCCCTCAAGTACTTTTTATCGATCAAACCCCCTATATCAGACATGAGCGATGTACGACCCGCGTGCCAAATCCGACCGTTGGGTGATTCAATCTGGCCCGCCTGATGCTAAAAACCAAACTTAAATCCTTTTGATGTTTTAGCTGAAAATAGCTCGTGGTATATGTTGAGATTGCGGTTAAATTTAGTTTTGGTACGAAGTCTATTGTTTTCCACGATTGCTTTTGTAACACTGTACATATTGTACATAAAATGTAACTTTTTACGTCATACTTACATGGCTCGCCAGTCTAGGTGGGCAAATTTTTTGGCCTTTGGTCCTAAAACCGTGCCCACCCCTGCCCTAGATGGTGCTGACTGCTTCATTTCGGAAACTCACAGAATGAAGAAGCCACAACTTGGCTGAAACTCCGAAGGAACTACATAATATTATTATAAGACTTCTCTCTTATAAAATACATGATAACAATTCTATTTACCTTTTTGTGAATTAGCCTTCTCAATCCCATATTTCTTTCTAAGTTCACGAAGAAGATTTGTAAGTCGCATGGAAAGTCCCCTCTCTTGTATACTATTCTCCATCATTGTTAAAATCTCCTTCTCTTTTTCTACTTCATCATTCTCGTCTGTCAAATCCTCATCCATATCTTCATTTTCATTCGCTGATTCTTCGGAATTTAGTCCCATTAACGAATCCCGAAGGTTTTCATTGGGAGATTGTTCCTGGGAATAACGTTTAATAATAGGATTGAAACAATTGAGAAGATAGAGCATTGATTAAAGTGATTAAAGTCGAGACGTCACGCTCATTCAAAAGTAATTTGAGCCCAAGTCAGTAAAAAGTTTAAAAGATGCGACATATTAATATTTTATATCGCTACTGGAATCTTTGAAAAAAAAGTCTGAGCTTTGTAGCATAGTATAAAAACGCGTAGAAAACCTGGCGCAAATTTTATGCATATTCAAGGAATACTAAGAGACTCCAGATGAAATATAAATTTTAATTCAAACAGATCATTGTTTCGTTTAATTTGCTAGGTATATAGACATGTAGATAATGAACGACCTAAAGCAACATGGTTATAGCAGCAAAAATTTTAGTTTTTGTATCGAAATGTAACTTACCACGTCGCTTATAACGTCCAATTCATCTTCTACTTCTGAATCGTATTCTTTCTCGCTTTCCTCGTCTACAGCTTGAACATTGGTACCGAGCAGAGCCAAGAAACCCAGTATAAATACAAAATAGTTATAATTCTTCATCTTGTAAAACAATGATGCTATTGATATTGGCAGTGGTGCGACTCTCTAGTAATCAGGAACACACTGCGCTCAACTAGATAGGTACAATATAACTTATCGTCACAAGCCCACCATACGTTGGCGAAATTGCATGCGTGTACCGGACATAGTAAGCTAGATCTAAAAACAATACGGTCAAAAATATACCACGTGAGGTAAAACGATTGCTTTCTTGTTTCGAACGCGTATGCTATATAGAGATATAATTAAAAGCATATGGATGAAATTTATATGATCACTTTACGTATATTGAATAATATTTAATGTTGGTAAAAACTATTATTTAATTGGCAATGTTCCAAGCTTGATGCGTATATACACCACTTTATATGTGCGTGCTACATCTATACCCCACACACGATACTGTAATGTGAACTGAATTATGCAAATACAAGGCGAAATGGCTAGGGATGCACGATACTGGATAGATACAATCCCCGGAAATGACTGATAGAGCTTATCTGTTGGATGCATTCTTGAAATTCGACCGGGTATCCGGATATGAGCAATATTTATGGATTTCACCCGACGAGTTTCGTATAAAAATCATGGCAGTGAAAAAGTGGCAAGCTGTTAATTTCGCTTGATACTACTCGTGAATACAATGTGCGGAAATAACTGTTTAAGCTAACAGGTTATTCAGGGATAGAGCCTATGTATAAAAAAAATCTTGTAGAATAATACCAAAAAGTGTAATACCAAAATGTAAAAGGAACCGAGGCAGCAGCAAAGGCCAATAAAAAAAAACTGGCGCAAAGAAGTGACTGGAAACATCTAGCGCCCATCAACAACCTAAAAAAAAAGTATCAGAAATATAAATTTTTGTGCAACCCATTCATTTACAAAAATCTTTTGGGTTATACAAGTAACATCCTGAATTTAATAATATTACTTTCTTATCCAGCTCTGGACTTCGGTTTGAGTCAATAATTTCGACTGTTACTCACTTTACTAGAAAAAATTAATATTACGGCACCCGATTTCAAAATCACTGGGATTCCAGTTCAAATGTGAGCCAGAGGCACCAGCCTCCGATTCTGCATCTCTGAAGAAAAAAGAATCACCAAAAAAAAATCGATAAACAACGTGAAAGGAAATAGCATGCATATTTTATTTGTCCGGAAAAAGCCGAGCAGATATTTCTTGGATACCGGAGTCTTCTTTTTTGACTAACATCAGTAACCTGGCATATGAAGAGTGTGGGGTCTGTACGCTGAACGCGACTCTTTTGTTTTCCATTTTCGTAATAGATGGTAATTTCACATTTATAAGAATTTAAAGTCGTAATGACTTGTTTCTTTTGACCTATTAAATAAGCTATGAAGAAAATCAACATTTATTTCGTTACAAAATGATTTCATACCGAATAAAAATTTTCCAGATTATAACGTCCTTGTTCATCCGGCTAGGAAACTGGTAAAAATTCCCAATTTTATACGCTCTAAATTTGGGTTGGGTTGCGCGAGACTAACTTCCTATCTTTTCTCTATGCCTTTATGCTAGTGGATCCGTATGCGTATACTGCAAGGATACCGTAGCTGGAATAAACATGACTATTATATTCAATTCAATTAAGCTGGACTCTTTAAGCGTTTTAGCAGGGTTAATTGAATAGAATATTAATACGCTCTGTTCAAAAATAGCGTTGTAAACTCGGGCGAGCGAGCGGAAAATCAGGCAAAATGTCTTTAACTCTACAAGATGTTTCAAAATTCTCTTCGTTACATTTTGAATCAGCATTTTATTCAAATCAGAACTTACATATCAGTGAATGTTTGTAAACAGAGTTCCCACGAAAGGGCATCAGAAAATGTCGTACAAAAATTTATAAAATATAGCGCATCACCGAGGAAAACATATTAATATACCATTGGAAATATTTCCCCATCCATAACCCTTTTATTATTCAGACACGAAAAGATTTTCATTTTATTCACATACGTATTTTATTTTATTATTCAGACACGGAAAGATTTTCATTCTATTCACACTCGTATATGTACTCATCGGGATGCTGTACAGCAGGGTCGTCCCATCCGTGGCCCGTGGGCCACATGTGGCCCGCCGAAGGTTCCCGAGTGGCCCGCGTGGTATTATTCGAATCTCAATGTCTTTCACAAGCCATTATTTGAACCTCTAATAAAAAAAAACGATTCCTCTTCATTCAAACGCGCGAGAAACACCACCCAGCTATCGAAAGCTTATTTATGTCCCTTTGTGAGCGTTATTGTGGGAGAGAGATGTTTGAATTTATTTTTATCGTCTGCCAATCTGTCTTTTTTCTGTGAAGCTAGAAGAGGCAGTTTTGATGACCTCAATCTTTGACAGTCTTTGAACCATGTCCAATCCTCCGTGAGATCACTAATTTCTGACAGTCATATAAAAAATTTGCATTGCAGCATCGTCCATCGCACCGAACATTGACAAACTTATTGGATAAAAGAGGCGTCATACTTGACATTGAAATATCTATGTGCGATGAAAACTTTAGACTTAACTGTATCTTCGTATTTTCATTGGTTTTATAATTTTGGTGTGAGGGGTAGTCGGTGTAGTGAAAACTAGAATAAAACAAACATATCAAGTGGCCCGCGCAATCATTAGTAAACTAAATGTGGTCTTTTGGCCGAAAAGGTTGGACCACCCTTCTGTACATTGTACACGCAGTAGTCGGCAGGTTTTCATTTTTGTCAAAATATCTATTGAATGATCATAGATAGGTCATTAACATTCGACTATAAAATGGGAAGCAACGAATCTGTTAACCAATTGGCGGAATAATGTAATATATACATGGCATCATCTCATAAGATTAGGTGTTGATAAGGTTAAGCAAAATAACTGCGTATTTCGTTGGGAATGGAGCAGTTTTAAGGTACTAATATATTTACGGCCTTGTCAGAATTGGCGAAAATATAATCTTGCGAATACAAAGGTGAGGAAATTCTAAAATTAGAGAAAATCGATAGATACTCCAGAACAAAGGATAAAGATAGTTGCGAAGAATTGGTAATAACATAAGTTGAATGTTTATTAAACGCGGAACACGTTGCAATAGAGAGAAAAAACGATTTCTGTAAGTGTAATCCATCTCCACGTCAGTGATTATTGTAAGGCGATTAACATGAGTTTTCTACTATAGCGAGAACGAAAAATGATTTGAAATGGATTTGTTATTATTGAAAGCACTGCCCTCAAGGTTCACAGAGAACCACAATTAACATGTCCATAGCAGTAGCATAACGTACAATGAAGATTATAGCATCAAATTGATACACGAGAAATACATTCCACATAAAGTACTCATGACAAATTCCACAAAAAAATTACACCAATATCAACTTTTGAATGTCTTACAAAATAGACAATCTAGGTAACGCAGAAAAAATGTGCACATCAGTAGCTTAAAAAGTTGTAATGCAGAAAATATTAATGGTAACGAAGCGTCGATATACGCAACGCATTCTTCTACATTGCTTTCTTCCTCATTCGGAACGGTTGTCGAACAGACATCAATATGATTCCATGAGTGACAACGATTAAGCGTTATATTCGGAAATTGTGTAAAGATGCTAAAGTATCGATCGATCAATCATGATTTATTAGTGAACACAATATAAATGTATCACAACAAAAAACATTAAAAATAACAGGAGTGGACTAACTTGAATTGTGTGACACTGACCAGGAGTCGCGAGGAATCTCGGAAGGTCTTCAGGCAGCGACACCTACAACGATGATCCAGGTTAGTCAGTGGAAAAAAGTTAACCAAATACCAAAATACTTCAACGAACATTTTAAGAAAAAAATCTAAAAAATAAGAAAATTACCAAATATATATTATAAATGATATATAAAAACATAACATTCCGGTTATGAGCAGATTTTTTAAAAACTGCCAATGAAATTACAAAAGATGCAACATAACGTATTGTATAAATCCAACCGGTTCTAGAGAAAGATATTTTTTAAGCACATTATACTCGTACGTCTGGTTTATTAAAATTCTTGAGACATTCAAAGGCATGGTAGAATACATCATAAAAATTATTGAGTTTCTGATAACAGCTAATGAAAAACCGTATGGAATGAACTGATTGACTCCTGAAATTAAGTGGCGATAAAATTGAACGACTCAAATCTTGATTTCATTAATTTGATAAAGAACGTATTTTTGTAAACATGACCTTGGAAATATTTACGAATTGGGCTTCCCATATGATTTCCGCAATTATGATCACTCCCAATTTATGGTGTGGTTTCTTCATCGGTTCATTATTTTGTGTACCAAGTCGAAAGAGCTTTCGCAATACCAGAAACGATATTTCGAATAAAAAGAATAATTTCTTACTTTTGAAAGCGATTATTTCTATTAGACTATTTCTATTTTGAGTATGCCATGACCTACTACATGAGACCACTGGCTGTTTTTTTAAACTGGCGCATCTGTCGTAATTGGGCTTAATTCGTAGGAGTTTAACCGAATTTGAATTATCACAATGAATGCGGTAGAATGTAGATAATTGAAAGTTGAAGATTAATCGAAATCTCAAATCTTATGATGGACAAAATTTGATTCTTCATTATCATGAACTGACGTTCATTCAAGGACATTTTTAATGAATTTCCAAGAAAATCAGTTCAAGAAGTTACCCATATAATTGGGAACGTTATATCAACTTATGTTAAGATATGCAAGATAATGTCTTCAGACGGTAGTCATTATCAATGCCTTTGTTCAGATAAAAGCTTCCCTATGCTTGTGGAGAGATAAAGTATCGCCTCAACAACAGCATCCATTATCGGTTATTCGCGTTAATTACCACTGCCAATGTTATGATAGGTGATGTCTTTAATTTAGTTGAACAAAAGCCGGGCTTTCTCTGCGGGCATGTTGCAAAGACTCTGCCTACGCCGGTATTTATTTCTGTGAACCATGACTCCGTTGTGTCTGTGCGACGAAGTCCAGCGAAGTTTCCTGGAAAATCGTTCAGCACAAAGAAGGCTAAGTTTGTCGTTAATGCGATTCACAGGTTGTGAACCTGAAGAGTTGCAAATCACTTCACTTGGTAATTAACGGATTTACGATGTGTTTCCCGGAAGAGAGAAATTTGAATTCATCATTGCCATGAACAGGTGACTGTGTGATGCTCATCATATCAGCACACATACACATGTTGAGTGCAAGCGATAAATGTACATACGATAAATAAATATCAAATTCTATATTATTCGTATCGATATTTAAATAACAGAATGCCATCAAGAAATATAGGAAAATACTTTATCCTTATTCAAAATCTTTTCGTACGTAGAAAGTGGAACTGGCGACTGACGAAATGGCTCAATTTTTTGATTTTTTGGATGAAATTGTAAGAAATTACAGCTTTCGCACATACCATGACATCCCAACCTTCGACATTGCATGAAAAATACCGAAATAGCGGTGGGATCGTATTTGTAATAGATAATGCGCATATATATATATTATAATCTCAATCCCTCTGTTAGCTTATTGAAAAGGTTGGAAAATGTTATTCACTTATCAAGTATATGGTTTTATTACTACTACTAGTAGACAATCAGGATTGTATTTAAATATAGTACGGAAGAGATCGGAATACGTTTCGAAGTAAACGTAATAAAATACACAGAGAGAAACAGCAATCCTGTCAATAAACAAATCTTACGTTTGAAAAATCCGCGCTTTTGCCTGGGGGAAGTTCGTTCAAGTGTATGGTTGTTTATTTTCCGGAAAAGAAAAATAAATCACAATTCTAGGTCTTCAACAACGAGCAAGCGAGGATCATATGCGAAATATATTTGAAAGTTACAATTCAAATATGGACCTGGTCAAAATCATAGAAATAACAGTTACGACTACAACTAAATTCAATTTATCTTGAAACAGAAATTTCCAAGGATTCAACTCACTTCCATTAAGTATATTGCAACGTTCCAAGATATAGAATAATATAGTTGAACCCTTTTACAAGCTGTTGTCATATGAAGCAGTTCAAGGAATCGCATGGCCAACGAGTTCGAACTGGCAATGGTTAGAAAACTGTTCATACAATGCCAAGTAATTTTTGTATCCAGTACCAACATGTAAACCAGATGCTATGACCAACACGTTCGAAAAAAAAATTAAACGTTAGTTCTCAAATTAATTTTCGACCTAATACCTAAAAAAATTTTCAAAAATGTAATTTTTGATGAAAATTTGACTATATAAAAATCATCAACGAAATATTCCGTACAGCAATAACTTAAAAATTGTTCCACAAAATCTTGCAAAAAGCATTTTATGCTTTCGATTTACGACCACTCATTTTGATGAAATGTAAGCTTTGACGAAGCATGTCATAAATTCCCAATGGATGATAATAAAAATCTAATAAAGAAGGTTAAATTTCCAGGTATTGGCGGTCAACGCCATCGCTAGCAGAAAGGGTAACAAACACACTTTACGATTCTACTCCCTTTGTTTTCTCTGCGCGTAAATCCTAAACTCCTAATTGCCCATTATTATTGCTTCCCAGTAAAATTGGATTCACGTCAGCGAAATCACGTTGATTCTCTCACTTACCTTACGTAAAGTTTTTCTCTCTCATTAACGCCGAACTTGACTCGCACGTTATATCATATACAAGTGCATCGACAACGTTCATGTCATTAACACGTTGCAGTGGTGCACAGCACCTACCATATTGTCAGGTACTGGTATTCAACTATATTCAAAAGAAAAGAGATTTAAACTTAGGAAGTTATACAGTTTCACAGGCTTGCTGTAAATAAATTTAGGTACTCTCAAGTGATTCTAAACGCCGAGAAAAGGAAAACAGCGTTAGATATTGATATAATTAGTTTAAGATGAAGGATGAGTTTTGAATTAGGAACCAATAGAGAAATATGTATGTGCTATAGACAGGTATCTATCTAGCTTATAATTACCAACCTATTTGCTTAAAAAAGGCATTCATCAATGCGAAGCGCATTTGTGTTGAAAAATTTGAATAAGCCATAGTTTATTTCCGTGATATTCAGCTAAATAAAAACTTATTCCTATTCTAAATATCTATAGGTTTTAAAATATTACGAATTGAGAAGGAAGGAAATCGAATTGATAGTATTTGACGTAGTTTTATCAGAACTATTCACAATTACGTGTAGCATGGCATCATTACATATAAATCTACGCGGAATTTCAGAATAAGTATTATTATGCTCTTCCGCGTTCAATAAGTTCAATAATGGGGTCAGATAATGGAAGTTTTAAAACCCAAGGTTCTGTTTGATGTCATTTCAGGATTTTGCAATGTTGTTTCTGATTTAGTCAACATTTTCATCCCTAATATTTTCTCAAGTAAAATTAAAACATGAACCATTAGGAAACGTATCACACTACCGATGCAAATAGGTACCGCTTTGTTAATAATCTACTGGTATGATATATATATAATGTACCGTGGTACTAAGGTACTAAATGTTATCCCCAGGATTCAAAAGCACTCTGAACTTATACGGTTTCGTATGTTCCAATGCAGTTTGGCACAACGCCTGGTTCGCGTCACATGCAGTAACTAAACGTTTGTTCAGAGTACTTCCGAACCGGATTACCAACTTAACGGCTGGGACTCAAATAACACACTTCATATTGAAAAGAGTATTTTGAATTTTATATAATACGCATATAACATAGCAGATGATTTTGGCATTGGAGCTAGACGTTTTTCATAACCAGACTGAGATAGAAAAATGTTCAAAATCAAGATACTTTCAATTACATTAATGAAGTTGTAGATTGATGTGATTGAAAATATTTTTATTTTGTTAACCTTGGTATGTAATTGTGTTTGTAAAGAGGTTTTGATAAATAACGGACTCGAGTTCGTCGAAAATGGGTTTGCATACCAGCTATATGGAACTTCAACAACGCCTATACGCCGAACCTATTGTGTACGCTTCCATATGAGCAAAAACTTTAGATCGATTTTAAAAAAATACTCCTCTTTTTTGTATCGTTTTTATAAAAATACCGTATAAAGTATGATTGTGTTATGACTGAAAAGATAAAATAGCACCTATAAGGTACTTATCATCGTGTTTTGTAAAAGATTCAGCGATTTCCGACAGTCATACTTCTATAGTAAAATTTTTAACTTTTGTTGTTTTCGCGGTCTCGGTCGGCTTGGGAAGTATTGAGCATAAAATTTTGATTTGGTTAGCATAGAAATAATGAAGCGTAATGAAATTGAGAAAATGATTGAAATCTGAAATGAATGTCCGAATATGGACCTAATACGATAAGGAGTGAGTAGTCTTTACAACGCCGGGGATAGTAAAATACGTTTTACTAAGAATTTCATGATCACAGATTCGATTCTTAAGTTAATACCGTGCGTGCACTTGTATCAGCGCGCCGATGCAAATTTAACAGAAATTCAACTTGTTCATAAATCCTCCTGAACGTGTTGTTAATTGATTAAATTGATTAGGCCAGTATTAAACTAAAACAATATCCTTATTTGCTTGCTGGAACCGACCAGCTTGAAGAAATGAGTGTTACATAAATCCCATGAAGCAGGAAATCGCATCTCATACCGCGTGATGTGAAAAGCACGTACCAGACTGTAAGAAGAAACATGGTAACGGTTTGAATGAAAACAAAATAATCAATTTTATACGCAAGTCGATGTTTTGCAAGACTCACGCAAGGCGTTCGGGTGAACGATAGATATAAATCAATTGAATAGAAAACAATGAGCACCCTAATTGCACTGTTGATCTATACAGAATTTTAGTGTAGATATTTTCAACTGAAGTTGACAATTAGTGTACGTTTTGAATTTTCGTTGTTGTGGATTTTCATGATAGTGCAGTTAATGTTCACAGCACTAGCACGAAAAGTTTATTATCTTCAGATTTAAATTGTATGTATTAAAAAATACGGCAGGTGATTTGACCCATGTTTGAAATAATTACGATATTCCTTTCATAAAGTTGTACTGCAGCTGATTTTACGAGGGGAGCAAATGAATATGTGAGTGATGTGACGTCTAAAGTTTCTCTTTGAATTTCCAGGATTTAGCTATAAGAAATGTGTTAAATTCTTGTTTGTCAGCACACAACCAGTATTTCAGACATGAATTCTTTCCGTGCATTCAAATTGAAGTTGCCGAAAAAAACTGACGAGGAAACCACAAAGAATTGGAACAGTGAGTCCTCAGGTCAGGTTACAATAACAAGCGACACGAAGTATTTCCATGCGGGAGAAGATCGATATAAAAACTTTGCGAGTCCCAATGTTTCCATTCCAGATTTTTCATCTTATGGGGGCCCCCCGTATTATTCAAAACATGCCGTAGATGAGGACCTTTGTTTTATGCAAAGAAATACAAGCAGTGAAAAGTCGGATGTATCCCAGCCAGGGTTTTCTATGATACAGAGAAGATTCGCTGCACCGCTGTTTACTAGCATGTTTAGTTCTCAAAATCCCGTATCATGCCCGACGTTCGGTATGTATAATCCATTACCGGAAGTCATGAACCGTTCGACGGAAACTACAACAGCTGCAAGTGTTACACCAAAGCATGCCACGCCGACAGTTACACTTTTTGGGGGATGCGCTTCGCCGCCACTCAATGACAGCGATACCAGTTCGAAGTGCTCATCTTCGCCTGGTAGTATTGATTCGGGTTACCAAGCTGGTAGCCTAGATTTACTTGAAGAGTCAATGAATGTGTCTGATACTGACGTCAAGCAAGAAGTAGAAAAAAGAGAAGGCTCATTCGAATGCTCATTTTGCAAACGAACATTCTCCTATCTATGCCATTTGAAAGTGCATGAAAGGGTAAATAACATTATAATTCAACAACCTTTATGTACCGCCACCCCTTATAGTATTCTATACATTATCACATTTGCGCTTATGATAAAAAGCAGTCCATTCGATCTTTGAGCTGCCTAATTGCTTACCCCACTCAGAAATAAATAAATGTCAAACGCCAATAATAACTGAGGCTCATGCTTAAAATTAGAATAGACGAGGACGCTGTGGGTACGCTTTTTTGACACGTATATAATCCCTGTGGACGAACCACCAACAGAAGGCTATGTACCCCTTTTTGCACTAACTTTATTCCCCCACGTGTCTTACGTCATTTGCTGTCAGGTCGTCAAACTTGCGTCAACGTCTAAAACCAATTCATTTTGTGGACTCTAATATTTCAATAAATATTAACTTTTTAAGGTACACACGGGAGAGAAACCATATCTCTGCAAATTTTGTCCTCAGCAGTTTAGCCAGCTTGGATCACTGACAGTACACATGCGAATACACACTGGTGCTAAACCTTACCAGTGCCGAGAATGTTCCAAAAATTTTCGACATGTCAACAGCCTTCGTCGTCACCAAAGACAGGTTGGTGAAAATCGTCACTGTAATTGGAAGTGCCATCCTACGATTCGGCAAAATTGATAAGAAAATAGAATATTCTCAAACTTTTGTTTTTTCCACCGTATCTCCTATACTAAAAATATCGATAAACTTGATATATGACGTGTCTAATCTAATTGGTTTGGTTGTGACAAATAGCCTAATTTTTTTTATGTTATTTTTACCAAGGTTCATAACATGACCGCCACACAGCTTGCACCGGTGTTAGACAAGCGTGTGAAACTTGAACAAATGCAAGAGCAGTATCGAGTCAATGACAGAAGTGTAGAAGACAGCGAATCTAAAAGGAAACGAACAGCAGTTGATGCACGTGCATTATATCACCAACAAATCTTTCAGCCTTACAATCACGGTTATTTTGCTCAGAGAAATATTTTCCCCGGTATAGCACCAGGGATGTTGTGGCCGCAGAAAAGTGTCATTGCTCCCAGTCAAGGCATCGTGTCAAATTTGGATCGTTGTGAATACAACAATAAAGTCATCCAAGACCTGGAAGATACACGGAGATGTAAAAAATTTGGGCAAGATGTGAAATCTGGAATTCAAAATGCTGCAGAAGCTCTTCTTTCATTGTCAGATTCTACTACACCATCACCCAGAAAGAATCTTGCTCCCAAGACATGGAGACCTTTTATGACGGAAGAAGACGAGGAAAAACCTTTGAAAATTGAACGTGGAGAAATTTCCCACACTGATAATAGGAACGGCACTGGTCACGGACAACACAGAAATATGAAATCGATACCAACTTTCCCCCCTCCATATTCAGGAAATGCTTCAAAAAATGAAAGAATAACACATTTGAAGCAGGAGATGACAAAGCTCCCCCGCTTAATTCCGATCTCGGTGGTAAGGAGCGAAAGGGCATTTCTAAAACCACAAGGCTCATATTTTCCTGTTTATAAAAGTCAAGAAGAACAACATATCAGTCCATACATATCGCCGTATTTAGGGCCACCGCCACCGTCCCTTCGCGGGGAACAGCAGCAGCCGAACGAACGCTCTGACAAGAAAGAATCGAATCTGCAGGTGGCTGCCGGCGAGAACCTGGCTAGGTATTGGAATTTCAATGAACATTCGTCAAAAGAAGACGATTCGTCTGATGAAGGATTTTTATCTTCTTGTTCCACCGGGGAAGGTAAAACCCCAAGTTCCAAGTCAGAAGGTTTGGAAGTAATTGCTGAACATGAAGGGAAATCTATTTCCAGAGAAGTTTCAGTTTGATTTGAGTCTTCAAAGTTCACAAAACTGTCAGCTTGTTGTGATAATCAATTACAAGGTGGCACACGAAAAACAGAACCCGTAAATGCCCCATAACTACCCATAATTACTTCCGTGAATATGGAGTAATTATTTGATTTTGTTTACACTTGAACTTCTGTTTGTGTATGATTATAGCCAAAAGTTTCAGGAATTTGGGACGTTTTGCACAAAAGCTATGTTCTCTCTAGATTATGTCAAAATGAGACCGACTTGCACCCGCTGCGCAAAATGGTCAATCACTAGCAAGCACCCCTATATGTGGATTTCCCCGATTTTGGCCGCAATCTTGAGTTCACCAATTGTTTGAGGATTGTTCTGATATATATTGCCCTTTAAATATCCCCACAGATACGAATAAATGAGGTGCTCACTCGACGTCTTGCTGAAACCCCTGTTCATCTCGATCAACCCCTTTACACCCATTTACAAACAATGTCCAGTACTTCTCAGCAACACAACGTAACGATTTCACCACTTGAGCTCTTTCATTTTGTCTTCAAAGCAATACATACCGATTTGCAATGTTAAAAATGGCTACCCATGCCGTGCACTTTACTGAGTGCTGTGCCCCAGTTACATTATTTTTGCTATTGACATGCCCGTACAGCCGAAAGTGCGCTTTAGCGGAAAACCAAGTGGTAAATGACAATTTTGTGGAACGGATGCAAGTCTGTATCCAACATCAAGGAGGTCAATTAGAACTTATTTAGAGAGAACATAACTTTTGTACAAAGCGTTCTATATTTAAACTTCCGGGTATATTCATACACAAATAGTCCAAACGCAAACGAAATGAACTATTTTTTTCATTTTTATGTAAGTAATTAATAAATTTATTGGTTCTGTTTTTTGAGTCACTCTGCACCAACCTCAAATCCCATATAAATCGGCTCAAACAACAAGTGACGCATTTTCTGCCTCCAGCATATGCTTGCCAGTCGCCTCAATGCATATAATAGTCATGTAAGACAAGATGCTTTACCTCAGACACATATCAGAATATACACTTACACATCGCTACCGAGAAGACCTGCATGTTTACTCATTTTTTATGCATTTGTCGTATACACCATAATTTTTATTATTTTTTCTTTAATTTCAATTATTCCAATCAAACATTGTTGCTATATTCCTAATGTTGATTGTGCTGAACATCATTTATTATTTTCCTACCTACCTAATACGGGATACCTGCCGATTATACATTTTTTTTATAGGACACACCATAATCTTAGTGGATATGTTGACCATAAAAGTGGATATTTTTCACACTTAATTTTTTTTTCATAGGACGCACCATAATCTTAGTGGATATGTTAACCATGAAAGTGTATATTTTTTACATTTTTTTTTTCATAGGACAAACCATAATCTTGGTGGATATGTTAACCATAAAAGTGGATATTTTTTACACTTATTTTTTTTTAATTGGACACACCATAATCTTAGTGGATATTTTTGTCATAAAAGTGGATATATTTTCGTGTTTTTTGTTATTAATACTTTCTATTTTCATCAGTTAGTATATATGTGTCTCAGGCGTGTTTTAACACCATGTTGCCTTTGCAAAGTTAATATTTTTTTGTCTTCTATCTACAGTGGATGTTGTGTTTCCGAATTTTTGATGTTCACTCAATAAAAAGTTATGTCACGGAATTTTTGTGGTAGTTGTCAATTCATTAAAACACTAGTAGGCTGTATTAGAACAAACGGAACTCACGTAGTATGTGAACCAAGATGGCAGACACCGGTACGTAGTATGTGTACCAGGTTAGGGCTAGGCCGTAATTTTATTCCAATTTTCCTTATTTTAGTTCTATTACGAGTGCGGGGACTGGCCAAGTGACTCCCGTAGTATTTGTATCTGAAATTATGGCCTAACCCTAACCTGGTACACATACTACGTTCCAGTGTCCGCCATCCTGGTTAACATACTACGGGAGTATCGAACAAACTCAATATAACCAGGCAGTGTTTTTATAACGTTGAAATCTATAAATATGGAAAATAGAAGTTTAGAAACCGGATAGATAACGAATCAAGTTCTTTCTATATCGTAGACCTGTATATTGTGCGGAATGAAATGATAATTTTATTGATTAATATTCTTTTATTCATTAATTTTTTTTAACTTGTTCCACCCCCATCAGATTAGCACTATAACGTCACGTTTTTCGGTGTGATGACGTTTTATTACAGCCCTAAGCTTCTGAGATTAGCTTTTAACTTCAACATATCAAACCAATATACCTGCGTGAGCAGCACACGTATCCTGGAAATAAAATTTTGTATTTCACGCAAATTCTAAAAAAATCATTTATCATATAAAGCTTTTATGCACTGTGGGAAGGTGCCTGTCAAATAGCTTACTATGGCATATCATGGTCTAAACCCGGCTCATCCGACCAACCAAACAATATGATGGCGCAATAAGAACAGAGTCGAAGGTCCTAAGGCAGCAGCATTTGTTGATACAAATCAATTCCAACGCACGACTTTCTACTGAAGTCAGTTCAACAACTTCAACGTGATGAGTATCTTCTTACTAACAATCAAAATAGAATGTTGTCGACCACGTTATAGATAAGGTGCTGCCATGAACCCCGATATAAAATAACCGATTTAATCCCCAAGGACCAACACGCGATTAATCGTGCGCAATCGAGATTCCACTTGCGGTTATGGATTCATATAACTGAGAGCATCATTGCGTCAAAAACTAAGCAAGTAGTATGAAATGGTAGAAATTTTATAGGATAATCAATTCATGGAATTTTGCAAATAGGATCTAGCAGCATTGTTAGTTTAGGACTAGGCTAAGTTCAAGTTTACGACAGAAGCTGAAAAGTCCTATATAATAAAGCGAATTGATAAGAAATTTCGTCACTCAACTTTAGTAACGTAGGTTACGTTCCAAATTATGATACATGCATCTGGTATGTTGGAAAAACTCACCTGTAAGAAGGAAATTATCTGCACTGAGTACTCGAGTCAAGGTAATTCATATCTGCAATACCTTCCAACTAGTTTAAGCATGTTCACCAAATGCGAATTTTTGTAACTTTGGGATTGAAAAGTGGTGCCATGGTGATACTTACTCATGTAAGATTGGAAATGAACAAATTTTAGGCGCCTCAGAAGGAATATATAAAAAAAATAAAATAATAGCATTCTGGCGATTGTTTTCACTTTTAAAAGCAAAATATTGGTCAATCAATTGGTCCATTAGTTGCGATAAGAGCTAATTTTGTGCAACGACAATTTTGTAAAACAATTCATAGGTACGCTACGTGTCTAATAAAATATATAGTTGTATATATATATGAATATCAACTAAATGAAGATATCACTTTATTTGCAGAACAAACGTTTTTATCAAGAATTTGCCAGTTTAGTTATGTATCATTACTCTCATCTTGGAATATGGTATGTTTTAAAACTGTCTATACTTGCGAAGAACTTTCTTCGTCTAGAAGACGGTGCTTGGTTTGCTAAGGTATGTTTTAATGAATGTTTAGGTCTTGAACTTGATGAACGTGAAATTCATGTTTTACAACACGATAGGCATTTGTGGCAAATTCAGGATGTTATATTATCTACTATTATAATATATACTGTATATAGCTAAACATTTTCGAAACGACACACATATATATATAAAAAAAAAAGGATTGTCAAGCTTTGCTGTCGTAATGTACAATTTTCTGTCTTTTGTCGTGGATTTCTGTAGCACGAAGGTATCCATAATTTTTTTTAAATATCACTCAGAAAGCGTAAATCATGTTCGTTACTATACCAGTCTCCCGATATGCTTATTTATAAAACTGTGCAAATATCTTTTAGGTTCATTGGAAAAGACAACCAGAAATATACGATATCATATACTATGTTGCATTGTGCGAAAAAGACATACAAGCCATCATTATTCAAAGGTATTCAAAAATTTAAAAGTCTGAGACATCATTGATAGTAGCTTATTTTTCATACAGATAACCCTATACCAATATGGGGAATATGACTCTTTGTTTAGCAATGCCATCTTCAAGATTAATATTAGCCCAAATTATGTTTCTTCTATTACTACGCTCCAGCAACCCTATTGGTGTTGTAGAAAGAATAACGGTGAAAAAAAAAGTGTAAAAATATTAAATTTCTTCGGCATTTGCATAAATATGAGGCTTCTGTATATATACGTATTTTTGCAATCTGTCATCTTCAATTATTCAACGCGATCAAGCATATTCTTGTGTCTAGAATCGCATAGGTTTCAGCGTTTACAAACATTTTTATGTTAGAAAACAAAATTCGTAATACTAGTCCATCGGGATAAAGTAGAACTTCATATATATTATCAACAAGATGGCCCAAAAATCACGTGGCGAATGCTCTGTCGCCTGTCACTAATTCATGTCAGGTATAAAATAAATTTGTTGTATATTATATGATGTGATACCGCTAGGTGACGCTATTGACCCAGACTGATTTGACCTTGTATATCGAGGCTGTCATTCTTGTCATTCTGTGCACGTGTTAAGTGCTGACTTGCTGTTTAGTCTGTTACTGCTATGGTGTCTTTATGTTGAAGTGCTCGACTCTTATAATAAAGTAGTGTTGTAATGGAAACTTGGTGCTTGTTTATAAAGATCTAAAGGCAGAATACACAACAATTTGGCGACGAGGATGGGATTAGTCTGCTGCCATATAACGTTAACTGTTACAATGGGATCGGTCTGCTGCATGCCGGTGTCACAGTAAGTGTTTCAAATCAACGTTATTACAACTTACAAGTACCTGAAAAGAAGAGTCTGCAATATAAGCAGCTGAAATTGTCTTTATAGACTGAAATTTATGAGCCTGAAATTCCATAGCTGAAAAATTACTATACCTGAAATGACTACTTTTGGAAAAATAGAAGAGTATAGTAATGGCCAAGATTGGTCTGAATATGTTGAACGCCTAGGACATTATTTTGAAGCAAACGAGATTGAAAGTGCTGATAAAAAGAAAGCCATATTATTAAGCGTTTGCGGGGCTCAAACATACAGTTTGATCAGAAACTTATGTGCTCCTGAAAAGCCTGGTGAAAAAACTTATGTCCAGCTGAAAGAACTTGTGAACAAGCATCTCAACCCCAAACCCTTGGTGATAGCAGAAAGAGTCAAACTTCATGAAAGAATCCAACATGATGGAGAAAATGTGAATGAATTCCTGGCACAGCTCAGGAAGCTATCTGAACATTGTCAATTCGGTGAGTTCTTAAATGATTCACTAAGAGATAGATTTGTGAGTGGACTAAGATCAACTCGAATGAAACGTAAATTATTAACTGAAGTTGACCTAACTCTGCAGAATGCTGTGAAAATTGCTACTGGTATGGAATTGGCAGAAAAACAAGCCAATGAATTAAGTTGCAAATTTGAAAAATTGCCAGTAGATGAAAATAAACCAAAAGTTCATAAAGTTCAAAATAATCAAAGATTTGCAACGCGTTCTGAAATTCGAAAATTCAAAGAATGTTTTCGATGTGGGAAAAGTAATCATCCTGCTGAAAGCTGTTTCTACAGAAATGCAAAGTGCCATAAATGTAAACGAATTGGGCATATAAGTCGAAAATGCTCAATGCAACGTAACTTCAATCGAGGTTCCAATCCTCTGAAAAGTAAAAAGTCTTCAAATTGTGACTACATGCAACCTACGAATGATGATAACCTGTCTTCGGACTGTTCTCAAAATGAAATGTGTCCTGTATTTACTACTAAGTCTAGTTCTTATGGTCCAATAGTAGTTCCACTGAGAATCGAAAATTGTGATGGTAAATTTGAATTAGATACTGGTAGTGGGGTGTCACTCATTTCTGAAAGCATGTATGAAAAGAATTTTAAACATTTGCCTTTGCTGAAATCTAATGTTGTATTGACAACTTATACTGGTGTAAATTTACCTTTGCAAATTGTTCGTGGCAATGGTCCATTACTATTGGGTAGAAATTGGTTATCCCAATTGCAATTGAATTGGCATCGTATTTGTCATATTGGTTCCAAGCTCACGCTTGAGAACATTTTGAAAAAGTACCCTGTTTTTGATAATTCCCTTGGTACTATAAAAGGTATAACTGCTAAACTAAGGGTGAAAGAAAGTGCCATTCCGAAATTCTACAAGCCACGTCCTGTTCCTTTTGCTCTTCGTGATAAAATTTCGGATGAGCTGAAAAGACTAGTAAATATGGGGGTCCTGAAAAAAGTTGAAAGTTCTGATTGGGCTTCACCCATTGTTCCAGTATTGAAAGCTGATGGTTCAGTAAGAATTTGTGGGGATTTTAAAGTAACTATAAATCCTGAATTAGATGTCCCTGAATATCCCTTGCCTAGACCTGAGGACCTATTTAGTAAATTGAATGGGGGACAGAAATTTTCAAAGCTTGATTTATCAGAAGCTTATCAACAAGTTTTACTTGATGACGAATCTCAAAAATATGTCACTATTAATACTCATATGGGGTTATTTAGATATTTAAGGTTACCATATGGGGCAGCTTCTAGTCCTAGTATTTTCCAAGAAACTATGGAGAAAATTCTCCAGGGATTGCCAAATGTGGGTTGTATTTTGGATGATTTGATTGTCACTGAAAAAGATGATGATAGTCATTTGCAATTTCTTGATAAACTTCTATATAGATTGAATTCATTTGGTGTAAAATTGAAACGTTCTAAATGTTGTTTTTTGCAACCATCTGTTGAGTATTTTGCTTTTATTGTTAATGCAGAAGGTATTCACCCTTCTCCGAAAAAGATTGAAGCAATAATGGAAATCCCTAGCCCTGAAAATGTAAAAGAATTGCAATCTTTTCTTGGTATTGTAAATTATTATCGTAAATTTATTCCTGCAATGTCTACCCTTGTTGATCCTTTTAATAAGTTACTGAAAAAGGGTATGAAATGGAATTGGAATAGTGACTGTAAAAAAGCTTTTGTGAAACTGAAAGATATATTGGTGTCATCTGAAGTGCTAGTACACTATGACCCTGAAAAACCATTAGTACTTGCCACTGATGCTTCATCTGTAGGTATTGGTGCTGTAATTTCTCATATACTGCCAAATGGTGCTGAAAAACCTATTGCATATGCTTCTCGTACTTTAACAAGTGCTGAAAAAATTATTCCCAAATCGAGAAGGAGGCACTAGCAATTGTATATGGTGTAAGAAAATTTCATGTGTATTTATATGGTCGAAATTTTAAATTGTTGACTGATCACCAACCTTTAACTATGCTATTGAGTCCAAAACGTGGTATACCTGTTTTAACTGCAACCAGATTGCAAAGGTGGGCTATAAAACTGTCTGCATATAAATATGAAATATGTTATCGAAACACGAAAAATAATGGGAATGCAGATGCATTATCCCGATTGCCCATGAAAACAGATCAGTCTGAAATACGCGATTGTTGGGAAGAAGAGGCAACGATTATGAACATAAACCAAGTTCATACGCTTCCCATAACTCCTGCAAAGCTCCGCCATGCAACTGAAAATGATCCAAAGCTCTCACGAGTGTTGCTGTATACTATAAATGGTTGGCCTGCAAAGGAGGAAATTACAAATGAATTGTTGCCATTCCACAGGAGGAAAGATGAAATTACTGTGGAAGAAGGAATATTGCTGTGGGGAATAAGAGTTATTATTCCTGAAAAGTATATTGCAGAAGTACTAGATGAACTGCATGAAAATCATCCTGGTATGGTTCGGATGAAATCATTAGCCAGATTGCATGTTTGGTTTCCGAATATTGATGAAAGAATTGAACAGAAAGTGAGAGATTGTTCAAATTGTCAGGAAGTAAGAAGTCCTGCGAAATAAACGCCTGGAAATCCATGGATATGGCCTACGAAGCCATGGCAAAGAATTCATATTGACTATGCTGGTCCAATAATGAATGAAAACTTTCTGGTGGTGGTCGATGCTCATTCTAAATGGCCTGAAGTGTTGAGAATGCCTTCAACTACTTCTGAAAAGACTGTTGATGCATTGAGATATTTATTTTCGAAATATGGACTACCTGAAATATTGGTAAGCGACAATGCTCCTAACCTGTCATCGAAAGAGTTCAGAGATGTTATGATACGAAATGGAATTAAGCAAATCTTCTCAAGTCCGTATCATCCGTCCTCTAATGGTGAGGCTGAAAGAAATGTGCGTACCTTCAAAACTGCACTGAAAACTTTAAAGAAATTACCTGGAACACTGAATCAGAAGTTGGCATCGTTCTTGTTAACTTATCGAACAACGCCACATTCTACAACGAAATGTACTCCAGCTGAATTATTCATGAAAAGAAGACTGAGAACAAGATTAGATTTAATGAAACCTAATTTGAGTAATTCGATGCAGAAAAGAACAACTCCAGTGCAAAAGCCTATTAGAAATCTGGAAGTTGGAAATCGTGTTCAAGTTCGTGATTATAGAGATCCAAACCGAAAATGGATTCATGGAATAATCGTAAAGAAGTTGAGTCCTGTAACCTATCGTGTAAAAGTTGGTTCAATGATCTGGAAAAGACATATTGATCAAATATTGGACATGTCTAAAGTGAAATTAGAGAAATCATATGATAGTAGTTTGGATGATGACGTTTCATTGCCTTCTGTGTTTCCAAATACTGATGTAATTGATCCTAATGTTGATATCCCTAGTACTAATGAAAATTTACCTGTTAATCCTAATGTTAGTACTGAAAGTGAAACCCAGTGCCCTGATGAAACATCTGTTGAAATTTCACGTTATCCAAAACGTCTTAGGGTTAAGCCTGAGCGGTTGATTGAAACAATGTAAATGAAATGTAGTGACATTCTCATTTTTTTGAAGGGGGGAAAAAGTGTTGTATATTATATGATGTGATACCGCTAGGTGACGCTATTGACCCAGACTGATTTGACCTTGTTATCTGTCATCTTGTCATCTGTGCACTGTTAAGTGCTGACTTGCTGTTTAGTCTGTTACTGCTATGGTGTCTTTATGTTGAAGTGCTCGACTCTTATAATAAAGTAGTGTTGTAATGGAAACTTGGTGCTTGTTTATAAAGATCTAAAGGCAGAATACACAACAAAATTACTGAGGTTATTATTTAGTGAATTTTAACAGAGGAATCCAAAAGTTTCTTGACCGCAGAAGACAATTGAGAAAAATACGACAAAAAGCAAAAATAATTCAAAGATGGTGGAGGCGAATTCTTCAATGTAGACAATGTTGGGTGAAGATAAAGAAGGTGAGTCTCACAACCGTCTTGCAGTCATGATCCAGTTATCTGCCCAATCGTTAGAAATTCTTGTGACGCGCTTAGGGGGTTTTCATAAACATACAAATTCAAAATGAATTCATTTTTTTTATTGTAGCAAGTATTCCATTGGGGATTCAATACTAAAAAAATTTGCATTATGTTTTACAGGAACTGGAAGATAGTAACAGAGGTAGAACCGATCCACAAGCAATTATTTTGAGTGCAAATGTTCAGACTCAGACTGATGAGGAAGAAAGCGTTGAAAAGATCAATTCAACGAGACTACAGGTCGGTCTTATATTCATAAAGAATCGACGTAAAAGAGGTTAAATTATGTTATTCAACTTCCTATATTGAGTATGAGTCATGAGTTGTATAATATTGCTTCTGTGTTGTAAAGTTAACACAATCGCATTCAATTATTCTAAACAACTGGTAGATTGATAATACAAATTTTACAAACTGATACAAAACGTGATTGCATCGACTGGAAGTATTGGATCGTGGAAATAGTTTTCCAAATGACTTAGATGTTTTGCTGCGTATTTAAGTGGGTAAAAGATATTACAATCAACAGTAAACATTCACCAACAAATCATGCTTCGCTGCAGTTGTACTTTACTTCTACCGCTCTTATTTTACGTAGTCAACAAACGTTTTTGTTATACGTGCCGCCTAACATATGATAGGATTTACAGAAAAGCCGATTCCATCGTATGGCGAACCACGGACTCTCGTCTGATTACCAGTCCATGCCGTGTATGAGATTAGTTAGGAAGGTATTTGTTTCAGATGCATTGACTTGATGGCGGAGGAAGTCGTAACTGACCAGCGGTTACGTAAACCACCCTACGCGCGAGGAGTCCAGCAATCCTCTCAGACAACTCCGGGGGATTCGAACCCACATAGGGTAATTAGAGGTGCGGTGATGAGCGTATGTATTCCTAACGCTCAGAACGATGCGCCACACATTCAGACTCTATTCAGGCACATTTTATGCCTTTCTTAGTCCTATTAGATGGCGATCACTTTTGGGCACACAAAAATTTTCAGCAAATACATTCCTTTGCCAACTAAAGCTCTTTCTGCGATTTCAGTTAACGACCGTCAAGGCCACACTGAAAACGATCCACGATGGTTTAATCTACATGATAAATTCTATAGAATCGCGTGAAGATAATAGAAACTCGATGACGGTTGCCTACGACGATATCCTGCCGATAGCCTTGGCTCTACAGGAAGCAGTGACATCTTTGGAGAACTCCGGAGATGGAGATGACATGCCAGTGCATCACATTGAGAAGTCATCATCTTAACAAGAGTCGCTTCCTGCTTGCAAGGTAAAGAAACTACAAGTACAACAAAATTTCCAAAGAACTGTCCGCTTTGACAACTAGTATAGAGCTTGAAAATAGCAGAATAAAACACACAAGAGAATTCCCTGACATCTCCATTATTTCTTTTTTCCCAAAATGTATACATGTAAAGTACAGAACAAGTTGTAAGAAAATTTTAATAACACACAGAATATACCAATTTCATGTTGAAATTATTTCCAATTCAAGGTGTTGTGGCAACACAGCACACAAACAGGATTGAAGTAAGAATCTCTCATCAAATAATGAAATAAAAAATTGCAAGACATAAAAACATAAAAGTGCAAGTAATATTTAAAAACACAAATACCACCTGCAGACGAGTTCTCATTGTGACGAAGGAAGATCAAGTTTCAGTTTCCCAAAACGTGGTTTGATGTGTATTGCAGCACCTGGCAAAAAAATAATAAATCATGTAATAAATCTCACATTTAAAAAGAGCATACCATTGAACCCATCAAAACTTTTTAACTTCAAAATGGATGGCAACTACCCAAAACAATAGATGTGTCTGGAACACACTACTGCCACACCATCTGATTGCAGTTTAGAACAGGGGTGCGCAATTTTTAACACAGAAGGGCCAGATACAAGTAACTGGGTGAAACGGCGGGCCGCACCTGCATTAACATAGGCTTTCCAGTAGTTGCACACAAAAAAATTTGGTTAGTGAACTTATGACACGCATCGCTCACTTCGCACAAACCAGCTTCGGGCATTGTAACGGCATATGCATAAATTGGACTCAGGTATTGGCTTGGCAACGCGAAGGGATTACTCGCACGTTCCAGAGCAAACTAAAGTGAAAACTCGTTTCACGGGTCGCACACCATTCAAAATTGGCACTTCTCCGTGGGCCGCACAATTTTGCTTTACGGGCCGCAGGTTGCACAGTGCACACCCCTGGTAGATATCATGATTTCCCACCATATTATCAAGCCATTTTGTCAAATTTATCTTATCCCCTATAAGTTAATGGAAATATTATTCTAAATCAAAATGGAGGCTAAAACATAAGAATCCAATCAAGATCAAGCTTTAAAAATTCTAAACAATATTTTAATGAAATGGCCAGGTATGAGCCTGTTTAAATCTAAATTTCAAAAAATAAAAATGTCCTCACTTTTGAATGGTTTGTTAATAGGCTGAGGTGAATCGACATTCAAACTGAGAAAATCAGGGCAAGATGAGGTTTGAGCAGACACAAATTCATTCGAGGATCTAGAGAAATCAAGATTTTTTTTGAATGAATCTATTCAGATAAAATAGGATGAATACTGCAGCACTTGATTGACAAAAGAAAACTAAAACATTTGTTTTACATCTTGTATGTTTAATCACATGTAACTAAAGAAATGGCTATTTAATATCCAAAAATGGCTTGCTGTGAAAAAAGCATTAAATAAATATAAAATGATACCAAAAATATTGGAGCCATTATTGAAGCCAGTTGAAAATAGACAGACAACTGCTATGAAATTTTCACAATCACAATTTTCAAATATCAAAAAATAACAATTACACCCGAACCAATAGTAGGAACAATTTTCAGTTCTTTTTCATTCTAATCATAGGCCTACTTATTATCATATCCCAATTGTAATATAGAAGAAGGTCCTGGTTCGTCACTTTTACTTGGTTTTTCTTTCACAGTGCTTGGCTTCACACTTGATAAAAAGAAAATCGAATTGATATATTTATTAGTGTTAGTTCACACATTTATTTGGATAAACATTCAATTTATTCCCATAGATTCAATCAAAACCATCTATTAGATCAGGGGTTCCTTCATTGCAAAATTATTATTTTTTAACAACAATTAGATTCTAGTTGACAACTTGACACATACTTTTCTGAACACAGGGGGAAATAATAAATCGATGGTTTTGTCGTTCGTAGACATAAAAACTGTGGAAAAATGGATTTTACCTATGTTTATGAATCTTTAAGTGTTGTAACTGACATGATTTTCCTCTGGAACAGCTTGCTGATTCATAAAACTCGGGACAGCATTTGATGTGCTGCATCTTACACTAATAAACCATATTGAAAGAAGAACAATGATATTACCTCACAATAAGTCAAATTTTTACATGACATGCATTTGTAGTAGTGACATCTGAATACTATTGATTTTATATATTCTATAAAAATATCAAATATCACCAAACTGTAGATACCAAACATAAGCAATATTTAATCTTCGATTCAGCTAAATTTCCTTCACTGTTCCACAAATAAACGATTTAGTTTTAATCCCACTAACACTACATGTGACACTGACGGACGATTTTTGCTCCCAAGAACATAAAAACTTTGAGAAATGCAAGGCACAATTGTTTACAGATGGTCAACTACCTCAACTGAAGTATGTACTATTAAACAGCCATTTGTAAGATAAGCATCATGCAATTAAATAACTGTGTGATCATTTTACCAAATTGTGAGTTTCTACGCTTTCCTTTTTCGTTTTTATGGAACATACACTCTACACCAGTGATTCTCAAACTAGGGTTTGAGAGCCGCATGCGACTCTCAACAAGCTTTCATGCGGCTCTTGTTAATGCTTTAAAAATTAATTACTTTCAAAAAAAGTTTTCATTGAAAACTAATCATTGACTTTAAATTAAAATGCGGAAGTCTATTAGTTAGTCGAATGGATTCCCCCGTGTTTATTTGCGTAGCGTTGACTAATATACAAGATGCAATAGGACGCAACAGTAAGCTTTTTCGCGGCCACGTTGACTTGCTCTCGTGGATTTTCAGTTTTTGTCGCATTTCCGAATATTATGTATAAATCAAATAACTCAATGATTATTTTAATTGCTAGAGCATTCTAATTTTGTTCCAGTAATCGAAAATGGTCCCGAAATATCTGGCGATCATCTCAAGCAGCTACTGCACCTTGCATCCTCCACGATTACGACCCGCTTTGACAAACTTATTAGAAATCAAAGCCAAATTAAATGGCTGTTAGTCTAGGGTGGGCAAAATCGAATCTTCTTTCGAATCGAATAATTTGAATAATTTTAACTAATACTGAAGAGTCGAATAATGAATATTTTTTATACGTCGGAGTTCGATATTGCATTTGGAAATTAATAGAAACATTAAAAAGTCGGCAATAAAGCGTTTTTACTAGTTAATGGTTAAATTCATCATAATCGCTGATTGTCTTTGTCACCGATATCGTTTCGGTGGCGATATCTTAAAGTTGGTATGCTATATTCTCGTCCTTTCTCGTCAATTTGCAAGAATAAGGGGTTTATTCTGAGCTTTATCCTCTACCTTGGATTTAATTTTCCTTATCACCGCTTGTAAATTAACCGTGCCTGTTTAAAGTAAACGATAATCGAGATGCAGATATTTATTAGAATGATAATTGAATTTCTCATGCTTTTCTATAGTGTTCGTGTTATTTTACTATCAGATATATGAACCTAGCAAATTTACGATTGCGTGAATCCTGAATGTTGATTTAAAATAGTGATTAAATAAATTAGCAAAAGCATTTCTAGGCCTTTGTGTCTAATAGAGGCTCAAATGCTAATTATAACTAATTCCTTCAAGTTTTAACGTTTTTTTTTTCAACAAAACAACACCTCGATGGTTATTATAGCTAAAATACTTCTGAGTAATGCTTATGTCATGATTATGTCATGCCTTAAGCTTAATTATTACTGCCCAAATGCTTCAAAATTTAACAATTGTAATCATTTTCGATTATAATAGACGCAGCAATTCGTGAACGAGTCAGTGTGCATTGTTACAACGAAATTCACGATTGATTTTACGTTCTACTCTTGGCTCAACGGCCATGCATGGTCGAGTAAACTGTTTACATATTCGAAGCATTACCTGGCCAAGAATGGAAGGGATCACTAAAGAGCTAATACAAAGTGCTTTAAAGGGAGTGGGACATGACATTCCTTATCTGGTTACAACCTAATGAGTATAATCATACAAGTAACTCATACCAGATTTTGGAAAAACTTTCGGTCATTTTTAAATTCATGCTATTTTTATAACTAGAGTTTTCTTACGACCTAAAATCGCCCTTTTCACAACGAAACGCCGAAATGTCATTTTAACAACTTAATCAACTTTATGTTCGGTAATGCAAGAAATGGCTAATGACGTGTCACCAAGCATGCGGAGTTTAAAATCTGGGAAATTTATTTTAAATACCTAATCTGGTTTGACGTTTCTAAATTTACAGAACGGTCGGTACGTTTTTTGCAAACAAGCATATAACACCATAACCCAAAGACAACGACTTTTCAAAATTGTCTTTTTTTTCTGATAGCGAGCGCCGTTTGGAAATTTCGAGTTGGAGACACGAGGGTTCGCTGTCCAAGCAGAGCGGCGTAGGTCACGTGGTAGCGGATATTCGAATAGTAAAATGCCAGCCCTAGTTGTTACGTGTGTTGTTGTTACGATGACTTAGTACTTTAAATACGCGCTTAATGGTTTGCTGCTATTTTACCATGCGTTGTTTGTGTGCGGCTCTTCATAACTTTGAGGTTTGAAATGCGGCTCTGGGACAAAAAAAGTTTGAGAACCACTGCTCTACACATTTGTGTATTATCATATGTAATATTAAGAAACCTTGTCTAAAAAATCTATTCATTTACAAGTACAATGAAATTTAATACCTTGTCAGCATCTTGACAGAATCCAGTGGTGGCGAATCTCCTGCAAACTGGAGCTTCTTTACCAAGATAAACATGAAGATACGGGCAATTAACTACTGAACATTTTCCTCTCAAAAAGAACAAGCAAACAGGAATCTATAAAACAACAATTTTAATATTAGTTAATTAAAAAAACAATATAAAGTTATCTTAAAAATGTAAAACCAACCAGTTTTTATTTCAATAAAGACAGTAAAAAGTAAGACTTAAATTATCACTGACACAATTCTTAATGCCAACTTGAAAGTATTTCAGCACTATGGATAAAGTCTACAAATATTAAACCCCTGGGACTGGAAACCCAATGACAAATTGCTGTAGGATCCCGATACATGATTTGGATAGTAAAGAAAGCCGCAACTCCCCAACAGTTTCGTTAACCTACTGAGCGCTCCAGATGATGTTGAGGATTCTAACAACTCACAAGAAATATATTTTATTTCAAAAAAGTAAAAGGTACAGCCATAAACTGACTAGGGAGAAACACAAAAGTAATGCAAAACAATTCTGGTGAAAACGCATTGTTCAAGGTTACGTAAAAAATATACCTTCTCCTTTTGAACTTTGTGTGAAAACGAGCATTTGTCATTGCGACAAGTTCCTCTGAGAAATCTTGTACAAACGACAACTCTGGATGGATCATGGATGAAATTGCATCTGTCACCTCTCATGCATTTGCCAAATCTGGTATGGGTCAAAAAAATGAAACAAAATCTGTATATGTTCAATTGGTAAATTATATTTTATCCTCTTCATAGACACTCCATTCGCTAACAGTGGATAGATAAAACTGAAACACCATTGGAGATATATTTTCATTGCCTTAATGAACTATACACGAATTTAATCACATATCATTCAAATTGGACTGAATATATTTAAATAAAATGACTTAACTTGAATGCATAAAAACTGAGTGGGCAAAAAAGCTGGTTAGTCAACTCTATCAAAACTACTATCAAAAAAATCCAGTAAGCAAATATTTACAAGGTAAATTCTTGCTAAAGCCCATGGAAATACAAAAAATGTTTTTGATTAGCAAATATATGATAATATTGTACAGTTTTGTTCTGCCATTAGACTCCTGTCAAGCTGCAATGTTCATGCTAGTACTTCATCAGCTCTCCAGTTTTTTTTTTAAATGCATACAGCCAAACTCTATAAAATATAATACAGTATTTACTAACCTTCCAAAGTACAAGCAATGTTGTTTTTTCCTTTCTTTGTTGAACCTTGCTGTTTTGTGGCTCCTGACAACAGCACGACTGGACAGAAGATTAAAATAAATAGTTATTGAAGAAGAACAATGACAGTTATGACACAATTCAAAAATTAGTAGTATCAAGATTGGGACAAAGTAAACAGGCTTGAAATTAACAAAGATTGTCTGTGTCTATACCATTACTAAAGTTTCTGATATCATGGCATATAATAATGCTTTCAATGGCCAGTATTGGGACTATGATCTCCACTCAAATAAATGTTCTAAGTCCTGATTTGACTGATAAATAATATCCACATCACATCAATATGGAAGTAGTTCAGAAAATTTAACAAAGCAAGCAAAATCAACAAAACAAGCCAATTTTACAAAAAAAATCATACTTACTTTGCCAAAACTTGTTTCAATGTTACAGAGTGCTTTTTCAAAAGACCTGAAAATTAAGTTATAATTGAACTTTTCATATCCATACTGGTGCTTATAATTTAAAACAAATACTTGCATTAAATGGAAGATGGAATCCTTACAAAAAAATGATATAAAACTACTGGAAAAGAAAAAATATGTAAGTAGTAAAAGTGCCGCCACCTTCGAGAGCTGCTTTGCTCAATGTAATATGACTTGACAGTTCCTTCGGTTTATGACCATGATCCAATACTCTTGTATGATTTCTGCAATAAAAGATCAAAGATGTGAAAAATATTGTAAGGTATGAGATATATCAGTTTGAATGATCGAGCCATTGTCAAATTATTGTTTCATGAAAATTAAATTAATTTAAGAAATTTCGACAAGAAAATCACATCACAAGCATTGAAGAAATAGCAATGTAGCTCATAATAACAAGTGGCAATTTTGTCAAGATAGCTCAGTTGTACATACATCATTTTTCTTACTAACAGACATATTATTATGGGTTATAACAATTGGGTGTTTTAGTCTCAATTTGAAATAACTCTAAGCAGAAAGAAGCAAGTAACATATCAATAGAATATACAAACCTTAATTTGGAGGTATTTTTGGATAACTTCAGAGTATTTGACTTTCTATGGTTAATGTAATGTTGAGATGAGGCTACTCTGTTCAACTTATACGGATTGGATTGCACTCGCTTGGCAGTCCATTTTGAGGTAGAGTGAGGCACTTTAAAATATGTCGAACTTCGTCTGAACAAAAATAATATTAACATATCTTGGGATATATGCTGATACAAGGTATCAAACTAATCATACTCTAACTATGATGAATTATCTAAATATATTCAAAAAATAACAAAGTTGAATATATTTATCAAGAATAACCTACTTTCAAGTCAATAACACTATGTTAATAGAATGTATAAACATGTCAATGCACTCTTTGAATATCTACTGTATACAGTGATGAGCTGGATAAATTGTAACAACCGGAATGCAGATTATTCATAAAAATGTATTATATTTATGACACGTCCGCAAATGCCACAAGGTGTTGCCCTGTTCTTATTTTGATCAGTGTTTTCATATCTTGAATCGATTAAAGATATTACAGCACGATTTGTATGGTGTGCGTTTATTTTGTTGTGTGTTTCGACTGTTTTTGGTGGATAGCCAAGGGCTACATTAAAATATGAAGAAACTACCTGAAATAATATATCTGTGTAAAATGACAAGCGTATTTATAGCAATATGCTTTTATCAAGTCAAAAATAACTTGCAATGTGAGAAATAGCAGTACTAATAGGTAATAGCAATAGCAGTCTGCTGCAATGTAAAAATATTTATGGCGAACAAATGTACAGTTAAAAACCAAGTTCACCAGATAAACTAAACTAGCCTGACATAATAGGAATGCTGTTTCTGCTACAGCTCACCACTGACTGTATATAAATAAACTGACTAGGTGATCTTAAAAACATACGCCAAACAGCACATGGTTTCATCAAATTATGATCCGTAGCCAATCAATTTGTCTTTATCAAATATTTTTAGGGATCACACAGATGTGCCAATGTCTCATGAGAGATAATGGTCTATGAATTCTTATGTTTTTACAAAATATAGATTCATAATCTTTTACCTCTTTGGTGACCATTTATGATGAGATTGTTGGGATGGTATTCTTGATAACACATTTCTTTGTTTGTTCAATGCGCCTTTCCCTGATGTCATAGGTTGTTGCCTAATATTTGAATTATTAATAGGAGATCTCACTCCCACTTCAATTTTTTGAGAGTTTTGAATCGACACCTTTTTTTCACTAGCTTTTTTTCTTAGGTTGGTTTTGGCAGTTGGAATAAATTTTTTCATTGGTATATTCAGATGTGCAATTTGAGAAGCTGATTTGGCAACAGCAAAGTCTGCAGTTTTCACAGTTGAATCTTGCAATGACATGGTGCCTGATGTAGATTGACTGACAGATCCTGTTCCTTTTGACCATTTGAATTTTGACTGAAATTTCACACCAGTCTTATTGGCCATCATATCAGGTGTTGGTGGTACTTTTGCATACGGTTTTTTCTTCGGGACATAACTTGCATGAGATTGATGATGCTGAAAGAGTTTGTTAAAAAAGATGATCTCATGCAACTTCAATGAATTATTTGGTTATTGTTGAAAACAATGTTGAACATAATCATAAATCACACAAAAATATATGCTACTATGCTCAAACTGCCATGACTAGTTGAGCAAAGAATCCGTTAAAACTACACCCCGTGTGCTGAACCACCTACATTCGTTTCCGCCTAATAGCTGGAACTCCCGTAGTATGTGTACCAGGTTAGGGTTAGGCCCTAATTTTATTCCGATTTCCTTATTTAGTTTTATAACGAGTTCGGGGACTGTCCGTATCAGCCTAGTGAATATACCCCCTGCCCATAGGCTTCCATCCCTTTACACAACTCGATGTAAAGTTGGCGAATAAAATTGGTTACCTCCATATTGGTATACATACTTCTGGAGCGCCTAAGCCACCGAATCCACAACATCTAATAGTAGTAACATAATGATCTTGGATAAATTCATATAAAATTCATATGCAATTTATATTCGATGTTGAGAATCCACTACAACAATTGACCATAATAAAATCTGTATATAATAATTATTATAATAATTCTCACCGGTGCTAACTCTAAGCGAATTATTAGTGCGAAAGTGCTTCGCAGTCGAAAAAAAAAGTGCGAAAGTGCTTTTGCCGATTTTAACAAGTTAGGTTCCCTAGCCTTTCATATAACCCATTTAAAACGGCATAGATACTCGAAAAAGCGCTCCTCCGGTTAATATTATGAATCAAAGAGAAGCCTTTCCGTTAACCGAGTTCCCTTTAAGCGAATTCACGTTTAATTAAAACAAGCGAATTCATCGGCAACGTCAGGACATCTGCTAACACCGGTCGGGGACAAAACTTTCATGCAATGTATCACATTGTCAGTTGCTTACTCGCGTGAACAGCAAAGGCTTTCACATTTGTTACTCCTTCCATCTAACAGACAACGATTGATACATGCAGGCTGGAAACCATATTAGTTACAGGGTGGATCATTTGTAATTAGGGTTAGGTGCGCTGGAAATTCAACTTTTCGATGTATCCCTACACCTAATCTGATAATTATTAATTTGTGATTTTGAACCACTTTGAAAGTCGCCACCCGCTGTTTTAAAAGATAGGTTAACCTACGTTCCCTCCGAAATATTACGCAGGATACTCCCCTGTTTTAGGAGATAGGTTGACCTACTTTCCTTTCAAACTTTTTCTTCGAAATATTACAACAAGATCACTTTGAAAATCCTCCCGTTTCGTGAGCTAGGGTGACCTAATTTCTCATTTACATTTATATTATACTATTTCAGAGCTTACCCCAAGACAAGTAATTTTTAAATGTCGACATGCCTTGGTTTGCGTGCGAGTTAGTTTAAATCGGGCAGAAAACATCATATATTGGCAAAATGTTTAGTAATGCCATGTACTTTCAGCATTCATAAATAGCACTCTTTGTAATGCTGCTGACCTAGTATCAAATATTCGCATCACAACGCCACTTGCGAGGTTTCCATATATTTCAATTACACTAATAGGAACGATGACACCAAAGAGTTTTCTTTTGCGAAGGTACACGAAATATAACGAGGGTGATTCTTGAAAAAAACATGAATATAAAAAATAAACGAATGATATGATAGTGGATCCCAAATAATTTTGAGAGTGTCTCGGAATACCAATCCATTTGATAAATAATTTTTATTCGACCACATGAACGCAGATATCTTGAAAATTAATGTTGAAAGAGGAGTACGCATTCTCAGATATCAGACATCGAGTCGCAATATTCAATCGTTCATATGCACAAATCTCACATTAATAGTAATTGCTACCCAAGTTTAGAAGCCAACAAACAGAAAATAACTTATCCTAAAACACAATTAAAATTCAGTCGGCAATAAATTGCGCCAACACGATGCCATACAAAACAAGAAAGATTTGGTCGTGAGAGTTATGTTAGATGACTGCAAAACAACGTTGTTTTTTAAGCAGGATATAAAACAATCACATTAAAAAAACGGGAGTTACGACGCCCTTAACACATCGTGTGTATTAAACTTCCCTGGTAAGTACTTTGGTAAGTACAATTTCGATTTTAAAATAAATGAAAACCCGACATATAATAAAGACGCAAAAGTAAAATGAACATTTATTGAAAAAGTTATTATTTAATAAGAAAGACAACGTGATCGTACAATTCCGCCAAAACCTCGATGTTCGCAAGTGAGATGATAAATAAATACTTCCCTGTATTCGATCAATTAACTTTAGCGTCTCGTTGTTCTGCCAACAAACAGCCGGGTGCAAAATATTTCCGTCCTGTGATATGCTCACAAATATTCTCGATATTAATATCATACCCTCGTGTATGTACTTTCTATTAGCTCTTTAGTGATCCCTTCCATCCTTGGCCAAGTCATGTTTCGAATATGTGAACATTTTATTTTGAACAGAGGTAAAATCAATCGCGAATTTCTTATAACGGCTCGTTTACGAATTGTTGCGTCTGTTATCGTCGAAAATGATTACATTTGTTGTATTTTGAGGCATTTAAGCAGTAATAATTAGGGCATGACATCATCAAAATCGTCAAGTGAGATCTTGAAATTGCAAATTCCGTAAATAAAATTGTGAATTACTCGGTAACGAATTCAGCTTTATAGCCGTCGGGGTATTGTTTTGTTGAAAATTATTATTAATGTGAGAGCGCCAAAAACAAACAGTCCATACCGATGCGACTGCAATTTATATGGCCGCACTTGGTGTGGCGCGTTTATTAATAGTGTAAAATAAAATAAACGAATATCAATTATAACCAAGCCTGTCAGCGTGTTTATTTTCTGTGGGCAAGAATCGTAAAATACCATCTTGAGACAAATTCACTTCTATTGCAAAATCTTAATTTTCAGTTATTATCGATATACAAATAACGTGTGGCAACTTTTTAATTTATCGTCGACCAAAAAACCGCCCCACACTCGTCCAAACGTGTGTCGAGCTTGAACGACAGGAACAGATTCATCGACGACTTTAATTAGGGAAAATATGTATTTTATTGGGAATGCAAAATAAATGTAACAAAACGCATTTTTTTGTGATATAACTTTGTATTTTCGAAAACGGGTTGCCGTGAAAGGTAAAATTTGATCTAAATTAATCGCAAAAATGTTTTATTTTAAATGTAACAAAACACATTTTCGCGATATAACCTTGTATTTTCGAAAACGGGTGTCCTGAAAAGTAAAATATGATCTAAATTAATCGCAAAAATGTTTTATTTTAAATGTAACAAAACACATTTTCGCGATATAACCTTGTATTTTCCGAAACGGGTGTCGTGAAACGTAAAATATGATCTAAATTAATCGCAAAAATGTTTTATTTTTAATGTAACAAAACACATTTTTCGCGATACAACTGTATTTTCGGATACCGGGTGTCATGAAGAGTAAAATATGATCTGAATTAACCGTAAATAATGTTTCGTTCCAAATGTATCAAAACGCATTTTTCGTGATACATTTTCGAAAACGGGGCGTCATGAAAAGTATTAATCTGTTTTATCTATCGTCTAACTAACGTCTGGTACACATCATTTTCGGGGAGAACTCTAGCCCGCGAAACGTCTTTTAATTTAAAATCGAAACGTCTTTTAATTTAAAATAGAGAATGTTTCACGCATTCCAAAACGAAAAATCGCCAATAAGTCGGCAGGGATTCAACCCTCCGGATTCAGTATTCTATATCCCCCGTGTCAGAACTTTCTGAAGAATGGAACAAAGAACCCGTCAAATCGTCGCGGAAGAAGGGGAGTATTTTTTGCACTAATAATTAGGGCGTGACATTATCAAAATCGTCAAGAAACTGGTGAATTTGCAAATTCCATAAATAAAATTGTGAATTGTTCGGTAACATTTTAGCTATAATTATCGCCCGGGTATTGTTTTGTTGAAAACACGTTGAAACTTGAGGGAATTAGTTACAATTAGCGCCTGACCTCTATTAGGCACTCGAGCCCAATCTTTTTAGCATTAAGTCGCATACCTAAAATATCCTGTAAAAGAAGTGCTGTTCATTAACGTCATCTCGTCTTATGACCACGCAGAAATGCCTTTATTGCCGAATTATTCAATCACTATTTTAAATCAACATTTAGGATTGGCACAATTTCAGATTTGCGAAGTTTATCACCATAGAAAAACATGAGAAAGTTAATTATCGTCTTAATAAATATCTGCATCACGGTATCTACAATAATATTACAATTCGCATAAAATTGGGACGGTAAATTTACAAATCTTGATAGGTAATATTAAAGCCAACGCAAATGTCAATTTGAGTCCTCAATGTCTTCAACAGCTGTCCCGAAATATAAAACTTCGATGTCTGCCGACCCGCAAGAATTCATATTTGTAAAAAAGAGAGGGCGGGAATATAGATTACCAAAACCTGGATATCGCCGCCAAAACGATCGGTGACAAGAACAATTAGCGATTACAACGGAATTAACCAGTAAAAAGGCTTGTTGCCGATTTTTTAATGTTTCCACCGACGTTCCAAAAATATTTGTTATTCGGTACTCGTTAATATTCGATTCAAAAAATATTGAATTTTGCCCACCCCTACTCGCATATCAATGAGAAATAGTTGTGTAAATATCGCAAAATTCCGGAAAATGCCACATGCTTTCAACATTGTGATTACAATAAAATGGCACTTATTATTAATGGTATTTTGTGGATTTGGTGATTTTGCAAATCTGTGACATGCTGCTAAAAGTTTCGTCTGATTTGAAAATCGTGCACTTTGGTCACAATTCATCCAAAGTGACTATAACACTTTACTAACACTTTTATAGTCACTTTGAATTCATCGATATCATTGATAGTCACATGACCACTCTCGTTCAAAGAAACGCACTGCTATTTTTCCAACATCTGCTTTCAAAGACGCCGGGAGCGTTTTTGCGGGAGAAGCGGAATCGGTGTGCTTGTATAATAATCATATTATAAATAAGAATTTTGCCGTTAATGCAAAAGCTTTATCTCCTATGTCTGCATCTCATAGGTTAGAGTTCCGTTAAATATCGTTATAATATGCGGAATTGAGTTACAAAAGTACTAGTATGTTACTTATTTGTCATCTTAATACTCGAAAATATTTGTTAACTTTGAATTTTTATTCCATTCAAAATCGGAAAAAAGTGCTATTTCTCTTCAAAATCGGTAAAAAGTGCTATTTCACAGTCCCTAAAAAAAGTTGCAAAAGTGCTTCGCAATTTTCGCAAAAAAGTGCGCTAATAGTGAACACTGATTCTCACCTTTTTTTTTTGATCTGGATATTGCCTTGGAATATACTGAATATTCGTTGATTCAGGCCTAAAAATTAAATACAATATAAATACATGAATGGATGGATAACTTCTAATACATAAAAAACAGGACATATAGTGCAATATTTTATAGGTGAATCATTATCTGAGAAGAAGTACATTATCAACTGTTGAACTTGATATACAGCTTAATAAGGGTAACCAAATTATTATATAAAAAGTCTGAAAAGGATGAAAATGATCCTACAGTGATTTCCATCGATACTTTGTTTCAATCGCAGACTGTTGTTTTCCAGTATCAGCTTCACCATATTTTTTCCCTTCCTTGTGTTGTTGGATGAGAACTAAATATGAAATTTTACATAATGCTGTAATGATTCACAATAATTTAGTAAATCAATTTTTATTTAGACAGAATGAAATAGGAAAATGCGAAAGACTGATTGTGATTGTGCTCATTCTGAAAATTATATCTCTGTCCAGTACCTTAATTTGTGAAGATTGTTGAATTCAAAAACTTAGTCAACAAATTATGAAATATTTCGTTTGTAATGTCTGAATGCTGGAATGCTACATTCAGATATTTGAAATGTAATGTCAACAATCCATGCAGATTTAGACTACCAAATTCACAGTGTGAAAAAAAGATTGCATTTATAATGCCACAATATGTCTTCCAAATTCTACCTGGTTTCGACTTTTTCTGTAAATAGTTATTAACTGTAATAGAGTTATTAACTATAAACAAACAGGGGGATTGGACAAGAAAAAAGATCATGCCATAATTTATGTTGCCAAATCGCGACTACTAAGCCTAGAACTTTATTATATTGTTGCCAAATGAGGGTTATCAGAATCACAAGTGCAGTTTTAAGTATTCTGTGGCATCTGCAGCTGCCGCAAAACCATGGCGGTATTTCCATACCATGGCAGCTACGGCCAAACCTATGGCGACTGACATTTTAGCTGCCACAAACCAATGTCTGAATGTCGAGCTGCCGTTACTGCGGCAGCGAATTGAAAACCAATGGCAGGTAAAATTTTGCTGCCGTAACCGCGACAGGTGGGCGGTAAAGACAGGGCTGTCCTATATGGTGACAAATATTAGGTAAGTTGGAACGTTTTTCTTCTGGATACAGTTTTGATAGATTTGGGGTTAGGGTTTAAGTAGATATAATTCCACATGATCAATTGAAATCTGGTTCATTAATTTGTGAATATACCGTAAATACTGATTACTGAATAACGTTAGCGCTATAAATCCATGGAAAGAGCTGCCGCGGTTCGTTTGTGGCAGGAGCTGCCATGAAGTGGTAAGAACTGCGCCTCCAGAATCACACAAAAGTTGCTAGGATAGGATTTTCATATTTACCAGCAAACCCACATAGCTGCATAGAGTAATCAGAGTTGCGATCAATGATGTCGAGTATATTCCTAACGCTTAACATGATGCACCAACAGCTGAACCAGGGTAGAACTTAAGGATTTTAAATATTATAGGCTACCGGTACTTGTTTTGGGTCTCGTGTAGTTTTGTACCTAACGTACTTTTAGTGGGCGTAGCATAACAATTTTTCGATATATCAATCCTAACCCCCATCTGATTACGCCATCCAAAAATTAAATCACTACGACATCACAATCACGTCATAGAGCTTGCCAAATATTCGCACGATCGACCGAAATGGCATTGGCGCCGACGATAAAGAACTGACTGACGTTATCGGTCTCTCTCCTATTGGAATCGTTGCGACGAGAAAAATAATTGTTAGATTTCGGGTGCTCGTTTTGGATGGCAGTTCGTATAGTTTGAAGGGCTCTATTACGTCACTGTGACGTCGTAATGACGTAATTTTTGGATGGTGTAGCCAGGGTAGGGTTAGGATTGATAGGTGACCACTAGAAGTACCGTATGTTAGGTGAGAGCCCAGTACCGGTAGTCTATGTCAGTTTTTCAATTAAAAGCCAGTAATTTAAGCGTTAAATTCGGAAATTTTGCTGTACCTGATAAATACTTGATTTCCTCACGAAGACGATCGGCATGAGACATGATGATGGTCTTGTACCGGTACCAGCCGAGCAACCAACCTTCCAAAGTAATCACAGAACAATGAGCAGTCTGGCTTTTGTGAAAATGATACCCCGGAGGGCGCTAGTGCAACCTGTGCTACAGTGCTGAAAATGGTAAACTGTAGTACTAGCAAACAAATTCATTTTGTAATCCCGAACTTTCCCTTGCTCATGATCAAAAATATGCGACAAATTGAACGGTCGTGAAATGAATCATTCAATAATAAAGAGTACTGGGATATTTTAGCAACACAAACTGACAGATTAAAGACAACACTCACTGTTTGGAATACCGTACCGTAAAACCGGCTAACTTCGGATGATTTTACTATATTTTGAACAATATCTCTGCTGTTCAATTGAAGCCAAATTTGGAATATAATACATTGTGGCTATTCTCGTCATGGTCAAATCGGTTTCACATCCACCAAAGCCTTTTTTCATTGAAATTATTGACTTTATTCGTCTATTCTAAAATTATCTAACTTCGGATGGCCGCTTTTCTCTTTGCGTCACCTCGCCGTGAGAGAGAAATGTCTGCGTGAGCAGTGACGCATGACAACGTCGCTGAGCAGACCTTACGCCGCCTCGACGCGTTATGCGTGATGCATACTGACGTTCGTACGTGACGCTACTCTTGCCTCTTCGCGAAGCTTAACTATTTATTTCTGCGTCCTTTATTATAACTCTAACTTTATTATAACTTTATATATTTCACCAACTACTCCTAATTTATTGCAAAATGCTGGTTCGTTCTTTTATGATCGTTTATTTTCAATGCAAGTAAATAATGAACAAAAATTAGGCAATTAAAAATAAACGGATGAATTGAATGAAACACTGACAAAAGTAAAAATTGAAATTAAAAAGCAATATGGAACAAACAAGTAAAGAAGGAACAAAAATTAGGCAATAAAAATAAACGAATGAATTGAATGAAACATTGACAAAAAAAAAAAATTGAAACAAGTAAGGTATGAACAAAAATTCGAAAATTTAAAAAAACAGATAAATTGAAATAAACGCTGGCAAAATTAAGAATTGGAATCATTCCCACATGGGTTAGACGGGTCGGTGCAACAGTTCTTGTGGAACCAATGTGTTTCGCTGCAGCTTTCGCAACCGACCCATTCATCCTCAGTTTCAGTCTTTCCATTTGGATCATTCCATAATCCACAAGCAGAACAGGTGTCGACTTTAGCATCATTTTTCTTATTTTCTGATTTTCCCAGAGCTTCCCGTTGATCGGCTCGGCAGAGGTTCCTGCCCGGTGTGATTTTGGATCCTCTTTTACGTTTAACTTGATTTGTGTCTGTGGAATGTAATGACTTTAGAAATGTGATTAGAGTAGACGTAGCTTGGTCGTCTATTTCTTGTTTATTAACGTCTGAAGATTGACATTCGATAGGTCGTAGTTTTGACAGCACCGCAGTGGGGTTAAATGGGTGGATCCCACAAGCTCGGAATCCAGATTTTAGGTTTTGGGAAGACGTTTCAGCCGATTTTTGGAAAAGTTTTTTTAATAAGATGGGAAAATGTTCCTTCGGGAAACCACGAATTCGGGATTCAGCCCTCCATTCGGCTACTATTTTTCTCCACTTTGCTTTTAGTGGGGAAAAAAATGAATAATCGAGAGGCTGTAATATATGCGTGCTGTTGGGCGGCAGACAGGTAAAATAAATATTGTTTTCATCCGCCAATTCAACCACCTCCATGGTTAAGTGGGATGACAAATTGTCACCTACTAGCATTTTGTCGCCGTCAAGTTTGTCGCAATATGGGAGAAAAACCTCTTTGAACCAGCGGATGAAGGTTCTGGTGTCAAACCATCCGCTGGGTGTTGCGTCGTATATCGCATCTTCAGGCCCATCAGTGGTCCAATACTCGTAGATGTTTAAAGCAGAATAGACAACCATAGGGGGCAAAAGGCTTCCAGCGGCCGATCCACAAAACATGATGGATATCGAGCTTTTCGAAAAATCTCGAATCATCTCCACTCTATTTGTACCGGTTGGAACGATTGAACGTTTTCTGCCCGGATCGTCTCGGAGATTCGTTTCGTCGTAATTGAAAATGTTTGTTGCAGGTAAGCGAGTCGCAATTTCTTTAATCTCGTCGAAGTATTTTACTATTTCTTCTGACCCCACGGCTGCACGAGTTCTTTTAATGTTTGAGGCAACTCGTTTGGATAACCGCTGCCTTTTGCAAAAATTATCCACCCACATCGGGCCGGGTTTGGGGAACGTAGGAGAACATATTCCCTTTGAATCCAAATAATTTTTGACAATGTTGCACATGTCCTCCGGTCCAATGGGATATCCCCAACGTGCAATGATTTCAAGGCTCTTAGCAAATCTCTTTTCCTCCTCATTTGATAAACCAGTCGGGCGACCAATACTTTTAGTGTGAGTCTTCTTCATTTTGTCGAATAATGTTCGGCTAACTTCGGATGCCTTGTAACTTCGGATGAAATTTTCAATCATTCATATCTCAACTAAATTTCGTCGTATTGCGCTTCTGTCGGTTTCTATAGTAAGGCCTTACATATCTGAATCTGCCGTAGCCTCCAATCGCTCGATTTGATTTTTTATCATTCAAAAAATCATATTTTACCAAAAAAATGACACTGTTTTTTCGAGCGGCTCAAATCGTGACTTCTACAGACGCTACCTTCGTCAAATCACCGCCAAGCGCTAGAGAGCGTACACAATGTATACAAAAAAATACAGTGATCACAAGGTGTCGTACGAGATTCGAGTGAAATCGATTATTTTGATTTAAAAATTACATCAAAATATCGACTTTTTGATGATTACGTACAGCGTGACGTCAACGACGCAAATCCCGTTCTCTCTCTTCGTAGCCGACGTCACTTTGCGTAGCTCGTGCGTTACTCGCTGCGACATTTGAACGCCAGACATCGCGCGCCCAGTTTTGTGAAATTTAAAAATTATGCTTATCCATGATCCTAGTCACTAAATCCTACAAAAACATCACTATCGTCTCAGTCATATGTTGTTTATTTAAAAATATGGGTATGCATACGCTTAATGCATATGAAATTTGTCGATTTTTGTTTTTGCATACTTCCTCCGACACCGATAGATACCGTAGCAATTGGTAATACGTTAGGCTTGAAACCTGTATCTATACGATCATAATGATTAGATATGTCTGTTTACGATCGGCAGATGATAATAATATCTTTAACAGGTGAGCGTAGAACTCTACATACATGCACACAGCAGGAGGTTGGACCACATACAGGTGAGGCGCAAAATGAAAAAAAGTGGCAAAGTTTCTTTTTGCCGTTTTTATCCGTTTATTGTCATTTGACTTTATTAAGTGAAACGAAAGCGAGGATCGAAAGTCACACCGGGCAGGAACCTCTGCCGAGCCGATCAACGGGGAGCTCTGAGAAAATCAGAAAATATGAAAAGTGATAATCAAGACGAAACCTGCTCTGCTTGTGGATTATGGAATGATCCAAATGGAAGTACGGAAATTGAGGATGAATGGGTCGGTTGCGAAAGCTGCAGCGAAACACATTGGTTCCACAAGAACTGTTGCAAAGACCCGTCTAACCCATGTGGAAATGATTACAATTCTTGATTTTGCCAGCGTTTCCTTCAATTCATCTGTTTATTTTTAACTGTCGAATTTTTGTTCATACCTTACTTGTTCCATATTGCTTTTTGATTTCAATTTTTACTTTTGCCAGTGTTTCATTCAATTCATCCGTTTATTTTTAATTGTCTAATTTTTGTTCATTCTTTACTTGTTCAATATTGCATTTCAATTTCAACCTACACCAGTGTTAGGTACTTTCAATTCTTCCGTTTTTTTTTTTTTGTTAATCCTTTTCTTGCATTGAAAATGAACGATCATAAAAGAACGAACTAGCATTTTGCAATAAATTAGGAGTAGTTAGTGAAATATATACGAGTTATAATAATGGACACAAGAATAAATAGTTAAGCTTCGCGAAGCGGCAAGAGTAACGTCACGTACAAACGTCAGTATTCAACACGCAAGACAGGTCGTGGCGGCGTAAGGTCTATTCAGCGACGTTGTCACGCGTCATTGCTTACGCAGACATTTCTCTCTCACGACGAGTTGACGCAAAGAGAAAAGTGGCCATCCGAAGTTAGATAATTTTAGAATAGACGAATAAAGACAATAATTTCAATGAAAAAAGGCTTTGATGGATATGGAACCGACTTTATCAAGACGAGAATAGCCACAATGTATTATATTCCAAATTTGGCTTCAGTTGAACAACATGCGGCGGAGATATTGTTCAAAATATAGTGAAATCATCCGAAGTTAGCCGGTTTTACGGTACCGTATTTCTTAAGGTTTAGTTTGCTCTGTTGATTCCATATTCAGTTTTTATCAATTATTTTATAGACAGTTATGCTGATTATAGAGTCGAAATAAACTCATAATCTCACGAGCACGCCGAAGCTCAAGCCAGTTAAAAGCGATTTATTTTAAATATCACATCGTGCTAAACAGGGGTTCCCGAACTTTATTGGCGCCGTTCAAAATTAGAATCGGAAGGATGTTCGCGGGCCGGAAGGTTGTAGCGCCGAAAGTGCACGCAATTTTAGCTGGGGTTCTGTGGAATCACTTTCAATTGACAATTTTTGGAGCATGTTTGTTTGACTCGAAATGGCACTTAATCTCGTATTCATTCAGCACAGGAATAGTCCGTTGGCAAAGAAGACAACTCGCTGAAATTTGATTCTTTTTAACGCAGAAACACAAATGCTGACATTTATCCAAGAAACGTCTGTTTTCAGCGTCTAGTCTTCGTTTGCTTTTTGACATCTCTGGGTTTTCTTATGTGACTGATAACTAAATTTCTGCCCTATGTAATCCTAAAAACCGGTACGTATAATTGAGATACCGGTATAATTGAATTGTTGGGATAAACACGTGCTTATTAGCAAAAAGGTAGAAACAAAATCTGTTGTGCACCATTTCACTTATGCTCGGCGGGCCGTTTTAAATCGATATGCGCGCCGGATTTGGCAACCCTTGTGCTAAAGGCTTGCCACAGCATCTCATATTACGCTGCGTAGGTTCGAATCCCGTTCGAAGTATAATTATGTGCGAGATTACTGCTCGCTACTGTTGGGACTCTTGACCGCCGCCGCTGGTCGGTTATGGCTTCCTCCGACATCAAGTCCATGCAAATAAAAACAAACAAAAACTCGCTAACGTATCTCCCACCCGGGATAAATATGTAAATCCTATTCTAATTGCAAATTACAAACGTGTATACATAAGTAAATACTATGGACCTTTTACCGACCTTTGACCCCCGAAAAATTGTTCCTATACTTTGCCATTGCTAAATTTTCGGAGCTTGTTTTACGAGTGGTTTCGCGAACTAAACCTTTGTCCAATTATATGGTCACGTTCCACAATAATGAATTTCGATAAGGCTGCGAATACAAATATTTTCGAGATGTTCCATTGAAAACCGGTAAGGCGAAGCAGTATTCAGTTTGATGAATTGAAGCTGAGCGAACTTTTAAATCACAGGTGAAACGTCCCACTCCGACTCAGTGAGGCGTGAAAATCCTTCAGTTAACGGATTTCCTTTTTAAATCAGTCCCATTAGGGATCGATCAAGTCCAAATATAGCAGTTGTGCCCATGTTGCACTGAAATGTGACGAATCCGACGACAATTTGAATCGATTCCTGTAAGATGCTTCGCGAGATAAGAAATCTCGATAAGCTGACCTTCACGAGCGCTGCAGTCTACACATTCAGTTCGCAAAGATTTTGGAGATACACATGAGCGATCCTTGCACAAATGGTAACTCAGGGAGACGGTGAAATACAAAAATTTATAAGAAAACCTAATTGTTAATCGGGGTCGGGGTCGGGGTTTGGGCATTAAAATACCACCTAATCAAAAAATAAAAATGTTGAAAATAAATAGCTTGTTGCTCATGCTCAGGCCTTTCCTCGAACATTCGCTTCTTGTTATGTGATTTAAATAAGAAAGATATAGCCTATATTAAAGAAATAGCCTATATACTGGAGGGATGTCTGTAAAATGTTAGTAATAGTGGGATACTCAACGCGGGACCGCGGTCCGATTCCGGACCTTTCGAGTAATTGATCCTTTATTTTGGACCATTAGCCCCACTTTTGAACTTTCCTATAAAATGACTTTTATAGTTTTGAATATATATGAAAAGAACTATAACACCATAATAAACAATCTTGATTAGCTAATAATCATTAGCCAGTCGAGGAAGTACGCGTTCAAGGATGCCGAAATAAAATTTCTGGAAAGACCGGAGCCGAATGATTTTGAAGTTTTGTATGCGGATCTTTGATAAAAATAGTTCAGTAGCCCTGGGCTATAGAACTTGGCACATTGACGGGAAAGGTCAGTCAGACAACTCAGCCACTCACCACCACCACAATCAGTTACACAAGACAATACAGGTAATGTCAGCATTTACCTAAAATAAAAAACGAGAATATCGCTTAGAAACCGAAGACTTATCGATCGATAGTTAGGGGATCCCCCAAAACAGAAACTGCAGTTTCGATTCATCCGCTCTTGTAACTTGCGCACTGCGCATCGCACACACACACTCGGCGGGTCTCAAAATTCTCTCGCTTTACAAAAATCTAGATCACTTCATCAATATTTGATTGATAACTCGCTAATTATACGACATAATTCGCCCAAAATCAATTGGCTTCTGGTCCTAGATAAGATGAATGCACATGCAAAATCTGGAGCAGATTCAATCTCGCTTTCGTGAGATATCGCGTGCATCTAACAGACATACAGACAGACAAATACCTATCAACACACTTACCGATTAAAATCGATAAGTAAAAACCCAATGAGAAAAACATTGTCATAACGCGAATTCTATAGCTTGTATCTGCTGACCTCCACAACGTGCTGCCCGGGGATGCTGCCCCTATCCTGTGGCCAGAAACCGGTGGGAGTTTAGGTTTCTTGGCGCCATGGCGTTGGCGTACAGACTTACGCTTCTTAAATTGTTTTCAAATTCAACTTATCATCCAGTAGCATTGCCTGACAGACACACGCATCTTGTTCATAACTAGAATTGGTCCTATTGGCTATTACTTATATTACGCAATCTTTGAGACTTCATCTAGTCTATGACGTCCTATTCATTTTTATAATGGTTTTGTGACGTCACCGTGATATTTAGGTCATTTAATTGTTTAAATCTAGCTCTCTAATCCATATCAGGGGTGTACAAACTGCGGCTCGCGAAGAAAAATTGTGAGGCTCGCGAAAAAGTGCCAATTTTGAAGAATATGCCCGCGAAACAAGCTTTCACTTTCGTTAATCTGAAACGTGCGAGCAATTTCAGTCTCATTGTGTTGCGAATCATCAATACCCGAGTGCCACTGTCATATCAAGATATTGCTGGAAAATACACAATGTTATAAAAGCTTGTTTCTATCTCACTGAATTCGTTTAACAATAGTCGTCAATTGCGAGCTCGTATAGTATCACATATAAGATGTGCTTGTGGTGATATAGAACAGGGTGTGCAACCTTTTTTACAGGCGGGCCAAATACAAGTAACTGGTACAAGTAATGCACCAAAAAACTCTACCTACGAAAGTCGCTGGATACGAAGTCTTTGTATTCTTTATTCGGTATTTCTCTGTTCTTTCTTCTTACCATATGTACCGTACCTTACAGAATTTTCTACTGGCGAAGGGGTTTCCGTAACTGGAACGAAATTAATTTGTTCCAAGCCCCTTCATAAGTAGAAAATTCCGCAAGTACGGACGCTCTTCACCTGAAAATGCATTCATCCGTTCCAAGTCCCCACAAAACTCAGACTTAATATATATTTGACTGGGCTAAGCGAATAACGTGGAAAGTGGGAGGACGGCGGTCGAGGGAGGTGAGAGGAAGCGCTAAAAGTTGAAATCTAAGAGAGATGAGCACGCGCACATAAAGTTTCAAAATTAGAATTTAGTCTTATTATTTAGCAGTTTTATTTATATATTTTTCATGTCATCATCTTTACTTTTAACTGTTACGCGTATCATCGTCTTCTCAACTAAAACTGAGTGGGACTTATTGTACGTGCCCGCGGGAAACAAACGGGCCAATGGGATGGCATATATTTGATTGGCGTGTGGTAGGGCAGCTACCACGGACTATAATTTTGATATTGCTCACGACACCATTTGTTGATTCAAAAAAAAGCAAATGTAATTACGCGATCATCGCCATTATAAAATGAGTGAACCTGATTCCCAAATCCTCATCTGCCAGTAAAAGAGAATTGAGTCCGGAAATCTTTTTTTATTTTGCGAGTCGGCGCTGATTCAAATATATCATATCGGCTGTTATGATTTTATTTTTGAATATGATTTAATACCGTCAACTTAAACTTAACGATATTGTCATCAGCGACGCCGCGATAGATAGTAAATAATATTTAAGAGCTATTTTATACGCTCTGAATAAGAAATGAAAAAATTTGCCCTCATGTTCGGTGACTATCGAAATGAATGGTTGAAAACAATTAATTTAAAACACAACTTGCTTTTGGATTTATTGCCGAGGTCACACTAACTATCTCGGCGAAATTGAAATATACGATAATAATCGTAAAATATTTTCAATCTATAACATCCTCGACGTGTAATAAGCACTTCAAATCGGCGCTATTGAAATCCTTTCATGGTTTCAAAATGTATTAAATCTAAACGTTGACGTTGACTTCAACCAGACCACCGCTCCAATATGTCATGCTAACTTTAACACCAATGGCATTTTACCTTATGCTGGTTGTGTTAAACCAATGATGTGTTCAAAAATGACATTTTGTTGTGCAGGGAAATTCATTTTGCTTGTCTGCGTGTAAGTATCTCCCACAACATATTTCTCAAATGTTCCAATATGTTATGTTTGGTCCCAAATATTATTTCATAAATTCAACTTCATCACTCAGTTCACCCACGTCACTTAGTTCCGCTTTCGCTACAGCGAAATAATTTTTTGTGTGTCTCAGTATTTGTATCACTGATATCAATATATTTGTGTGATATATGGAGATGTTATGCTCGCTTTTTTCGTGATATTTTGATAATATAACTTTGCGCAACTTTTTAATTTCAATATCGTTTGAATATTGTAAGATTTATATTGTCGCAGAGTATAGAGAAAAAATTTTGCACACTATTTCGACTTCTTAGCAATGTTTTGGCACATTGGGTTCAACATTACCTCGATAATTTTGACTGACTGGCGCCACGCCATTTGTGTCTGGTAGGCTACTTCTAAAACTAGCAAATGAGCAGCTGCTTGTGTAGTGAGGGTCTCTTGCCAAGACAGTTTCTATATAACGGTAGGCGTTGTCAGCTTGCCCACACTCGTGTTCAATAGCTACTTTTCGCATATAATTCCATCATTTTGGGGTGGACTGGCAGACCATAACTAATCTGGAGCAAAAGTTGGAATTGTATTTTTAAATCAGTATTTACACAGCTGAAGTCTAAATATTTTCGCCTAAAATAAATATAGGGAGAATTCCTAATTATATTGATTTTGGCAATTTCAAAAACATCTATTTAGGTGGAATATATTGGTACAAAAGAAAAAATTAGGTTGTCTAAGAAAATGTCTGTTGAACTCAGTAAAATAAATTAGATCTTCATGTACACGAGGTTCTTCATTTTTTTTATTATTATACCGATCCATTTTCACACAAAATAATTACAAAACAAATCCACATTCATCATTGTCACGCGGAAAAAGAAAAAAATAAATAAATCAGAATATACGTGTTAAATAAAATTCTTTAGCACCCGCTGTAGACGTAGTACAGAATTGAGTCATCATACAGTGGCCAAGCCTGGTCTGTAAATATTATTGTCGTTTATGCCTGTTATACCATTGACAGTTCCAAAACTCTTTATAGAAAATAAAATATTCTGCTTTGGATTGACAGTGCTTATGATATTGTTTGTCGTTAATCCAATTTATGTTGTAATATTTGCTTTACAAAATGTAAAAAACGCATTCGGACGTGCGTCAAATATTTCAAAGGGTGCAGTAAATTTAAGCAGGCAAAGCGAAGTTTGCTCGTATGTCCTCATAGATAAAGTGTGTTGTCATTTGAGAAAACATACGATCATTAGCGGCTACGGCAGTAAACGCTAATTTCAAATAGCATCTTGATAGGCTCATCATTAACCGGATACAGAAGAAGTATCAGTAATATGCGGCTTCAGTCAATTCTTTGAAGCTCCATTATTCTCACAAAGTTTTTAGATCGTTATTAAAGTCTTTCCACACTCCCCTATGAACATCCCTTTCGTGTCTTTTTTGTTCTGAAACATGTGATGCCACTTTCCAGCCGTAGTGAACAAGGAATCCATTCTGAAGAACTATAAATCTATATCCAAGCGTCGCCAGAAGTAATTTCTGAAAAACGGAAAAGGTCTCAGAATAATATGATCATAAAAACAACTAGCTTTTTATGTAATATTGGACAACAGCAGGTAGCGAGCGTTCACATAAGACTAGTAGAAGAGTTACAAGCACTGATGTTGTAATATTTTTATTAAATTTGTTTTTCTATAACAGTTTATTAGTTTGTCGACCAAATTACGATTCCACTAATTGAGACTATCATCATTATCATATTTGGTCCAGGATACAACAACTTTTAGTGAAAATGGGTGCTTATTTAATTGTAAAAGCCCAAGCATTTATGGGTACTCCCGTAGTATATGAACCAAGATGGCGGACACCGGAACGTAGTATGTGTACCAGGTTAGGCCATAATTTTATTCCAATTTTAGTTCTATTACGAGTTCGGGGACTAGCCAAGTGACTGCCGTAGTATTTGTACCTGAAATTATGGCGTAACCCTAACCCGGTGCACATACTACGTTCCGGTGTCCGCCATCTTGGTTCACATACTGCGGGAGTTGACACATAAATGGTCTGTATGGACAGTTTATGCTGCATCGCAGTTTAACACATACTTGTGCAAGTAATAGTTTAAAATTAAATGCGATAGAATGTTTCAGCTTACATGATGTGATTCAACTTCGCTCCATCCACTAAACCTTTCGTCATACATTGGAATTCCTTTACGTGTAATAACAAAGGGTTCATAAAGTCTACTGTATTTTACTTCATAAAGACAAGAAAGTAAATTTCCTCCATCAGACGTTCTCAGCCATTTCCAGTGATTGGTTTGAGGGTAACTAGAGGAATCGATATCTTGAAAAAAACGTCCCGCTGTTTTTGCTTCCACTGCCGCTCGGAGTGATTTGAGCGTCCTTGGAATCGGATACTCTTTCTTGGTTTGAAATGCGGGAATAACATACATGTCGGGTAATCTTACTTCATTATCTTTGTGAATATAGCACACGTCGTTTCCCGCCCTTTTCGTATGAGCAATGTCTCCCACTCTGGCTTTAGGAGGATGATATTTTGCCAAAGCGTAAAGATTGTGATTTTCTGCAAATGCGATGAAATGTTTCCTCAATCCCTCACTAGGAATAAGGTCGCTGTCGATGCATAAAAAGTAGTCTGTTTTACATGAGGATAATGCCACATTCATTGCTATAGTCTGTGGGTAAAAAGCAATGTGTTCGCGTGTGCTCCCTTCTAAAGCAAATTTAATATTCGTTTCAGAGAATTCTTCCAACACTTTTTCTATTGTGACATTACCATTTTTAAAAGTCTCGTCCAGAGGAAATGTTAGAAATTCCAAATTGTTGTTTTGTTTTAGTTTTTTTTCTTCTTTTACTTTCACGGAATAATAATCTTTGCGTAACGGAAACAAAATATGATAAGTGACAAAGCGTCTAACGTTGACTTCTTTGCTTCTAATGTGTTTGATTGTATTTACAGTGATATTCCATATTTTGCGCTGTTAAAATGAAAAATGAATATACTTTTTTTTTCATTTGTCAGGTATATAGATGTACAGTATTTATGTATAACCTGAAAGTGTGATCTATATCGATGCATGGGGTCAAAAGAAATTTCATAGAATACAACACATGCATACCCCCTACTATGTTGTGCATCAGCACGATGGTTAAAAGTTGAAGAAGGGTGCCAAAGGGAAATGATGAGGACAATGCCAAGACTGTAACATTCAGTTTCGTGTCGACAAAACCTCCAGTGTTTCGTTACCTTTTTCACTCATACACGCCGCGTTGTGCCTCAATTGTACAACAAGAGCCTTACCGTTGGCAGAAACACAGTGACTTGTATCGGTCCTTCCCAGGAATTAGCTAGGTCAATACTATTTTGAAGTCTAGTTCCATCTAAATGCGTAACAATGGAAACGTCATGCTGAAGAGGCCTTTCTTTTCCCACAAAAACTTCGCGGATGATTCCAAATTTACCATTTTTATGTTTTTGTATTTCAAAAGTAGTTCTAGTTTCATTCACTCGGGTATGTTGTGTTTCGACATTTGAAAATGGTAAATGTGAGCAGTCACATTTCAATTTAGAAGTCGGCGTCTTCTCAAAATATTTACTGGAAGACCTGTAGGTATTAGATAACATTATTATTTATATAGTTTCTGCACCAATGCGGTTCTATAATAGGGCACAAGACTATATCCATTACATAATGCAAAATTTATGAGCATATCATATGTAAGGCGTAATAACGGAATGCCAAATTGTAACTAGAGCTGCGTGCAGCTTTAACAGGCTTCCCGCGTAAAAAAAAATTTGCATTTTATTGCTAGCTTAGAACTTTTGCACATTTGAGGTGAATTTCAAGTTTGTAGGACCAATTTGAAAAAATAATAATAATAAATAAATAATAATAAAACACAGGAATACAATAGGTTCCCTGCTGACAAGCAGCGGGAAGCCTAATAAAGTCTTCGACTTGGGCCTAATGCTAGCAAGTGCAGTTATGACCACTTTGTGGCGTCTGAAGCGCAAAACCACAGCGGGAATGCCAAACCATGGCCGCTATGGCCAAGCCATGTCGGCTGAATTTTGCGCTGCCACAAACAATGGCGTGAGACGTGTACCACGGCAGCAAAATAGAAACCATGGCGGGTAATAAAGTATGCTGCCACAAACCAAGGCATGTAGTAATTCGGGGAAAGATTAAAAATTCATCCTCTTCATGGCTATTTATAGAAGAGTCCATATGTTATTCCTTATATTCAAGTCGTGTTGTTTGGGTCTGGTGTCTATGCTCTGTAATTTGGAACGATAAGTTAATAAAAAAAAATATTTTGTTCAAATTTGTTTAACTTGCCGTTAGGGTATGCGAATGACCATGGCAAGAGACGCCATGGTTTGTTCGTGGCAGGAGCTGCCATGAAGTGGTCTTAACTGCGACTCAATGCTGGATCGATATATATTATATTTTTTAAGTGGAACTTGGCCAGTTGAGCATTAATAAGACAATCCTGAAATAAAAACAATTCAAGATCATTATACTTACATAGTATCGCTGGCAAAAAAGAGAACAAATAACGATACGACGCAAACGACTAGAAACAGCTTAAAAATGGAACGCCTGTTTGTCATCTCAACAAACGTTTATTTTTATACATATATATGAATATGACTGACTTCTTTCGCGGATCCCCAAATCCAAAATTCCAAATAAACATAGGATGTTAAAATATCTAAAAATAAAATAAAAATTTCGAAATTGATGTCCAAATTATTTTAATCCCCAGTCGTCAATTTTGGTATTGCCTACTTATTGCAGAGCCGCAAAAACATCCTAATATTCTATGTATGAGCGGTAAAATGATGTCTAAAGGCTCAAATATATTTAAAATAAAGGTACGAGTTCTCGCGAGGTGTGATATTGAGAGATTAAACTAGGCGACGTCGAAATGGCAGGCCTGCATCGATCTCGCTTGTTGGACACGTAGTGGACATAACGATCGTTTCAATATTATGTTGTTGTTGTTCTTTGACACGTTTTTAAAAAGTCGCTTTTCTCTTCGAATACTGGACCAATTGCTTTCAAATTTTCAGTGGTTGAAGATAAAATTTTTCTCCAGAAGGCTATTACTTTTTTTTCGCTATGACGTCATCAAAATTATTGCCATTGGGTGGCGCTACGTGTCCATATATTTGAGCATAGCTCTCTTGTTTCTCATATCTGTTTGTAATAGCGTTTCAAAACTAATATATGAGTTTGATATATTTATTCCTGAATAGGCTTGCACGTAATTGACAAAAATCAATTCCGTAATTACGGCCAAATCGATTACGTAATGACCCCGTAATTGCGATATTTTTTCACACATTTAAATCTATCATAACAACCAATTGAATCCACTTCATTTTCGATTGGGACATCGAGTTTGGGTTTTCATATTCCTGGCAGTACTACACGCCGGCGACAGATGTTAAGACAAGAGTGAATTCAAATTAATTTTATTCTGATTTTTATCTTTTGTGCTAGCTTTGATTTCCTTTATCACCTTCGCAAATTAACCGTCCCAATTTTATGCGATCAATTTTACCATTACCGACAATGGTATACGGATATTTATGAAACGATAGTTGACTTTTTTAAATCGTATTAATCGGGTTTCCAATTTATCTATGCCACGACGAGCGTATTCTCTCGTTTGATTATACTTGCGCTTGCCTCGCGACGAAGACTTGTTATTGCACCGTTTTTAACATTATTCGACTTTACTACCTAGTCAGCATTTTATAATAATTATTGATGCCAACTTATTGACGTTATTCCGATTACCATGCTTCATTTTACATTAAATCATTTCGCGGCCTAAATGTTGTAACATTATTTGCGACCCACTTAGATCAAATATTAATTATTTGCGCATAATTTATATACCGTATTTATATGACATGCCTTTTCCGAAAATACAAAGTTATATCGCAAAAAATGCATATTGTGACATTTATTTTGCACTCATGAAAAAATTAACTTATTTTTCTAACTCAAGTCGACGATCCTATCGGCCAAGATTGACACAAATTTGGTCGAGTGTCGGTGGTATTCAAGAATCAAAATAAGTTGTCGCATTTGGTAAAAACAGTTAATCATATTTGGCCGAAATATTGCGAGGCATTGTGGAAAACATATTGAGCAAGGACAAGTCCGGACTGATATAAAACGATAAAACCGGTAACAGAACATCAAGGTTTTGTAATTGAAAATGGTTCTCGCACAGAATAAACACACTGGCTCCTACTTGATAGTAGTTAAATTGAGAATATTGAACTGTTAAAAACAAAAAAAAACGATCGTCGAAATTCTTAAATCTTGTTGCCTTGGTTAAATATAATCTAATGATAAGGACATTTTCAATTAAATACTGTACAAAGATAGTTATACATTAAACATTTAGGCTACAATTTACCTTTTTTTTTAATTTTAATCATGCATCGTGGTGTAGAAATCCCACTATTTAAATACGGGTATAACTATAAAAATAGAATAGGATTCTGGATTCGATTTAAGTATTCTAAAACAGTGGTTCCCAACCGCCGGTCCGCGGACCGTCAACGGCCCGCAAAGGATTTTTACCGGATCGCGGGAAATCCCGTCATATTGTTGTTTCCCTGCCGTCTCAATCGCTTCACCGATGCCGAAAAGACGAAGTTGCGTTGGTTCATTACGCAATTTCTCTTCCGTCGTCATATTGCTGATTTTTACCGGATCGCGGGAAATCCCGTCATATTGTTGTTTCTCTGCCGTCTCAATCGCTTTACCGATGCCAAAAGACGATGTTGCGTTGGTTCATTACGCAATTTCTCTTCCGTCGTCATATTGCTGTTTGATAAGCGCGACATTAATTATCACGGTGACGAATTGGCAAGAGAGAGAAAAGTGAGAAAAACGGCTGCAAATACCGAAGCCCTACCCTCTTCTACTTTTTAAACTTTCACTTTTTACAATCGACGGAATTGACTGCTTTGAAGAGCGCTCGTTTCAATCGCGAAAGCGCTCGACCAATAATTACGACTTTACGTAATTCGTAACTTCCTTTCCGTAACTCGAAATAATTCCGTAAATCTGTAAATTACGTGCAAGCCTATTCCTGAATAGTCAATTTTTCATTGTTTTTAACTGAGTACCAATACGTTTCTCTTTATCCGCCACCTAGATTTTACCGTTAACCAGGAGATATTCTATAACAGTGGTTCTCAACCCCTTTCTAAGCTTAGTCCTGATCTAATACTTTGCAGTCTAGCGTCTTTTTTACTGCTTTTGGCATTTGGGATATGAGTTTTGAAATAACTGCGTTATTGTCATCTTGAACATAGCGATGAAATATTTGATATTGCTTATCAGACACAAATGCTTTAATGCGGGATAAATTGAAATGAATATACTTGCCTAGATATTTTCATTTCTTCTCAATCATTTCGATTATAAATAAGACATTAACTTAACCCTGGTCTGCCTTTGTTTCCCCTTTTTGCTGACAGCCTTTGCCATAAACCGCGTGAATATGAAATATATGACTTAATCAAGTTTCAGGCATCTGCGTCATCAAAAATGGATATGGCGATGAAGTGATCGGATACGGTGACCGTACATTTGAACCCACGTACATTTGAACCCATGTGTATATCCACGGGTTTAATCTATATGCGGGTGCTAAAACCCATGGGTTAGGGTTAGTATGGGTTCAACTATCCGAAAAACAAAAAAATTTCATAGGTGCAATAGCATACAGGTGCAATTGCCATGGGTTCAAATGTACGTGGGTTCAAATGTAATGGACCATCGGATACTTATGGTTACTTTAGAGTAGGACAGGGCCTCCCAACCTTTCTTCGCTGTGGAACCTAAATTTTTATTCAAAGTTGTATGAACCCCCAAGGGTTTATTGGTGATATCCATATCAAATCACTTGCTGTCCTAATAGAACTATTTCATTTTAGTGTACTCAGTATTATTACGATATTCAATTTTGGACTGCCAGGAAGGTATGCCTGTGACCCTTGCTTGTCGAGTTGTTTTTTTGTTTGGTTCGAGGTTCCTAACTTATATACACTTATAAAGTTGAATATACTAGACTTTGCACTAAATTAGAACTGTAACATTTTCTTCCAGTGGAGATTCTATGTACTTAAAATTAGAATATATTATATATAAATTGATGTAATAAGTATTAATATTACTAAGTGTTACGGTTATTTTCTCATCCGTTACCTACTTCTTTCTGTTCTTTTATACATTTTTGGTGATAAATGACCACATGTCGACAAACTGACCTAATCGTAACAATACAACGACAGTAGAGGAAGAATCACAATCACTACAAGGTACGCTATTTACACGCCTCCGTTGGATATGACTGGCGCCACTAGGCTGAGAGCCACTGATCTATGTGATCGAGTTTTATCCAATGTCGAAATTGCCAAACTTCATCAAGAATTTTTGAAATGTACAAAGCAATTGGTGACTTTCAATATCTTTTATCTAGATAACAGAGTTAACATATCGGTGGCAAAATTTTAATATTGCGTATCATATTATTAATAGTCCGTTTTTCCTCGTTCAATTTGTTTTCGCATAAGACACTTTCAAGGCTCTCTATAAATTTTTCATTGACATTGTGGCTTCAATGTGGACCCCTTTTTAGTCATTACTGAGATCTATCTAAGAAAATAGCATTTGCTTTCACGCATATGATAGGAATAATGTTGCTTGTCTATTCAGCTGCTGCTTACTATATGATATTATTATGCTGCCTAATGCCAGATATACATACGGAAATACAAGAATGGTTCGTCAGCCGGAAGTGAACGGTATCGTCCGGACAGAGTTACTCATTCCCCTTTATTCTTACACAAAATGATATATATTGTAATATATATATAGGTTTCCGAACGGGATGCACGTAAAGAAGATCACGCTGGTTACAGATGTAGCAGTTTGCTGTGGTTCTGACGAACTGAGATGCCATATATCAACTGTAGGCAAACCGCGGCTCGCCAGACTTTTGTACGGCTCTTCTCGCTAGCATTTATCATTATCCAAATTCAACAGAGAAACTGTAGTGTAACAGCTTTTTTTAAAAGAGAAATTATGTATGGAAAGCGTTGGGGCGTGGAATTTTAAATCACCTAAGCGACAAATCTTATATACGTCACAATGTTCAATAGTCCGATTTTCCACTGATATTGCACCCCAACACAACCGCAAAAAATCTATTAATTTTTCTAGTTTTTATAAAGTGTTGCCCTGTTCTTCTTCTGATCAGTGTTTGCATAATTGTATCGATTTAATTAAAGTTATTGCCCGATTTTGTATCGTGTATGTATATTTTATTGTGTTATTCGACTGTTTTTGGTGAACGGGCGCGCATTTTTTACGTTTTTCAACTTTGTCTTTAAGTTATGCTCGTCCTCCAGGTCTCCTGCATTTTATGTTTGAGTGACCAAAATGAAATTGATTGTGCTGCGTTGGCAGCATTGTAGCTTGATTGCGGTTAGTCTCAGTTACAGTGCGATATGTCCCCAAGCAAGAAGCGAAAATACGAAGATGAGAACAGAGTTGTCAAGTCAGAATGGAAGGAAGACTATGAATTCACTAGTCAAGAAAATAAACCGTTGTGATTAATCTCATAGGCTGCTAAGTCATAATAAAGTCAGCAATG